GGGGAGGGGAGGGTAGGGGCTGGAGATCGACATACACAGCAGGCTTCGCTTCCTCCTGGACGAGCGGGCCCGAGTACACAAAGAACCCGTCACGGCTCGCGGCGGCCTGCTCCTCCCAGAGCATCTCCGAGTCGTCGACAAAGTCGTCGTCCTTGTCGTACTCATCCTCCTTGAAATTTCGCTTCTTGCGCACGGGCTTCGCAGGCGCGCCGTCGGGCCCGCTGGTGCCGCCACCGTTGGGGCCCTCGGCATTGCTTCCCTCGTCGCCGGACTGCAGGTCGACAGACATCTCGTCTCCAGACTCGCGGCCCGAGCCCTGCTTCTCCAACGCGGCCGAGGCGGCAGCGATCCGTGCCTTGCGGTCGCGATGTGCGGCTAGGCGGGGGTGGAGCGCGTCCCAGCCATACTGCTCCTCGGCCATGCGCATAAAGTTGATGTACTTGTTCGTCTCGCCGTTGAGGGGTACGTGCAGAATGATGGATGGTGCAGTGGCCTCCTCGCCGGGATTGACTTTGCCAAAGTCCAAAATTGATCGCTCCGGGAGATCGGGAATGGGCGGCAGGACATCCTTGAGGCTGACAAGCTTGGGAGATGAAGCCCGGCTGGAGCCTCGAGGCTGCTTGCGCTCCTGCTGGGCGGCAGACGCGGACTTCTTGCTGGATGCCGATGTGGTGCCGGACATGGTGACGTCTCTGCCGGAAGTGCCCAGGGCTGCCGCCTTGGCCTCCTCGGCCTTCTTAATGGTGGTAGGCGCCGACGGCAGAGGTGGGGCCTTCTTCGTCTCAGTGCTGCTTGCCTTGGGCGCCGTCGGCGCCGCCGCAGCTCCCGAAACACTACGAAGGGTATTGGAGGGCGATGGCGGATGGGATCCAGAGTCAGGATATCGAGAGGCACTGGTAGCGGCAGTGCTGTAGCTTTGACCAGGAGACCTCATGTTGGAAAAGGGAGGAGGGTCAACCAGGCTGGCGATAGATGGAGACGCACTGGTGCGGTTGGGAACCTGGGCAGGAGCCCGAGGGGAACCGAGGGGGCCAGTGCCGTAAGGGTCGCGGGAAAGCATGGTCTCCCGCACGGGGTCGTAGGTGGAGGAGCGAATGGGGTCGTAGCTTTGGCCGCGACTCATGGACTGTGAATGGGAAGGTGGCGAGTGCTGAGTATGTGGTGGGGGGTCGGCATTCAGGATGCTCTGCATAGACGTCGGCATGGCTTCGCGCTTGGCCATCTTCTCGGGAGGTTGAGAGGACCCGACCGACTGGGGACGAGAGTCAATGTCCATGCGCATAGAAGTCAGCTCCGTGATTTTGGGCTGGCGGCCGGAGGCCGAGGTGAAGGTGGTGGGCTCGGCAGCGGCGGGCATATCGGCAGGAGGCGCACTCTTCCTCTTGCGCTGGATGGGGGGCGCGTTGGGATCGCGAGGCTTCCTGGGCCGCCTCACCTTGGGAGCCTCGGTGTTGGTAGAGCTGCCATCAGCGGCAGGCTTGGGCTTGACGGTGGAGCCGGGCTTCCGACCTGGCTTCTTTCTGGGAACTCCGTGCACGGTCAGGCGTACACCTTCGGGATACTGCTGCTGCGGTGGCGGCTGCTGGACGTGTGCCTGTGTCTGGGGCACGTTGAGCCTGCTGCCGGTGGCCAGATCGACAATGATCTCGTCCATCTCGTCTGTGGCGATGTTTGCCCTGCCAGCATTCAGACGCGAGGGCGAGCCAGGCTCGGAGAGGGAGCCCGAGGGGGGTGAGGATAGCGAAGTGGGGGAAGAGCTGTAATTCCTCATCTCAACATCCTGACCATTCAGGCCTACCATGGTCCTGCGTCGCTCACAGGACAACAAGGGAGGAGAGAAACAGGCGCGAGGGACGAGGGAGCCCGGGAGTGGAATGGGAATTGACGGATATGGATCGACGTGCTATTCGCGATATGCGGCTGCACTTCGATTGCCAATAACCAGGCTTGCCAGGCACCTTGAAAGTTGGCCAGGATTGGAATTTAGCGGGCCGGCAGCAGTTCGAAGGGTGGACGGGTCAGACGGAGCGCTAAGGCTCGGGGAGGACTAGGGTGGCTAATTGGATGGACGGGCGGGTGGCCCAAACTCCAGCACGGCTAGCCTCAAAAAACACCACCTGGGCACCCACTGCCACTGCAGAAAAGACAGTCAGGTACTCGGTAAAGAGCTGCTCCCTCTGCAAGCAGATTTGTCCGATTTCAAGATGGCCTCAACGCGCACCGACAAGACAGAATGCGCCAAAACCGGGTCTAAACCGTGGAGATGGCGAGATCGAAGCGGCGGGTTCGATGCGGGCGATTGCACGGAACCAAATGGTGGTGTTTTGGAGATGCGGCGGATGGGGCGAGGGTGGCGGATTGATGAAGTTGGTGGAAACACCAGAAAGTGGTGGTGATGTTGTGGGTGGAAAGAAGAGAAAAGAGGAGAGAAATTGGCGATGTTGCGGGAGTTGGGGATGGCTGCACTTTTGGGAGCGTTTTAGTTTTTTGGGCAGGACGGGGGAGGGAAAACCGGGGCGCTGCGATGTGGTGACAAGCATCAAGTTGAATGGAATCAACCGAATTGATTATTTGGACAAAAGAGGCGAATGAGAAACACCAAAAAGTGGTGACTAGAGAAGAGCTAGCAGCTGGGAGCACGGAGGCAGGGGGCGTGGAAAGAAAGGGAAAGGGAAAGGGAAGGGGGGGGATGGGAATGGGAATGGGATGTGGATGTGGATGGAGACAAGGACCAGGGACAAGACGAGAAGGAGAGCGACTACGAGACAATAAACCATCGAATCCATCAGTCAGGTCCAGCATCAAGAGAACACGACGCACACCACGCACACCACGGAACCACACGACAAGACACGACACGACACGGACCAGCTGACGAGCATGGCGGCGGGCAGGAGGGCCAGCAGAGCCACGGGCTTAGTCGAGAATGGGGATGGAGACAAGACAACGTGAACAGCACAGGCAGGCATCGAGATGGATGGAGATGGGGTCAAGGGGCGGCCATCGAGCTGCCTAGGTAGGGACAGGGCGGCGGGACATGATACGCGAGAGAGAGAGAGAGAGAGAGAGAAGACGAGAGTGCGTGCATATGAGCACCCGGAATGGGCTCAAGTGGGCAAAAAAAAGGGAACCCCAAAGAAGAAAGAATCCGACAGGCGAGAAGAGGCAAAGGCGGCGACTGGACCCAGAACGAGGCGAGGGAAGCCAGGCCGAGCGAGCATGGAGGACGGAACACCATGAATGAATCAAGACGAGGCAACTGGACCGACGACCAGACATCTGGATGTGGTCCATGCTTTGGCACCAACCGGGACGAGGAGTTCTTTGAATGTGTGCCACTGCAACGCACCGCATGCACGCCATCTGTGGTTAACTAGTGGGCACTGAGAAAGGGAGAAGAGGAAGAGCGCTGCCGTGAGCGGGCAGACCAACCAGCAGCCCCCCTGCAAGCTTGTTTTTATCCCGAGCAGCAAGCCGGCGCTGCTGATGGGCGCTGGCGTGGGGAAGAAGCAAAGGAAGGCCAAGAAGGGAAACACAAGGGAGGGAGGGGGCATGGCAGATGCACAATTGACGAACAAAGGCCCCGTGTGAGTGGTGGGACCGTTCTGCCCAGAGCGGGCTGGGTGGGGCTGCACATCTCCAGAGTTGGAAAAAGAACTGGAAACGATGCACGCAAACCCGCGCACTGGCGTGACTGGCTCTCTGTCAGCAGCCCCAAAAAGGCCTGTCATAGGCGCTGAGGCACGTTAATAACCGCGCCGAGCCACACAGATAAGCGGCTGCCCCAGTCCCGAAGCGGACTAGCGCTCCCTTTCCTTGCCGCAATCCCAACCTTTCCAGAAAAGTCTTAATTCTTTAATGAAACAATCAAAGAGGCCATCTCCCCGACGCAGGAGAAGTAAAATCTAGATGCAAGGTATATGAGATAAGGCGATAGGTGCATTGTCGGGCCTGGTCTTGCATGAGGTTCGTGCATCTTTTATTGCTGGCACCAGAAGAGAGACCATCAGACAGGAAAAAATGGATTGACATTCAGCACCGCCAGGCGCTGGAAATGGCCTAAAAATGATCATTCCGAGCCCCATCATCAAACACTACCTCTGGGCTGCCCACCACCAACCCGGCCAGCAATGCAGCGCGAACGAGGGTACCGTACATACACTTCAACGACAACAAATACTCTCGAGTCTCCCGGCAAATTTTGATATTTGCAAATGTGCTGCTGTCCTCTGATGGCACGGTCGTACAAAGTGCAGCAACACATTGTATTTTTGTATTTTTGTATCTTCTGCAAATCTGCGCTGATCGACGCTAATGCAGGGTGGGGGTGTGCCTCAGACCTGCCGGGGCAGCCACAACCTTAAAACCCAGAAGTGTACAAACCTCGCCCAAGTAGCCCAGGTACCTAATAGGCCCAAAATGGCCCCTAGTAACTCAGGCTCGTGCCTGCAGAAAATCGCCCAGGCTGCCCACCGTAGCGATCCTCGCCGCCCAAAAAATGTACAAACGGCACTACTCCGTACATACAGGCTACCAGGCACTTCTAGCCCCCCCACCACAACGTCACAACCATCTTTTTCCTCAGCCGTCGCATTTCAAATCGGCTTCCAAGATCAACTTCACTCTTACACGGCAAACCACACTGCGGCTGCTTTGGATCCTTCCCGGGACTCAAGCTCCTCGAAAGCAGTTCTTCCTCACCATCCATCATGGATCCCACCCTGCTGATCCACGACGTCCAGGAGAAGGAAGTCACCAGCGTCAAGCCGCCAAGCTTCCCTCTCCCCAAATCCGGCCTCACCGGTTTCCCCGAGCACAAGAAGCGCACACGCATCTCCGCCTTCAAGCAAAAGAAACAAGCACAGGAGGCCGCAAATGCAGCCGGCCCGGCTCCAGCTCCCGCTCCCGCTCCCGATGCTGCTGGCTCGTCCTCCCATGCCCCGCCAGCGTCGACCGCGACAGACGAGAGGAGAAAGATCGACCTCGAGAACAAGGAGAGGATACGAAACATGTCGCCTACAGAGATAGCAGAGGCTCGGGAGGAGCTCATGAGCGGACTCGATCCTGCATTGATACAAATGCTGCTCAAACGCGCCAACCTCGACGATGCGGCCGCGAAGTCGCCCTTCCCAGAGTCGGCAGAGGCATCCAGGCCGGCTTACCAAGCACCCAGCATCGAAGTGGAAGATACCGATCGCCCGGTAAACAAAGACACAGATTCAAAGCCCAAGAAGACAGTATCGTTTGCCGCAGACCCCGAACCCAGCGGTCCACCCGCAGCAGCGAAACCTCCCGCGCCGTTCTACGACGAAGACGCGCCCCCCGCCGTCCCCCCTCCAGACCTCTTCCCCATAGACTCGCAACAAGCCCAACAAGCCCACCACGGCCACAAGCACGGCGACCACGATCACGACCACGACCACGCCGACGACGACAACGGCCACAGCGCGACGCACTTCCCCTCGGCGCCGCCGCTGCCCGACCTCGACCCGGCGGACCCGGACTTCCTCCAGCACCTGCACGACAAGTACTTCCCCAACCTGCCCGCCGACCCGGCCAAGCTGGCCTGGATGGCGCCCCTGCCGACCGCGCACTCCCCCGCCGACCGCGACTCCCCCTACTACCCGCGCCAGGACTCCCTGCCCGTCTCCCAGCTGCGCTTCGACTTCCGCGGCGCCCTGCTGCCGCCCCGCATCGCCCGCGCCGTCCCCGCGACCAGGGGCCTGCACCACCACGCCGAGGCCCCCGAGGCCGCGGGCTACACCGTCCTCGAGCTCGCGCGCCTCGCCCGCAGCTCCGTCCCCGCCCAGCGCTGCATCGCCTTCCAGACGCTCGGCCGCATCCTCTTCCGCCTCGGCCGGGGCGAGTGGGGCGCCGGCGACGACGAGATGGCCATGGGCCTCTGGCGGTGCTTCCAGGAGGGCCGCGTGCTCGAGACGTTGAACGAGGCCGCCGCCGTGGAGGAGGGCAGGGGCCACCAGGGCGCGAGGGCGTACGCGATCGAGGCCGTCTGGCTGTACGAGAAGGGCGGGTGGAGGGAGCGGTGGAGAGGGAGGTGAAAGGACGGGAAGCGAGCAGAGGTGGTGCAGTGATGAGTATTGGACACGCAAGACAGAAATGGACAGTATACCCCCCTTCGATAATTGAAGCACGAGTACTCTGCCCCCTCCAGGCCCGACCTCCGGGAACCTTCACGTAGTAACAGTACACACATTGAATTCGCTCGTAAATTTTTGGTTCCATGACCTGTTTTTTCTCTCTCTCTCTCTATAGCATTTCTCATTTATTGTTCCACGCCCTTTTAATTACCCTGCAACCACCACCCCGGCCCCCACCTACAAACACACACAACACACACACACACACACCATCTCCCCTGCCCCCCCTTAGAACAGACCCAACAAGTCATCCCCGCCACTGCTAGGCTTGTTCTGCTGCTGCTGCTGCTGCTGCTGCTGCTGCTGCTGCTGCTGCTGGAGCTGCACCCCAGGCGGCGGCGGAGCGCTCGTGCCCGAGAGGTCCATGCCCGCGAACCCGCTCATGATGTCGTTCATCCCGCTGCCGCCCATCATCGTCGCCGCGGTGCCGTTCTGGCCGCTGCCCCCCATCGTCTGCGGCTGCTGCGCAGGCGGCGGCGGCGGCGCATCGAACAAGCCCATCATGTCCGCCATGCCGCCGCCCGCCGGCGACGCCACGCGGTCCGGCGTGCCCGTGGGGTTCTGCTCGGCGCTCGCCGGCGCCGCGCCGTCAAAGTCGATGTCGAGCAGGTTCTCGATGTTGCCGCCGCCGGCGCCGCCGGCGCCGCCCTGCTGGCCGCCGGCGCCCTCCTTGGCGACCGAGGCGGCGATGGGGTTGTCGGCGGCGTTCTGGCGCTGCTCCTGGATGGCGGCGCGCTGGATCTCGTCGGCGCCGAAGCGGCCCTTGCCGACGAAGGACTCGGGCGGCTTGTGGTAGACCGAGGCCAGGGTCGAGAGCTCCGTCAGCAGCTGCTCGAGCAGGGCCGGCGGCAGCGAGGTCATGGTTGTGGTGATGGCGGGCTTTTGGGAGAGGACGATGTTCTATAAGAAAACAAGGATTACACACACAAAATGTCAATAATCTGCGTTTCTTGTAGGTAGGTGTAGTTAATCGAGGGGCACAGGAAAAGAGGGCGACGCACCTTGGCGATGTCGAGATCGCCGGACAGCAGACGCCAATAGACGTAAGCTCGGTCTCTGATGTCCGGGTTATCGTTATCCGCCGTAGCCTCCTGAAGCACCTTCTGCACCAGGCCTTGCGTGTTGCTGGGCTTCTTGAGGAACAGCTTGACGACCGCGGTCAGGATCTGCAGTTGCGTCTGAGAAAAGGGGAAAGTGTTAGTGTCGTTGTTCAGAGCTGTCTGAAGAGAGATATCCTGAGCATACCTGAGTAAACTCCTCCATGAACCCGTCCACAAACGTTGACAGGATCTCGTCGGCGTTTGTAATCTTCTCGGCATACTCGCCCACGATCCAGATCAATGAGCCGCGCGCTTCCGGCTCGTCCAGCTCGTCGATGTATTTGCAAAGCGTCGGGATAACACCCTCATAGCCTGGGTACTTCCGCAGTATGTCCTTGATGACCACGATAACCTCCTGTACTACGTAGTTGACTTTCGTAGAGATGAGATCGAGCAGGGCGTTGACACACTTCTCGCTCGCATTCTCAATCTTGATTGCGACCTGGCCGATGGCCTTGATCGCCCTCCGCACAAAGTCCATGTCGACCTCGAGTGCATATTCCTTCAGCTCGGCCAACAGCTGTTCAAAGTTCTTCTCGTTTGCTATCCGGACCATGATCTCGAGCTTCTGAAGCTTGACGTACGGCGGGTCGTTGTACTTGCAGAAGAAAACGCGAAGCTCCTTGCTAAGAATGTCGGGCTTTGCTTGAAGAAGGAGGTCGATGTTCCTCAGCGCAACATACTGGACCTCGGGGGCAGATGAAACCAGGGTGACTAGGGACAAGTCAATATCGAGCTCGGGTGGCACACGACTCAGAATGCGAAATTCTTACCCAATGGAGGCGCCATCTTCTTAAGATATGACCTCACGTGGTCCTGCCCGATGATCCTCATGTGGATAAAGACCACCTTGACCGCCGCAAGCACCACGCTGGGGTTGACGTGTTGGAACTGCGGCGCGACCCTTTCGCAGATGTGCTCCGACTCCTTCACATCGACCGGCTGGTAGTTGGCGAGCGTCGTGAGGATGGTGACTCTCCCCCACTCGGTGCACTCGTTGAGCGCCATGAGGAGCTTCTTCAGCGTCGCGGCGGTGACGACCAACGCAGAGGTCTCGGGAGCCGTTTCTGTGATCTCGGAAAGAGCCTGGACGGAGTTGGCCACCACCATCGGGTTGGGGTCGCCGATCAGCTCTTGCAGGGTCTCGAGGAATCCATTCTCTATGCACATCGTGGGGTTCAAGTCGAAGAGTTTGGCGACGCAGATGGCTGCCGTCTTTCGCACGTAGGGTGACTCGTCTCGCAACGTTTTCCGCAGAGGCTCTTCCATATAATCGACCATCTTGTCAACGCGAATGCAGCCCATCGTCCGGATTGCCAATGCCCTGATGAGAGGGTTGGGGTCCTCCGAGTCTTGTACGAAGGTGTTGACGGCCAGGATACACAGATCGGGATGGGACTTGGCGTAATTCCTGCGAGCAAGGCGCATCAGTACTGATGTAATCCAGCATACAAGCAACGAGGCGGTGTCTCAACCGCAAGATGGACGCCTACATCAGATAAAGATAGACCAGCTTCTTCTGGTCGAGGTCGCCTGTGGCAATGTTCTTCAGGACGTCTGGGAAGAGAGCCGACACGTCCTTCCCCAGCGTCATGGCCATGATGGTCTTCTGGATAGCCTCCTTCCGCTCGTACGCATACTGGGAAACCAGCCCCGCGCGGAGCTCAAAGGTCTCTCCTTTCCGCGGCACCGCGAAGGCGCCGCGGATCCGGTTGACCGCCGACATCTTGGGGTTTGGTCTCAGAAAGAGTGGAGGATGTTGAGAGAGGTGGACAAGAGACGCCCTTTGGGCGGTGGGAGAACGAATCGCGGATCGAGGACAGGTATGTCCAGGCTCGTTCAGGAAGGGCGCATCCACGGAAAGGGTTGCTTGTCGTAGGATATGAGTATGTACAGAAGCCGCTCTTCCCCGGGGCCTTGACTGCAAAGCGATCGGATACAGGTGGGGGATCACGACTCGGCCAGATTGATCAGTGGTGCCGGGAGGTGATGATGATGGTGGAAGACCGCCGCCGCTCTGATGCTTGGCTAGCGTGGAGTGGTGACACCCCTGGCCCCTCCTAAATTTCGGCCTGGCTCTCTCAGCTGTGTGCTTGCGACAGCGTGTCGAAGCTCGAGCCAGCCAGGTATCAGGGATAAGTGGGGGTCCGTTTCTCATCCATGAACAACGACAAACAACTTCAACCTCATAAACCAAGCAGTGAGGCAACTCTCTCCTGCTGTATTCAAATCACTCAAAGACTTTCAGCTTCATCAGCGCCGCCATCACATGGTAAGTGATCTTGATTAACCACAGCATGGCCGCCGTGCATCGTACTTCAATTCATGGCAAACATCAGACTAAGAACTCTCTAGGCCAACTTTCCCAATCTGAGACGACTCTTCATCGAAGCTCGGACGGACAACGAGGAGAGAGAGGTCTCACGGAGAGCCGTAAGCAGTGTAGCCCTTGCTCACGATGACTCGGTTCCATACCATTAGCTAACTAACTATCGCCTAGTTTTACAATGCCGTCCTGTTCATGGGTTCCGTAGCTGTGTTCAGTTTGATAGCCCAGAGAATGAACGCCTCCAAATAACCCCACGCCGTCCCATACTTGTACATGTGTATCATTTTACAGGATCAAAGCCAAATACGCGTCGCAAGCACCCAGACATGAATCGCTTGAAGCGAAGAGCCAGCCCCTTCCCACCCATCAATCTGAATCGCTCTCGCTCTCGTCGCCCAAGAAGGCGAGGTCTGCCTTGTATTTGGCCGACCCTCTCGACTTGGCCACAGGCTTTGATCCGCCATCGTCTTCGTCGGCATTTTCGTCATTGTTGTCTCCCGCCTCGCCTTCATTGTCCTCGTCGTCCGAGCTAGGCTCCTTGAGTGACTGCTTCGCCCGGCTCCGCGACGCCCGGCGGCCACCGTCCAACCCCCAGTTCTTGTTCATCTCTTGGACCGCCTCCAGGTCTGCCTCGAGCTCCCTCCGCTCCTTGATCTCTCGCGCCTTGGCCTCGGAGAACCGGCCATCCATGCCGGCGTCCTTCAGCATGTCCCTGAGATGTCTGATCTTGGCTTTTGCATTGTCGCCGTACTCCTTGAGCTCAAACGCCCAGATCTTGCGAATGCCGCACTTGACAAGCTGGCCTTGCAGCTTCTTGACTTCCGCCTCGTCAGGAGACAGTTCGCTACTGGCCTTGGTGCTGGCCTTCGCCTTGGCTGCCTTTGGCGGAGCTTGTGATTTGCCCTTGCGCTTTGGAGGCTCGTCGAGGACCGACGACAGCGAGCTATCGGAGTCATCGTCCTTCTTGGCTTTCGACGATGTGGGTGCCTGTGCCTTCTTGCGCTTCGGAGGCTCATCCAAAACCTCCGACATCTCGCTCTCATCATCGTCCGACAGGGGCTTGTCCTCCACGTCTTCGTCCTTCAGATCGCTCAAAGGTGACGAATCATCAGACTCGTCCTTCTTGACAGCTTTCATCTTCTGCGCGGGCTTCGCGGCCTCACTCTTTTGCACTTTGGCCTTTTTCCTCGGCTTCTCGTCTTCAAAGTCGCTCTCGCCCTCGACGCTGCCCTCTGCAAGCGAGGATTCGCTCTTGAAACCATCGTCACCGTCATCCTCGTCTTCATCTTCATCCGACTCCGCAGCCCGCCTCTTCTTGCTAAGTTTTCTCTTCTTGGCCGGCTTCTTCGCGCTGTCGGGTTCCGGTTTCTTCGCAGGCTTGGCCGCTTTCTTGGGTCGCTCAATCTTGGCTCGCTTCTTGACTGGGGAGCCCTCTTCCGCCGGTTCGCGGTTCGCACCGTTTTTGGGCGCGACCTCGGGTTGCGCAGATGCAGCATCGGCTCCCTCTTCCAATTCCGTCTAGCAGTAGATACATTAGTCCTGGGAGCGCGCCGTAGGATTGTGCGTTCGCAGCTGACTTACAACAGTAGACGTGATGATGTCCTTGCTGCGAGCCTTCCACTTCTCCGACTTGAAGAAGCCCGGGTCGAGATCGAGCTTGTCTTCGACCAGCTTGCGAACGGCATTGACAGTGAGCGAATCTCTATCAGCACCCTCAAACAGTTCCTTGGTACTCGACTTGAGCGATGCCTCGAGGGCGGCATCTCTGGGAGCCATGGTCAAAGCGCGGCAATGTCCGGCGCAAAAAGGTCGCGTAGACTTCCAATTGAGTCTGGACAGTTGCGATGGCACTACTGTTGAAGAGTCCGCGAAAAAAATACTAAGAAATACACAAGAAAGCCGGCGGAATATCGCTATACTCTAGACTTGCTCGTATCAAGAACAATCTTTCTGAGAAGAATTCGTCCAGGGGCCTCAGGCAGGATTAAAGGGCCTCGATACTTGTGATGAACATCAATGGATTGAATTGGGAGGCTAGCTGAATCGCGTCGCATTGTTTGAGACGCGAAATAATGGGCGGGTTGCGGGGAAGCTTACTGGGATTTACTAGGGGCTGCACTACAAGTACAAGTACCTGTCGTCACGCATGGTCCGAGCTTTATGCGGGCTGCGAAAAGACTAGGTAGTTACTTGTTGAGTAGAGCATGGCTTGAATGTTTGCATCCCTCCCGCTTTTCTGTTCTTTTTGCAATAGATTGGCTCCAGATCTAGGCCCTAGATGTTGCTTTCCAACTCCTGTGAATCATTGGTTCTATATCTCCGCTGGTCCCTACACGAACTCGAGAAGCCAGAATGACTCTACCTCTCCAGGCTGCTTTCCCAGAAGGAATCACTGGTGGGGTTTCAGAGTCATACAGGCTGTTCTGCCTGGAGCTAGAGGGCCTTGACTCCCAAAGAGTCCTCTAAGAGGATCCGCCTGGGCGGCACTCTCTTACTTTGTAGCACTCGCTCCAGCACAGCTCTAGTTGCAGGGACCAGTGAAATTTCAGCTTATGACGTCCCACATACAAGGGTCCTTTGCGTGAAGGAGTAGAGACTTTTGATAACGACAACGCAACTGTCATCTCGAGTCCAGGATTTTTAGTATAGTATATTTATTGCCTTGAAGCAACTCCCACGTCTTCGTTCTCGATTCATTCCAACTTATCTCCAAAAATACCACATACATGTCATATCATCACGGCACCTAGCCCACACACACTCCCGACATGAGGCAAAGTCTGGACAGCCTGCCAGACGACCTCTTGTTTCCCATATTACATGGCCTGGACACAGCCGGCGACGTGGCACGGGTCTCGGCATCCTGCCGCCGTGTGCGCAAGTTCGTCCAGGACGAAGGGTGGCGCATATTCGCCAGGACGAGGTTCCCGTCCCTTGACCTCCCCACCAGCACGGGTTTCGGCTGGGACAGGATATCGGACTCCCTGACCTGGCAGAGCCGGTGCTGGGACCGGAGGTCTATCTCCTTCCAGTTCTACGAGCCTCCGCAGGAGGAGAGGCCCGTCGACAGGCGTGGGCGCCAGAGACCTCGGCGCGGGCCGCCGCGGCGCCCCTACCAGCCCGTGCTAGATGCCCACTTCGACCTGGAGACGGGCGAGGAGCTGGTCGCTTGGGGTGCAGGCGAGAGTCTCGTGGCCAGGAGGCGGGCCAGAGCCAGGGACAGCCAGACGTCAACGTCAGTGTGGAAGTCGTGGGATGGGCAAGCGGCCGGGCACACCCCCGGAACAGACGACGTCAAGGCGTTGAAGATCGTGCCGTGCCCAGGCGCCCGCCACGGAGAACTTGCTCTGCTCACTGGAAGAGAGACTGGGGATCTGGTCCTCCACTCGGCAGAGGAAGGCAATTTCGGAGAGGTGCTCGCAAATTTCGTCACCAACGTGAGCGAGGACGCGGACAACAATCCGGAGAGGAAGTCCGCTGCTTCAGGGGGGATCCAGTCTCTCGACCTGAGAAAGAATCAAAACCGCCTAGCCGTCGCAGTCAACAAGGGCATCTTTCTATACGATCTACCGCAGGATGAAACCTCAGAGGTCACGCCGACCGCATTCCTTGATCTCCGTGATCACGTCGCGGAAGGCGATAGCGTCCTCCTCCAGCGAGCAAAGTGGATCGCCGACGACACGCTCGCGCTCGCCTTCAAGAGCCGCAGCACCCCTCTGCGCTGCCTGCAGATCACACCGTCCGGGTTCGAGCTCACGGCCGTCACCTCAGACACAAGCGTGCACATATGCCCGACCTCCATCGAGCCCGTGAGCCCGCCCTCCAGCAGCGGCAGCCCCTGCTCCTCTCTCCTCCTCAGCGCCTGGCGCGACGGCACCTGCCGGCTGCGGGACCTGCGCACGCCGTCCGCGCCCTCGGACGCCGTGTACCGGGACGCCGTCAGCGTCTGGCCCGCCTTCGACACCGTCTACCAGGACAACGTGAACCCGGGCCCGGCCTTCGAGGCCCTCCTGCCCTTCGGCACAGAGCGCTTCGCCGCGGGGGGCCTCTCGGGCTCCACGGTCAAGATCTTTGACTTCCGCCGCACCGCCGACAAGGCCTACCACCACACCGCGGGCCTGCCCTGCCCCCGCGGCCCCACCGCCGCCATGACGCCGCCCTACCCGGCCCCACACCAGCCCTTCTTCGCCCGCGCGCCGGCGCCCGGCCCGCGGGACCGGGCCCTCACGCCCGACGGCGGCGCCTGGCCCTGCCGGCCCCGCGAGGGCCGGCGCTGCCTCTGGCACCACCTCTCGCGCGACGTCTACTACCGGCCCAACTGCAGCCTCTTCTGGTCGCACCTCGCGCCCCCGCCGACGGCGGCCAGGGGCGAGGGCGGCGTGTGGTGCCTCGCGCGGGCGTCGGACCTCTCGCCCAACTTCTACGTCGGCGTGCAGGGCGCCGTCGTCGAGGCCAGCCTGCGGGACGTCGAGACCGGGGCGGGCGACCCCAACTTCGGCTTCCCCGGCAGTGCCGGCACCTTTACCGCTGCTGCCGGGTTGGCAGGCGACGACAGCTGCGCCGCCGCCGCCGCCGTGGGGTACGCGGCCAGCCCGCTGCGGACGGCCATCGTCGAGACGGGCGACGGGCTGGCGCACCCGCACAACGACAGGAACATCCGGCTGCCGCGCATGCGGCCCATGTTTGCGGACAAGGTGGCGCCCGGGGTGCCGGCCGAGTGGCGCCGGCGGCACCGCCTGGACCCGGCGTTCCAGCACGATGCTGATTTCGAGGCGTTTCGGGAGTTTGAGGCGAGGATGAAGATGGCAGAAGAGGAGGAGGAGGGCTGTAGCGATGTTGTTCATGAAAGGACTTTGAGCGAGGCGTTGGAGCGGATCGAGGTCCGATGAGCGAGTTTTTTGTATTGTTGCATATTGGTAGTTACGGGGTGGGCTTCGGTTAACACGGTCAATGAAGTCACGATAGAAAAATGTATGGCTGGGCAAAAATAGATACTCTGGTACATTAAAAGGCATCACTTCATTCTTTGTCTACCCTCCTTTTCCCCATCTCTGCGAGCATAGTAATGACGAGTCTGCCTCCATAGTGATGCTGCACTCCGACGTTTAGGAGACGGTCCCATGTCAACGTCAACACAGACACCTGCCACCCACACCCCCAAGTCCACTTGTCTCTCCTCCAATTCTATAGAAAATAACAACAGAAAGAATATTACACCTCGACACAGCTCTTCCATTCAACTGCGAACATCCCCCCCCCTTCCCTTAGCCTCCCTCTTTCAAAACCCCTCGATATACGTCCCCACGCCCTTCTCCTTGGCAAGCTCAATCAGCCTCATCCCCACCGCCAGATCCATGAGGCCCAGCCCGACGCCCTTGTAAACGATATTTCCCGAGGACATCCACCGGGCCAGATGGTCCGTCTCGTGGTCCTTGCTACTGCTGCCCTTGGCATCGTGGCCGCCAGACTGCTGAGGGCGGTGGTGGTGGTAGTGGTGCCGGTGCGACGACTTCTTACGCTCGTGGTGGCTCCCGCCGCTCTTGCCGCCCGACGTGGACCGGCGGTGGCCGTGGTGCGTCGAGGAGCCGCGCTGGGAGCCGTCCTCGGAGCCGCCGCCGCCGTTCTCGGACTCGTTACAGGGCAGCGTCTGCTGGCTGCTGTTGGGCGACGAGGCGCTGTCCTGCGTCGTCGTCGAGCTGCTCAAGGTGCTGCTCGACTTGAGCGACGAGGACGAGCTCATGTTAAGGCGCTCGAACTCGGCGGCGGGGACGCTGCACGTGTTGTCGTTGTCGTCGTCCCGCTCGGCCTCCCCCCCTATGGCGTTCCTGCGCAGCATGACGAGCTCTCCTAACCTGTGACGAGAGAGATATGGTTAGCATATAAGCTCTTCGTCACAAAAAGATGTTTCTCTCATGGTTCGGTTTGGTTTGGGGATGGGTTAAATGCTCAAAAAAAAAAAAAAACGTACTCAACAAGCTGGTTCGGCTGCAGGCCCGCCTCGATAATCTCCCCGGCCTCCTGCAGCGCGCCGTCGAGCGTGTCCACGACGATCACACCGCCCTCGATAGCGTGCTTGTGGTGATGGTGGTGGCCGCCCTTGGACCCCTGCCTCGTGGCCTGGCGGAGCAGCTCGACGGGCAGCTCGCGCATCTCGCGCTTGTAGCTGCCGATGGCGACGATGACGCGGCCCTTGGCGCGGGCCTCGTACGAGGTCAGGATGGCGGGGTCGAACAGCGGCTCCGTCGACGGCGTGCAGCAGAAGATGGCGTCCGACTCGACGAGGTGCTCCTCGACCAGGCGCGCGTAGTCTCCGTACCCGGGGGTGAGCAGGCCGATCTTGGCGTCGGCCCAGCCCTCGCGCTCCTTGACGGCGCCCGGGGTGGAGGCCAGCCTCTTAAAGATGAGGCGCGCGTGCTCCGAGAAGCGGCGGTTGATGATGTTGACGGTGCGGATCGAGTCGCCGCGCATCAGCAGCGCGAGCCGCACGTGCCAGTAGGCCTGCTCGCCGCAGCCAAAGACGGTGATCTGGCGCATGCGCTTGCGGCGCTGCAGCAGGCAGGTCGAGGCGAGGGCGGTGCGGAAGGCCGTGACCGTCTGCGCGGGCACGAAGCCGACCGGGTCGCCGACCCTGTTGTACAGAGTGATGGCGCCTCTAGCGCGCACGAGGTTCTCTGATCCAATGGCGTTGTCCTCGGCTTTCCGGTCTGGAAGGGTGAGGACTATATGCATCACGTTAGTCTCTTGTGCGGCAGAGATCGCAAAACTCTGAAGCCATGCGCTTGCATGGAAGAAGTAGTGAGTCTAGGATCACAGAGTGAGACCCCACGCCTCGCCTTACCTACCTTTCATACTGACGCCTCCTATGTTCGACGACGGGACAAACATCACCTCGCTGCCGTTAGACGACGAGGTGATGGCCGTCCGGCGGGGCTGGTGAATGTCGGCATTCTGCGAGGACTGTGTTCCCGTAGAATAGTCGTGCAGTGCGGCTCTCAGCGGATCCCGGAAGGACTCAAACTCATCGTAGGTCAAGTTCTCCAGCAGCGCCCGGACTTCTGGCTCGTTGAGCACGGTTAAACCGGCCATCGCACAAGGGGGGCCCTCGGTGTGGTCGACAGTCTTCCAATCAATAAGTCGACCTCATGCGCCTACCACCGGACCCTGTTATTTAACGATCTTCGTGTCGCATTCCGATAGAGGTGCTGCTCACCGTTTACAAACGTAACAGGAACCCAAGCTTCTGGGAAAGGCAAGTTGATGAAGCTTGGCTTGGTCTTGGGGAAAGCTTGACTGTGTTGTATTCTCCACAGAACAGTGGAAAATGAGACAGAGGAAGGAAGGACAAGCCTTTTTGTTCTTCTTGGGACTTCTTTGAAATCAGCTGTTTGGCCCAGTCGGCAAGCTTGGCGTTGACTGAGGGGGCAAAGATTCGCAAGGTTGGATCGGGACGAGTTACAAAAACGTACGTACATATGCCAAGCAGAACACAGACACGCACATCAATGACAAACGGTCCAGATTTCTGGAGGGGGGCGAATTCGAGCCGAACAGTTTTGGTGATTGCCTTACTTTGGCTCGACGGACGGGACTGTCCATCCTTCAAGGTTCCACAGCCGTGGATGGCAAAGACGGTGGGAGTTTAGCATATCGCCCGAACTGCTCGTGTGCTTGGCAGTCGGGCTTCGGGCTTTCTCAAGCATTGCCTCGCCCGAAGATCGGCTCGTTCGGCTCGACCCAGCTGTTCTACACGGACTCGTAAGACTACCTTTTACAGGACTGACAATGAGGCAGCCTCGATCACCATTGCTTGTCAAACCCAAGCTGCAAGTCCGCTACGGCAGGTCGGAGATCCTAAGAAGATAACGCCGATCGCGGCTCCGGATGGAGCTCTGGAGGGGGTTCGTGACTCGATGCTCTATGATGACGTGTAACTAGAGGGGTTTCTATGGCCCGCATAGGCTGCCTAGTGGGTGAGCAGGACCCCTAAATTAATCAGTTACAGCGCTAATCAATCACATAATCACGAGCCAATCGCCTGACTGAGCCAGCCCGTCCCCTCGAGCAGATCTGTCCTATGCGAACGGAGATATCGGCGTACCATCTGGATGGCTATTCGCTGTGACTGAATGTGCCTTCGAGGTAGACGATGTTACTGGGGGCTGTTGATCGCTTTGAGCCCTCATCGGGTACACAGACAGAAAGATGCATTATTCGATGGACAACTCAATTGCAGAGGAGATGCTCCCTAACCGACCCTGACCTACTTAACGAACCTACCCAAGCACTTTACTTATCCCAACCCATCCAACGTGAACGCCAGGCAAAGTCCCGAAGAAGAAACCCCCACAAGCACAATCCCTTCCATGCCATGTATACAGACACCAACTCACTCATGGCAAGCTACCTATCTGATGGCCATGGACGCGCCCCCGCCCCGGAAGACGAGCATGCCGTGGTTGCCCCTGACCATGCCCTCCCCGGCGGGCCCGCCGGCCCTGCCCTTGCCGGTGCCGAAGCCGAGGTCCCGGATCCGCCCCGTGCCGATGTCGAACAGGCACCCGTGCACCTCGAGCCCGCGGTCCCGCACCGCCTCCTGCACGACGGCGTTGGCCATGAGCGTCGCGACCCCCTGCTGCACGTTGAGCTCGGCCACGCGCACGGCGCGCCGCCCTTCGTCGCCGATGGCCCGCAGCTCCTCGTCGTGGGCCGCGCGCACGGCGCGCAGCGGGGTCAGCCAGGTGTCCAGGACGCCGCCGACGCGGGACCCGGCCAGCGCGGCCAGGGCGCCGCCGCACGACGAGTGGCCGCAGAGCACGACGTGGCGGACCTTGAGGTGCACGACGGCGAACTCGATCACCGCCGACGTGTTGATGTCGGTCGGGCTGACGATGTTGGCGATGTTGCGGTGCACAAACACGTCGCCCGGCTGCAGGCCCAGGATCGTCGTCTCGGGGCAGCGCGAGTCCGAGCAGCCCAGCCAGACTGGCGGTGTAAAAAAGGAGAATTAGCAAGTGCCGGAATAGCCGCACAGAAATAGGTACTGAGGTAAAATGATACAAAAAAAAAACAAGCTTCACACGGCCCCTGTCTGCCCCTGTAATGAATGACACACGTGGGGGGGAAAAAGGTATGTGAGATCTCATTCAGGTGGGGAGCTTTCAGGGCACCGGTGCAATTCAGGGCAGATTTGGGTACAAGCTGGCATGGGATTTCAGGGCAACTGTGGGCACAAAAGCCCGCTAATGGGATCACTCACGGATCTGAGGCGATTGCCCGCTAGCCAGCTTAGGGAAGAACTGGGGATTTTGATGGGCCTTGTAGCCCGCCCAGGCGTTGTTGGAGCTTAACGCGTAGTGGAACACATCCTCTTCTGTTTCTCAACATGTTAGCCTCTTGAGGTTTGTTGACCGCCGGTTCCTCCTGGTACTGCTCCCAGAACCGTCCACGTCTTGGACACAGATGAGAGAGACACAGAGAGAGAGAGAGGTCTTTGTGTATGGATGAGCCATGAAATATACTTACGGTTCTGCGCCATATTGATCAAGTCGTGGAATGGGAGAGAAGTGTAGGGGCTCGGTCTGTCGTCGCGGCGTTCGAAACTCGTCCCGGGTACTTCGAGGCTGGCTCTCCTTGGATCTCGAGGAGGATGGGAATCTTATAGCACAACCTCGGGGTTATGCAAGGGCCTCACCGGACTGCGCGGGATTTTTTTTTCTCTCCCCCCTTTGCCCTTGGCTGCTGTTCTACAACAGCTGACGAAACGTCTCGCGGTTGAGGCGCCAAGCTGCTCGTTCTCCGCCTTCGACCTGCGTCCAGCGATGGCAACCTGCCGTCAGTGCGGCGGCAGCGTGGGACTTTGCTGGACTGATAAGCAGGGGTGCGTGAGACCGGGATGGGGGAGAAAGAGAGATGCGAGTTGCGCGTCAGGCTGGTCGTGGGCGGAGCTGATATGAGATTGGCACGCTTCTTCTCCTCGGGGACACACACACACACACACTTACTCACACACAAAGAGAAATGCCCGGTGTCTTTTCGTCTCTTCCTCTTCCAATGGGACAGCTAAGGCAGGGTTACGGCACTTGGGACGAAGTCGTACGAGGGGATATGTAAGTGATGCTGCGCGAGGTACCCAGTAGCGCCCGGCATGGGATCATTCGTGGCTTGATTGTCGTGGATCGGGGTGTGTGTGGGAAGCGGCGGAGAACGGGGAGACCAACAGCTTTGTTCTGTGCAGGAGGATGCTGGTGATGCCTGCGCAATAAGCGGCGGGTCCCAAAGATCAGACAGAGTATCTTGTCAGGAAAAAAAAAGACCGAAGCGGAAACAAGACACATGCAGACGAATGCGGAGGTCGAGGAAGAACAAGATGCACGATGCAGCCCAGACGGCGACCGAGATGTTCCATTTGACTCTTTTAAATTTTACCAGATTGGCCCCAAGGACTCTGCCGTCTTGGTATCATCTACTGGAATGACAAAAGGTTGTCTTTGCCATCGTGGTTGACGATGAAACTCAAGCCTCTTCAGCCAGGGAGTGCCGCGGTCACGGCAGATGTAGCACATTTTGCCCTTCTGCCCAGGAACAAGGTGTGATGGAAATGTCTGAGTGCGACGGGGGTACTGATGCTCGGCAGAACCAACCAAGATGCTGGGATTGCAGGACGTGAGCACTGATACGAAAAAAGAAACACACAGACAGAGCGAGTGAGAGACCCCAGAGAGCGAGACCGAGACGAGTGGAAGACAAACCTGAAAGCCAAGAACCATGAAAAAAGGCGGTTCCCCCCGTCGGTGTCGACCGAAAAAAGCGCCCCTCCAACAAACCTACATTGTACCAACATGATCCCATCCCTGCCACTAAGTATGCATCTGTATCAAATGCACCTCTCCCTCTCTCCAATAGGACAAGGCCAAATCGCCATGGTGCTGGCTGGCCCTGCAGGAGTCTCAACGCATCTGATCGGGGGTGCCCTGTAGGGAGGGAAGCCCGCCTCGCACTTCCCATTGCGGCATGGCATTATGGGATGGGATTCGCATAAGTGTGCGCCCGGGTCTGTGAACCTGGTGCGGCGCCTCCAGTCTTCTCGCGCAACCATGGCGTCCCGTGTGCCGCTCCTAGCCATTTCGGCTCATAAAGATCAACGGCCTCTGAAGCACGGAGATCCTGCAACGGTGTCACAGCTGCGCTACGGCTACGGTATGGGTGGTAGCCCCTGTCCCATTCAAGTAGAGTAGCCTGCCGTTCGGCCGTTCAGCCGTTCGCCTCTTGTTGGTTACGCTACATGGCCAAGGCCGTCTCACATAAACCCCCATCTCTCTTGCAGAAGCTCGACAGGCAAGACGGCTGATCAGCGACAGAAGCACAACGATAGAAGCACTGTGATTGGTCAATATCGGGAGGGGGAACATATCGCGGCGGCACACAAAGAGACACAGTACTGATGGCGGCGGTACTTGAATTGAATTGTTTCATTGACCTTTTGACCCGACCGAACGCCGAAAGTGCAACCGCACGCCATGCCTAACATGCTGGTATCATATCTAGACCTTGAGGGCCGACTCCGCGGCCTTGCGCTTCTTCTCCTGGCGCTTGTTGGCCTTCTCGCCCATGATACCACCACCCCATCGTCGGCGGGACTCCTCGCTCTTCTCCAGGTAGCCCTCCTTAACGGCGGAGACGAGCTTGGACAGCTCGCTCTTGTCCTCAGATCGGACCTCGGTGATGGCAAGAACGGCAGCAGTCTGATAGTAGCCTAGTTAGAAATCGTACATTGGCAAGGAATATGAACAAGCAAAACGGACTGACCTTCTTGTGGACGACGGTGCCGAGTCTGGCCTTGCCCTTGACAATGGCATAGGGAACGCCCATCTTGCGGCAGAGCGAAGGCAGGAAGACAACGAGCTCGATGGGGTCGACATCGTTGGGGATCAGGACGAGCGAGGCCTTCTTGTTCTCAATCAGGCCGACGACGTGGTTCAGACCGTACTTGACAGTGTAGGGCTTCTTGCTGACGTCCTCCTTCTTCTTGCCCTCCTTGACGGCGGTAGCCTCCTGGAGGAGACGCTCCTTCTTCTCGGCCTTGGTCTCAGGGCGGTACTTGTTGAGGAGCTTGAAGGCCTGGGCAGCGGTGTTCTTGTCCAGGACGTGGGAGAACTGGGCAATCGCAGGCGGCACCTTGAGGCGCATGTTGAGGATCTTCTTCTGGCGCTGGAGGCGGACATACTCCGGCCACTTCACCATGCGCGAGACATTGCGGCGGGGCTGGATGTCCTGGCCGATGCCGAAGTTGCGCGGGCGGCGCTCGAGGAGAGGGTTCTGATCACATGTGAGCATACCTCCGCCGGGATCAGGGTGGGATATAGAGGAAAGGGGACTGACCTTGGCGGCCTTCTTACCAGCCTTTCCCTGGGGGAAAGGGGCGGGCGCAACCTTCTTGCCGGACTTGGGAGGCTATCATTGAGAAAAGAAGACATCAGCAAATGTGTTCCATTGACTGTAGTCTTCCTTTGAACTCTAGAGAGCTCACGAGTGGCATTTCTGCGCACATCGCGAAGCTCAAGCCATTCTTCACCCGGTCCGAGGACACGAGCGGAAAACCAGGCTGCTCGATATGAAAATCGAGAGCGCTGGCTCGAAAGCGCAAATTGCGCGATCGAGAGAGTAATAATCAATGCATCATGAGCTTACCATCGTGTTTGTCGTGGGTTGTCTCGGGACGTTGAAAGGTGATGGTCAACCGAGTTGAGAGTTTGGCGATGGTCGAAAAAAAAGATCACGGGCACAGGGCAAGAGAATGGAAATGTGTGGATTTAGGGCTCGAACTTTTCGGCGGAAAAATGTCGGCACCAGTGGCAGGTGGGATCCGCAAGCACATTGATAGTGGGGCTGCGCTCCATCCTTGGGACGCTTTGATGACTAAGCGAAACACCATGCAGGGCTTTGATGTCCAAGTTGCTCTAATACAGAAACTTTTGGCACCAGTGACTCCTCAGTGGCGATGCGGTAGATGGATATCAAGAATTTCAACGGCATCCTGTTCGACTTCTATGCTGTCTTGAACTCCAAAATTACACAGGAGGCTTTTGCTGGCGCTCCCTTATCGCTTCGATCCAAGCTAGGCTCAGACGTTTTCCCGACATGGCCCCCGCGCCCTGTGCCATCTGCAAGACAGAAAGAGCGCTGATCAAGCGGCCCAAGAATCACCAAAAGCTGTGCAAGCAGTGTTTTATCACAATTTTCGAAGATGAAGTCCACCATACAATATCCTCATCTCAGCTCTTCTACCCTGGTGAGCGGGTGGCCATAGGCGCCTCTGGAGGCAAGGATTCCACAGTCTTGGCCTCCGTCTTGAAGACACTTAATGATCGTCATAACTACGGGCTCGACCTTATTCTTCTCAGTATAGATGAAGGCATCAAGGGATATCGAGATGATTCCCTTGAGACGGTCAAGAGAAACTCTCAACAGTATGATATGCCCCTCAAGATTGTTGGCTACGACGAGCTCTATGGCTGGACAATGGACCAGGTCGTCGAGACCATTGGCAAGAAGGGCAACTGCACATACTGCGGGGTGTTCCGGCGGCAGGCCCTCGACCGGGGTGCGAAGATGCTGGACATCAAGCATGTCGTCACTGGCCATAACGCGGACGACGTCGCGGAGACTATTCTAATGAACCTCCTGCGGGCTGACATTGCCCGGTTGTCCAGGAGCACCAACATAATGACTGGAAGCGATGCCTCCGAGGTCAAGCGCAGCAAGCCGCTTAAATATGCTTACGAAAAGGAGATTGTCTTGTATGCACACCACAAGAAGCTCGACTACTTCAGCACCGAGTGCATCTACAGCCCCGAAGCATTCCGAGGCAGCGCTCGTGGTTTGATAAAGAGCCTGGAGAGAGTGCGGCCAAGTGCTATTCTCGACATTGTTCGAAGCGGTGAAGATATGGCGAGGCTGGTCCCAGGCGAGGTATCTGGGTCCTGTGAATGCAAGGGAGGCGGGCAGTCATTGGACAATGAAGTTGGTGGCGGCTGCGGGTCACGGAACGGGCAAGGAACCAAGAAAGAACTGGCCGCGCTGGAAGCGAAACAAAGCGAAACCGAGGCAGCCGAAGCCCTGGAAACAGACATTACTACTCAAACCGTCCCCGTCACGAGGAAGGTTGCCCTGCGTCCTGCCCCGGGTGCTAAGAGAGCCACCGTCACTCAGCAGGTGCTGGGAAGGTGTGAGAGTTGCGGCTACATGTCGAGCCAGGCAAAGTGCCAGGCATGCATGCTCCTGGATGGTCTGAACAAGAACCGAGCCCAGATCCAGATATAGATGACTCTGAATAATACCCCGAATAGACTTGCAACGCACCACTTCCATAGCATACCTTGGTCAAAATGTAGGTTTGCAAGAGCTTTTCGCTCCCGAAGGGACTCATTCAAGTGCGTTCAATGTTGTCATATTGTATTGTATTGTCCGCGGACCAGCGTATAGTACAGTCGTGCCAGCTCGGTCGCCCTCCCAACCTTCGATGCTTGGTGTAACCCGTGGCGGCCGCCCAGTCTTCTTCACTCAACCATGACTTATGAGAATCGCTTCTCCACCTGTAGGAAGCCATTAGCTTTTGCCGCACATGAGTCGAACGCATGCGTATTCTCTCAAAAACCTACCCTCCAAGGGTTGTTCAATTCGAAGCCGGCTGGCGCTGCCGTGTTGTCCGTTTGACCTCGTAAATAGCCTGTGAGTCTGCGGTCGCGGTCCATCACTTGATATCGTTGTCAGCAGATGTCTACAATCCCAGTATCGGTCGTCCCGGAGCCTTACTTTGCTGTGAGGGAGTTAGTACAATATCGAGGAGAAGCTTCGTGACGGAGAGGAAATGCTCACCCTATCCCACTGGTCCACGGAGTGTCTTGACCGCTTTCCACCTGACTGCATGTGCTTGATCTTGGCCAAGCCAGCGCCGGAGACTCCGAACATCTATACTTGGTAAGCTTTGGATGCATGGTCGGAGAGTAGGAAGCACCTACGGCAATCATGATTCCATAAGGAATCAACGTCTCGAAAGGGACCGGCATGGCTGCGTCGATAATCGGACCTGATCAATTGGATATGTCAGAAGCCAGGCAGCATTTATCCTCTGGCCACAATACTTACAACTTTGGGGATTTCGTTGTCTCTCGTGATCTGCTCGTTGGACTGACTGTTCGACCAATCTCGTCAAAGGTGATTGTGATGCCGGCTCTGAATTGGGGGACTGCCAATTTAGCTCTGCCTGAGGCACTAATTTCTGGACGGGCCTGGGATCTCTACATTCCCAGTGGCACCCGATACCACATTACCTAAGCAATATCCAACCCCCAGATGTTCCATCCAGTATCCACGATCAACTTCGCGCTTTCAGACCTCTCTCACGGTCAGTACGACCTTGTTTCTACGTGTCAAGCTCCCTGTTTGAGGATCTGCTCTCATCAACTTGTCAAATAATTGCCCGAACGACCCAATTTGGCGCGTTCCTCTCACGACAATCCCCTACGACTGTCTGCTTCAGCGCCGCGGCGCCCTCAGTCGCGATCGAGTTCAAGCCCGAATCATTAATATCCTACGAAATCTACGGTGTTATTCTTCTTTGGGATGAATGGAAGCGCATCAGCCGTGTATCTTCTTCCGCATCCAGCGTAAAGTCTAGCTAGGAAGGACCGGCCAGACGGACTATACCGCAAGGCGTCCTGTGCGCACGCGAGGAGGGCCCCATGGCGGAGATGGCAAGCGCGCAGCTCATGGAGGAGGAGCTTCAACACAGCGTCATGGTCTCCGAGGAGGATGGCGATTTCGAGGTGGATGGAGCTGCAGGATCGACCGCCACAGATAAGGCTGACACAGTCGCGTCAAGCACGGAGATCAATGTTCGCGGGGATGATGACGGACCCGAGGACCAGGATATGGATGGTGAGGGCGCGTCCGAGGACCTTGAAGAGGAGGGATCTGGAGCGAATCTCCAGGAATCATCTCAGAACGGGTCTGCCCAAGAAAGCCAAGACATGGAAATCGAGGATGGTGCCGAAGATGAGGATGCTGAGGGCGAAGATGATGATGGCGCGTATGAACAAGATGCCGAAGGAGAAGAAGACGAAGAAGACATGACAGTTCAACCCGCCATATCACACGGCAACGCCCTGGAAACGCCGGATGATGCAGATCAGGATGCCGAAGGCGACGAGGACGATGAGGGAGTCGGGGCTGTCAAAATCAGACCCGGCGAGGATGATGAAGAAGAGGAAGAGGAGGACGAAGATGAAGGTAGTGAAGCCAGCGCAGGCTCTGAGGCAGATGCGCAAAGCGCCAGCGACGAAGAATCAGAGGGGGAGGAAGCCTGGGAGGATAACGCCGAAAATGAAGAAGACGACGAGGAAGAAGAGAATGTCAATTCGAATGTCTGCATGTTCTGCAAACAAGACGAGGAGAACGACCCCAGTGAAGAGTTCGAAACCTTTCTTGCCTGTAAAGGGTGTGGTGAAAATGGTACGTGGTCAAGCTTTTCTTTAATTGGTAGATTGAAAGTCTAACTGACAACACAATAGCACACCAGCAATGCGCCCGAGAGAATGACGCCATTGATCAAAGAAACGGTATGTCTTTGTGCACAAATCGCGTGGTTAATAATCCAACGCTAATTTTCACCAGGCCCCGAGAAATGGAAATGCCCAGAATGCTACGACGCCGAGCGTGAAGATGCTCTGCTCGAAGAGGGTGAGGGCGAGGATGCCGAAGGCGAGGAGCAAGAGGGTGAAGGTGACGAAAATACGTCACCAAGTAGTAGGATATCAAATGGACGACTTGGCCGAGAACTTCTGCCGGCCCCAAAGCCAAAGCCGGATTCGCACTCTGTCTTCAACCAGCTCGTGCTTGACGAAGATCCCATGGACGGTTCTCGTGTGCTTAGGAAACGCAAGACCTCCTCTGCGGAGGTCGATGAGGAAGTCATGTCTTTGCGGAAACGCAGGAAAGACACGGGCGATGAGATGAGTGTGGATGGGGAGACCGATGGGGAGGAGACGCCCCGACCGCGGTCGTCGAGGTCTCTACGGCAGAAAGCTACGAACACCCCCTCTTCTGCTTCGATCACGAAGAAGACCCGCAACAGTCTAGTGGTTAAGGCGACACTAAACGCTGCGGAGCTTAAGAAGATCACTTCGCAGAAGCCGAAGGGCGCTCTTAAGCCGGCCAACAAAGCAAGCACCTCAAGATCATCGCGGCCGGGCACGTCGCGAAGTTCAGTTCACGTTGGCGTACCCCTGACGGCACCCTTCGTCTCAACGAATTTCACGCAACCGTTCTATTCTTTCTTTGACAAAGATACAGACGAGCTCAAGGGCAAACCCTACGGCGGTATTCTGACAGAGGCAGAGGCGGACACGTCCAAGACACTTCCCACAAGTGAAGATCGCCGTCGCTTCGACGAGGCGAAGCAAAAGGCTGAGGAAGAATGGCGGGAGCGGCTTCTCAGGATGCAAGAGGAGAACGAGCTTCCGGTCAAGAAAGCGAAAAAGGCATCTGGCCCAGCTAGCCAGATCGAGTGCATCGAATTCGGCGGGTGGGAGATCGACACTTGGTACGCAGCTCCGTACCCGGAAGAATATAGCAGAAACCGGGTTCTCTACATCTGCGAGTTCTGCCTCAAGTACATGAACTCGGACTACGTCGCATGGCGGCACAAACTCAAGTGCCCCGCCAAGCACCCTCCTGGAGACGAAATATATCGGCATGGCTCTGTGTCGGTCTTTGAAGTCGACGGCCGCAAAAACCCAGTCTACTGTCAGAACCTTTGTCTTTTGGCAAAGCTCTTTCTGGGCTCCAAGACACTCTACTACGACGTGGAGCCTTTCCTCTTCTACGTCCTTTGCGAGTTCGATGACCTCGGCTACCACTTTGTCGGGTACTTCTCCAAAGAGAAGAGAGCAAGCAGCCAGAACAACGTCAGCTGTATCCTGACTTTGCCCATCCATCAGCGAAAAGGCTATGGCAACCTCCTCATCGACTTTTCCTACCTGCTCACTCGAGTGGAACAGAAGACGGGATCGCCCGAGAAGCCTCTCTCAGACATGGGTCTTGTCTCGTATAGAAACTATTGGAGGCTGGTTCTTAGTCGCTACCTGCTGAAGCACGTTCCCGAGGACAGGTTTGAGCCCAAGGGACTGAGCATCAAGCAGATCTCCGACGATACAGGCCTGACACCGGACGATGTGATTTCGGCACTTGAGGGTCTGAGGTGTCTCGTTCGAGATCCACCGACGGGCGTCTATGCATTCCGGGTCGACTTGGCATACTGCCAGGAATATGTGGCAAAATGGGAAGCGAAGAAGTACGTCACGCTAAACCCGGCCGCCCTCACCTGGACGCCATACGTGATGGGGCGCAACAACGTTGCAAACTTTGAGCTCGGACCAGCCCTCACAGCTATGGCCTCAGCGGGCGATGAGGAAGAGCCAAAGCCCACGAACGGTGAGACATCTGCAGCGCACAAAGCGGTGAACGGAGACGGACCCGCCCCCGGCGAGGTGGTCAAGGCCGAAGTGGATGTTGATGCGAACGTCATGGAGTCTACTGAACCCAACGAAACATCAGCAGATACGAACGGGTTGGTGAACGGGGAGGGCCAAGCCAAGCCGGATGGTGAGCAGGAGCAGAACCACAACGCGGCCGGCGCAGGCTCGGTCGAGCGATCGCATTCAAGTGCCATTTCGAAAAAGGCAGAGGACGAGGACTGGACGAGTGCGTACAAAGCCATACCGCCAACCCGGTTTGTGGTCTACCCGCCTTTGAATGCTCGCAGGGTCGACAGGCCCCGGCCCACGCTGGGTTCGGTTGCCACACCCGTCGTGCGTACTATGAGTGCATCGCGACCGCGCCCGCGACGTTCAATAGGCGGTGGCTCGGCCCGGCGTGCCTCGGCGTCGAAGCCCAAGAGCTCCTCCAAGAGGAAAACGGGTGGGACAGGCAGAGGCCCGGGTCGTTGGCCCAAGGGCACCAAGAAGAGCGACTACGGCGGGGCTGACAGCGGTCCCGGCATGCCCCCGGGCTGGCTCGAGAGTCGCAAACAGGCACAGGCACAGGCTCAACTCAAGAGGGACGAGAAGAAGGCAGAGCGAGAGGACCAGGCGGAAGACACGGTCCAGGTGCAGACAATAACCACAGCGAACGCTGTGAACGGAAGCCTCCATTCTGCTGAAGGGGGCGGAGACGTGGTCATGGCGGATGGAGATGGCGACGACGAATGAAGAGCGTCTTTTTGGCAGGGCACGGGTTTCAGGCCATGATATCTTCTAGGGCGCCGACAAGGGAGCGATGAGTTTTGTCACGAGTAACCATGTAACACCAGATCGGGGTCGTGAGGTTAAGCACGAGCCTATTGTGCGATTACTTAGAAATAACTTCTGCAGCATGTCTGCCTCTATTTTGCTGACAGGATTGAACCCGTCAATATCGTTCGTTGCCGGCTGACTGTGCATGTTGAGTGGCTTGTGGCAAGGCTACACGCGGCTTCTCAGGAACCAAGACACGACACCAGACCGCCCGTTGCTGCATGTACCTCTGGTGTGTGTGATACGAGGCTAATAGTAAAATACTAAAATATACCTACCTACATAGGTACCTTACCTACCACCCGACGCTTCCAGAAGAGTTCAGTTCATAGTGCCGACTCTGCCTGGGTTCGCCGGGTGTGGTCGTGCGTGGCGCCTCTTAGCGCTGCGAATGCGGGATTCGTCATAAGTGGACACCCTCCCAATCGAATCGGCACCCAAAAGCATAGGGATCGTCCACAAGTCATGCAACACGGCGCCAGTGTCGAAGAAAAGTGGTGGATTTGACTAGAGGTAAACTTGACCTCTTCTGTTTCATACACCTGCAGACCCTTCGACTCTCCCAAAGACATTCCCAACTGTCCACCCTAACCAAACTGACTGCCATCAGCGCTCCAGGCTACAGAGAGAGTGTTTTGAGGCTTTTCTCCAAAGGCCCAGCACCAACCTTCGTCATCCTGCGTTTCCGGATCCTGGGCAGCCCCGGGTCCCGCTTAAACAGAGACTGACTGGCTCTGGCCAAGGCTAGTGGCCGAGCTTCGCCCCTCTCTCTCGCTCTCTCTCCCAACCTCGCGACTCACAAGCTCATATCTGGTTGCCATTCCGGTGCATGCGACAAGTATCTGCGCTGCCAGAAGACACTCGCTACCAAGGCCACCGCACCCTGCGCGACCTCATCGGGCAACCCAGCTGCCTTGCTGCTCTTCCTTGCGCCTGGATCTTCGCTGGTCGGCCACCAACTGAGTGATCCTCCCGTTATCCATTCCACCACGTCACAAACACCCCGACAGCCGCCAATATGTCCAAGGTCATCAGGAGTGTAAAAAATGTCACCAAAGGCTACTCCAGCGTCCAGGTCAAGGTCCGCGATGGTCCGTACAAACCCACCCAATCGCCTTGGAGCCCGCGATAGTTTGATATACTGACGTTTGATCCGTGCAGCGACCAGCAACGACCCCTGGGGCCCGACCGGCACCCAGATGGCCGAGATCGCTCAGCTGACCTTTAACTCGTACGTCGCTCTATGCCGCTGATGACGGATCGCGCAATCGTCGCTAACCCTCGAGGCCCGAACCTGACAGGTCGACCGAGTTCTACGAGATTATGGACATGATTGACAAGCGACTTAACGATAAGGGAAAGAATTGGAGGCACGTCCTCAAGGCGCTCAAGGTGCTAGACTACTGCCTGCACGAGGGCTCCGAGCTGGTCGTCACGTGGGGAAAGCAGAACATATACATCATCAAGACGCTCCGAGAGTTCCAGTACATCGACGAGGAAGGAAGAGATGTAGGGCAGAACGGTAGGCGCATGCCGGCACATCCGTGACCCAACACGACCAAGCTGACCAGATTGTAGTGCGTGTCGCTGCGAAGGAGCTTACGTCACTGGTTCTCGACGACGAGCGACTGCGGGCCGAGCGGAGCGACAGGAAGTCGTGGAAGTCTAGGGTGACGGGGCTCGATGAATACGGACCTCCGCCACATGCCGAGTCGTCGCAACCGAGACGGCGCGAACCACGGCGCCAATACAGCGACGAGGAGGATGCCGAGTACAAGCTTGCTATCGAGGCCAGCAAGTTCCAGGAAGAGGAGGATCGCCGAAAACGCGAGAGCCGCAGCGGCGCCAACGAGGAGGACGACGATCTTGCCAAGGCGATCCAGCTGAGCAAGGAAGAGGAGGACAACCGACGCAGAGAGCTGGAGCAGACCAATGCGGCCTCGCTCTTTGACGACTCGCCGGTCCAAACCACCCAGAGCCAGCCACAGTACACCGGCTTCAACCAGGGCTATCAGCAGGGAAGTGCGGTTGACTTCTTTGCCAACCCGATCGAGCAGAACCAGATGCAGACGCAGCCCACGGGATACATGCCCAATGCGTACACGGGCTTCCAGACCCAGCCTACCGGCTATCCCAACGGTGCGAACGGATTTGGCATGCAACCGACGGGCTATGATCCTTATGGCCAGCAGAACATGCAGAACATGCAGGGCATGCAAAGCATGCAGTCCTTCCAGCCGCAGCCGACAGGCTACAATCCCTATGCCCAGCAGACACCAGTACAGTCGCCGCAAGATCCCAACCCGCAGCCCGGAAGCAACAACCCCTGGGCCACCAACAACACCCAGTCGCCCTCGGGCATGCAGCCCATGAAGACCGGCTCCAACAATCCGTTTGCTTCCAACATGGCGCGCCCGCAGACCTTCAAGGCGCCATCGATGCCGGCGCTCAGCAGCCTCCCGGAACAGAAGACCCTCAGCAGCTTCAATCAGCCGCAGCCGACCTCGTTCACTCCTCCTCCTCCATCCATGCAGAACAGCAACGTGAGCGAGCACGAGGCGAAGCTCAACGCGCTGCTGTCCAGCGGCGAAGGTCAAGACACCTTTGGAAATACTGGACAGCTGCGTATCCCGGCCCAGCACACCGCGCCCGGCACCTTTGTCAACAGTGCTGGCTCTGGTGTCAGCAGGCTGACGGCCGACGCGACGGGGAGCAACCCCTTCCTGCGCCAGCAGTTTACCGGCATGCCCAACATCTCTTATGGCCAGCAGATGCCGGCGGCTACTGGCCCTGCTAACATGAATGGATTTGGCGGTCAGGGCACCAACAACCCATTCGCGGGTCGGCCACAGCAGCAACAGCAGCAGGGAGGCCAGGGAGATCTGATTCAGTTCTAGCGGGGGTCGGTGTTGACGATATGTCTCTTGGGCCATGGTGGACCTCTTTGATTCCGCACTACATCTCTCGTCATAGTGCCATGCGCTCCCTACTGTCTCTTCTTACTACACATTGCATGTGACGTTGCTGCCTTGTTCTTTTTGATTTTCTGCAGGGTAGCGGGAGGTACGAGAAAAAGCTTCTTTCGGTGCTATCGTCCTGCACCTTTACACCAGATGAGATAGCCGCTTCTCCTTTTTTTTTATACACCAATACAGTGTTTTTTTTTGGCAGTGGATGACGGCAACGACATTGGAATTTTTCAAGATTATGTCGAGAGCGTGTATCTGTATCTACATATCCATCTATACATGCACGAAGCGCAGGAGGAGATATATGACTTGGAGGATGTGTGGTGGGTGAGATAGGTCACAGAGAATCGATGATTTGCAATCAAATGCGCACAGCCACAGTACAGCCCTTGTTTTCGTCGAAATTAGTGACCATATGACCTGATGATGAACAAAGAGTGTTTCACAAAGTGGAATAGGATTGAAGGCATTCACGGTCGCTGCCTCTTTACTGGCAGGTCTGGGCAGCCTGGCCAATCAGGCGAGGGAATTGGCATTAGGCAGGTGAGTGGTCTGCTGCCTGAGGTGTTTTGGTAGGGACAGCTGGTCCTCAAATACGGGCCCCACTCTGCGACAGAGCTCAGGCCCGCCCACCATTTTCCTACTTCACTACCCGACTTCACTACCTTATTCCCTAGCCCACTCAACCTCGAACTCCGTCACCACATCTTCTCTGGTCACTGGCAGGGGGGCACTCATACATCAGAGAGCTCCAGCTGCCTACCTAGTGCGAGAACAACTCCAGCTCCATTTGCGGCTTTGTCCTCTGTCTTCGAGGAGGGGTCTCTTCTTTGTCTCCTTTACCGCTTTCATTCGTTTCCATTCCCCAATACCTTTTTATTTTCCTCACTCCTGCCTCACGTAGGCTCGAGGTCTTGGCTTTGCAAGACGGAGGCTTCCAAGGCTGTCTCCACCAGGATTTTACCTTAGCTGGCTGCAAATGTCAACCAGCCTCATTTAAAAAATACCTTTCATCCCCTCGACCCAAACAACCCACACCCCCAAACGGAGCTCTCTCGACCGCCCGCCGCTATAGCACGCGCGCAGTCGACTGTATCTCCGTACGAGCATCATTCCCTAGGTCGGCAAATATCGGTGCGTCGTCTTTGATTATCGAAACAAAGGCCACAGGCTTCGACCGTTCCCAACGCGTCGGGCGCGCGACACCTTGCCCTCGCGACCTGCGACTGTCAACCCAAACCATCTTGACATCAAGCTCTCGATAGCAGAAACAAGATGTCTTTTGGCGGCGGCGGTTTCTCTGGCTTCGGCCAGCAGAATCAACAATCCTCGGGTGGATTTGGTGGCTTTGGCTCCCAACCCTCGACTAGCGGAGGTAAGTTTTGTGTGTACTGTCATTTTGCTCCCTGCATCCTGCGCGTCCCGTCCTGCTTTCCGCTTTTTCTGCGTCGAGATCCGTCTCGGACCCCATCACCATCGGGACACACCGAGCTAACGTCGTGATTCCGTGCCATCAGCCTTTGGCTCGACGAGCGGTGGCTTCGGCAGCACCCCGGCCCAGAGCTCGGGAGGAGGTCTCTTCGGTTCCTCCTCGACTGGCGGCGGTTTCGGCACCACAAGCGGTACGCTTTACTTCCTCGTTCTATACCCGAGACTTCCTTCCTTCCTCGCCTATCGATCAGAACGATGCAATGAGCTTTTTGCTTTACCTGTCAACTTTTTAGTGATGGTGCACAGCAAACGCGTTACTAACAAGAGTCTTTGTTCTAGGCGGTTTCGGCTCAGGCACTGGTGGCGGTTTTGGCGCCAAGCCCGCCTTTGGTAGCACGACCACGACAGCCGGCGGTGGTCTCTTTGGATCTTCGACGACGGCTACTGCTGGCGGAACGGGATTCGGCAGCGGTGGCTTCGGCTCGAACACCGCGTCGTCATCCACCCCTTTCGGCGGCGGCGGCGGCTCGTCGATGTTTGGAGGAAACAAGCCCGCCACCACCTTTGGCGCTGGCACGACCGGCACGACCGGTTCATCACTGTTCGGCGGCGGCGCAACTGGTGGCTTTGGCAGCGGAAGCACAGGATTCGGAGCTACAAGCAACCCTGGTATCGGCACCAATGTTGGAGAACCCCCAGGCACAGCTCAGGTGCAGTTCCAGCCGACCGTTGAGAAGGAGGCAAACAACCCCAGCCAATCCAACTCCTTCCAGAATATCCTCTTCATGGAGCCGTACAAGAAGTGGTCTGCCGAAGAGCTGCGGCTTGCCGACTACAACCAGGGCCGACGACATGGCAATGCGAGCGGCTCGACTGGAGCTTTTGGTGTGAGCTCCGGATTTGGTAGCGGCGGATTTGGAAGCACGGGTTCCGGGTTCGGCAGCACCAACACCGGTACTACTGGCGGCGGCGGTCTGTTCGGTAGTACCCAGCCTGCCTCGACAGGTTTCGGTCAGGCAGCCACAACCGGCAGCGGCTTTGGCTCAGGCACCTCCGGTGGTCTTTTTGGCCAGCAGAACAAGCCTGCAACCGGCCTCTTTGGGTCTACATCACAGCCTCAACAGACCGGCGGCCTTTTTGGATCGGCATCCACTTTTGGTAGCACGTCCGCCGGCAACGCATTCGGATCTGGCGCTAATACCGCCGCCACCACTGGCAGCGGCCTCTTTGGATCTGGTACCACACAGGCCAAACCTTCTTCATCTTTCAACTTTGGTACAGGAGGCGCGCAAACTGGCTTTGGCGGTGCGGGCACGACCGGTGGCTTCGGAAGCACCACTGGCACCGCCACCGGTACCGGAGGCGGTATTTTCGGCGGTGGAGGCAGTCAGACCACGGGCAGCGGCCTCTTTGGCGGCTCAACCCAGGCGGGTACCGGCAGCGGCTTTGGTGGTGGCTTTGGTGGACAGGGGCAACAACAGCAGCAGCAGCAGCAGCAGCAGCAGCAAGGTGGAGGTCTCTTTGGTAACGCACAACAGCAGAAACCAGGTGGACTCTTCGGAAACACGGGAAACACCAACACCGGCGGTGGCCTCTTTGGTAACGCGAATCAGGCACAGTCAGCGTTTGGTGGTGGCCAGACTGCTCAGCCTTCAGGCGGCCTGTTTGGTAACAAGCCGGCAGGATCGACAGGCGGTGGTTTGTTTGGTAGTGCCACAGCCACCCAGACAGGAGCAACTGGTGGAGGTCTCTTCGGCGGTCTTGGTGGCGCCGCCCAGACCCAACAACAACCCGCCGCTCAGCCCGGCGGTCTCTTTGGCGCAAGCCAAGCCAAGCCCTCGTTGTTTGGAGGATCTACGCAGTCGACTGGAGGTGGTCTGTTTGGTGCCCAGACCGCTCAACCCCAGTCCCTCTTCGGTAACACCGCAACGCAACAGCAGCCCCAAGCCACCAACCCCTTGTTCGGTGCTTCTCAGGGCGCGCAGAACACTCCTCAGTCGTTGACGACTAGCATCAATGATGTCTCTGCCTTCGGCACACCGTCTCTTTTCCAAGGTCTAGGCGCCGGCGAAGTGCGCGACCCTGGTCCGCTGGCTACTCCCTTGTCCGGTAGCACCACCAAGACGCCCCGACGCGGCTCCATTCTGCCTCTTTACAAGCTTAACCCGGGCTCGGCTTCCAAGTTTGTCACTCCCTCGAAGCGTGGCTTTGGGTTTTCATACAGCAACTTTGGCACCCCCACCAGCCCTTCGAGCGTAGCAAGCACTCCCGGAGGGTTCGGCCAGAGCCTCCTCATGGGCAGCACCCGCGGTCTGAGCAAGAGCATCTCTTCCAGCAGCCTCCGCCGCAGCTTCAATCCCGAAGACAGCATCCTCGCTCCTGGCGCTTTCTCTTCTACATCCGGACCCAAGTACCACACCGGCACTGGGAGCGTCAAGCGACTTGTCATCAACCGTGAGATCCGCAGCGATCTCTTCAGCACTCCCAACAAAGAGAAGCAGCCTGCTGAGCTGCTCAACGGCTCTCGCAAGCTCTCTAAGCGTGTCAGCTTCGATACAAGCACTGTCCCCGCTATCGAGAACGGTGTTGCGGGCGGAGAGGCCGTTGAGGAATCTGCCCAGGACTTGGGTTTCATCCGGCCATCCACGCGCACCAGCAACAATGCCAACGGGTCGCGGCCCAGCTCTTCCGATGCCAACCCCGAAATGGAGCAGGTCAAGGGTAACGAACTGGCCATCGTACACGAGGAAGGCTCCCCGACCGTCACCAAGTCAGTTGAGCCCCCCAAGATCAACGGCGAGTACTGGATGCGACCTTCTATGGAGGAGATCAACGCCATGAATCGCATGCAGCGCCAGCAAGTCTCAGACTTCACTGTCGGTCGCAAGGGCATTGGTCAGATCCGATTTAAGGTCCCCGTCGATCTGAGCAACATCAATATCGAGGACATCCCCGGTGGAATCGTCCTGCTGGAGACTCGCTCTGCGACCGTCTATCCTGTCGCCGCCAAGAAACCCCCTATGGGCAAGGGTCTGAATGTTCCTTCTGAGATCTCGCTCGAGCATTCGTGGCCGCGTGGTCGCGTTCATGAGAAGTCCGGCCCGCGGGTTGCGAAACATGTAGAGCGCCTGAAGAAGATTGATAACACCACCTTCATCAACTACGACGCCGACACGGGTGTCTGGACTTTTACTGTGGAGCACTTCACTACCTACGGCCTGGACTATGACGAGGACGAGGAGGAGACCGAGCCGCAGGCCGACACCCAAGAGCGAGAGGATCTGCCCGTTCTCCCTCCTCACCAGCCGGTGCAGACCTTTGTGGCGCCCCCGGAGGTCGACGATGATGACACGTTCGAATTTCGTAGGAACCGTAGGGCCGTTCCCGGAGCTTTCGATGATGAAGCTATGTCGGATGATGAGATTGTGCCCCAGAAGCAGTCTTTTTTATCTAGTGGCTCCGCGGAATACGTATCCGCTCGCTCCGTCGTGCCTGTGATTGCAGACGACGAGGAGATGGATCACGGTGATGTGGCCTTGGAGAACGAGGATATGGCGATCTCGACTTTCCAGCCCCATCATCCCGCGGAGCCCCAAGCAACGTCGCCACAACTAGGCTCGACTATGGTTCCCGACACGCCCGCCGGCATCGTGCGAGCGAGGATGCGGGCGATCAAAGAGTCTGCTACACCCCTCAAGCTCCAGGTCGCTGGCGGTGATGACTGGATGGACATGCTACGTAGGACTGTCAGTCCTCAGAAACGTGACCGGGCTGCGCTCAGGGCCCTGAACGATGTTGAGCTTCATGGGCCAGGTGTACAGGAGAAGGCACCTGTAGTTAGAAACCGCCTGGTCTCGGACGGCAGGGGCTTTGCGACGAGCATCGACCTGATGAACTCGCTCTTTGAGAAGGCCCAGGCGCCTGTCCAGCCCACACAGACCATTACGCCCGCAACGGGCTTCATGAAGGTCGGTTCTTAAATTTGTTCTTTTACCGCTGTTTGCCACAAAGGCAGCAAAATTCAGAGCCATTGTTCTGCTTTGAGCCGCCTTCCCTGTTTTGCAATGTGATTTCTGTTCATCTCTACCGTTCCATGCCGTCACTAACTCAGTCTACAGTGGCCCTACAAGCGACAGTCAAAACAACCCGAGAACGAAGCAGACATGGACCCCAAGGATCGATCTTTCCACGACTCCTTTAAGCCTTCTTGGGCTCCTGATGGGGCCTTCCTGGTTCGAAACAACAAGTTGAACGGCTTTTCCGACGGTGTCGGTGTCGTCAAGAGCTCTGCATTCACCGGTGACTTCCCTATTGAGAACCCCCTCGAGGGTATTGCCGACCATCGGGATTTGGTGGACATTCATGTCGTCAACGGCGTCCCCACCGTCTCGACTCAGCGCGTTCCTAATCTCAAGGCCTTTTCAACTTTCAGTTCCGCTGCGAAGCGCAAGCAGTCGGATCGCCTCGACTCGATCTCGCGAAACATCGACTCCTACGAGCGATCGGTGTGGGAGTTGGCGAGTGTCCTATTCGACCCCGTCGACCGTGCTGTCAGCGCCGTGGAGGAGAAGCGCATCCGCAAGGTCAACCTGGCCAAGTTCTGGAGAGGCGTCGTGCAAGATGCGTTCGCCAAGAACCTAGACCGCGCCTTCACGGCCGAGGAGAAAGCTATCGCATACCTGTCTGCCAACAAGGTGGCCGAGGCCTGCAAGCAACTGAGCGACGGCAAAGATCTGAAGCTCGCCACCCTTGTAGCGCTCATTGGCACCAGCGATGCGGTTCAAAAGGACATGAAGGAGCAGATGGAGGAGTGGCACGATGGCGATGTCCTCTCCGAGTTTAGCTTGGCCATCCGGGCCATCTACTCGCTTCTGGGTGGCAGTGTTACGGAATGCAAGGGCAAGAAGGGTGTCGGAGTCGAGAACCGCCTGGACACCGAGAACATTGCAGAGCGGTTTGGCTTGAACTGGAAGCAGGCCTTTGGTCTGCGTCTGTGGTATGGCATCTCCTCCGAGGACGACATCACCATTGCAGTGGATAAGTTCCTGGATGATGTGGAACATGGGAGCGTGCCCGCTCCTCAGCCCTGGTATGTTGAGCAGGGTCTGCAGGCTGGTTACGAGGACAACAACCTTAACCGCCGAGAGGATCTCCTGTGGGGCCTGCTCAAGGTTTTCGCCGGCCGCGCTAAGCTTGAGGACATCCTCCAGCCGGAGAACTCACAGCTCGCGCCCTTCAACTACCGCCTCTGCTGGCAGCTGAGCCAGGCACTGGGCGCCAAGAACAAGCACCTCTTTGGCGACAAGGCGGAGGCGAAGGCCGACGCGCTCACTGTTTCCTTCGCGACCGAGGTCTTATACTACCAGAAGGAGGGCAGCTGGGTCGCCGCCATCTGGGTCCTCCTGCACCTCAGCGACCCAGCCGCGCGCGCCAAGGCTGTGCAGGACGTCCTCAACCGCAACGCGGCGGCCCTCTTCACGCGCGAGTCGCGCGAGCACAACTACCACGACCGCATCGTCGAGGACATGAAGATCCCCCCGGCCTGGTTCTGGCAGGCCGCCGCGCTGCACTGGCGCAGCCGGCAGGACCGCCCCGCGCTCGAGGCGCGGTGCCTGCTCAAGGCGCGGGCCTTTGCCGACGCGCACAAGATCTTTGCCCGGGAGCTTGCGCCGCGGGCCGTCGTGGCGCGCGACTACACCGACGCCGTGGCCATGCTCGTGCGCTTCCAGCCGCACCGCCAGGCCATCCCCGACTGGGCGCTCGGCGGCGAGGTCTACGGCCACTTCTTCGAGCTGCTGGCGGAGCGGGCCGCCGCGGGCGGCAGCATCGGCGGCGGGCAGAGCAGCAGGGCTTCGGCTTCGTCGGCGCCGCGGCTCGTCGAGGCGCTCATGGCGAGCCTGCCTGCCATGTACGAGGCGTGCGGCGAGTCGGACACGACCGAGGTGGCGGCCATCACCGAGATGGCGGACGTGGTTGCCGGCGAGGCTATCGAGTTGGCTGGCAAGGGACGGGTAAGTTGTGTGCCTACACACAGGATATCATTGTCCATTAACGTTGGGGGATGAAATTTGGCTAACTAAAAGTGTTTGTTATTGCAGATGGATCTGTCCAAGATCTCGCGCCTGCCGCTCACGGAGGACCGGCACCTGAGGTACTCGAACGACCTCGCCTCGGCGTACTACCGCGAGGTTATGAGTGCGCGAGGGTAAGATGAGATGGAATTTCACGATTGAGAACAAGAAAAGGAAGAGAATGTGGCTTTGCATTTCCCATCAGCGCCTTTTTTTTCCGGCACCCAATTTTCTTTTGACCAACTCTTCCCGGTAGCGTGATGGGGGCGTGATGGGAGCGAAGCAGAGCGATGGAACAGGAGAGAGGTGGAAAATGGGGGAGAGGAACGTAGCATTGATCGACATAACATAATTGCACGAGTTTTCTTCGGTTTGGTCTCCTTCCGCATAGCAACATGGTTCGGGGACGTTATTCCTTTTTGGAGGGGAGAGAATCCTGTGGAGAGAGCATAAAAAAAGATGGGAAGAAAGGGGGGGGGATAGCAACACCAAGAACCACCGTCTGCAGAGGGAGAGAGGGATGAAGAAAACCTCTTCGAAGTGTAGTAGATAGATATGTAACACCCCAACACGCGCGCGCGCAAACACAACAACATCCGATGCTCATGAAGCTCATGAGAATTTGGACCCTTAGATAGTTTCCCCCCTTTTTTTTGCCAAAATAAAAAGACATAAAAATGTCTTTATACATTCTCCATCTGTCCCCGCCGCCTTCACTGTGCGTGATATTGGAAATCTTTGGCACATTTGTAATACACGATGGGTTATCGTCGAAATCTCCTCGAATACCAGAATCGTTTTTATCCTTCTACAAGTGAATCTAACACCACAAGTTGACACAATCCATGCATGCCCCTTTGGCACAGGTGGAAGGAAGTCTATCGAAGAAGAAACTCCGTCGCCCTCATCCATCCCTTTAGGCCGAAAACGCCCTGAACGCCACACCATCCATCCATCCATCCATCATCGTCATCGTGCGTGCCATTGTCGTATCGTCCTGCGCCGCATCTTACCATCGCCGGTCGTACACAGGATCCCTGGCCTTGGGCTTCTCGACCGCGACGCCTCCTCCCCTGCGCATACCGCTCATGACACCACCCACATCCTGCACCGCCGCCGTGCCGTCCGTGCCGACGTTGCCCGTGTAGTAGTCCATCCTGCTGCCGCCGCCGCCGCCGGCAGCGGCGCCGTCGTGCTTGAATAGATCCAGAATCTCGTTGAGGCCGAGCTTAAGCGCGTTCTTCTTGCGCATGCCGCCCTCGATGGCCTGCTCGGCCAGCAGCCTCTTCTTGTCCTGCAGCTCGAGGATGCGCTCCTCGACGGTGCCCGCGACCGTCAGGCGGTAGACGACCACGTCGACCGTCTGCGTGAGGCGGTGCACGCGGTCAATGGCCTGCTCCTCGACAAAGGGGTTCCAGAAGGGCTCGAGGATGACGACGCGCGTGGCGGCCGTCAGGTTGAGGCCCAGCGAGCCGCACTTGAGGCTGCACAGCAGGATGCGCGTGCCGGCATCGTTGCGCAGGCGGTGCAGGCTCTCCTCGCGCGCGTCGTTCTTCATGCCGCCGTCGTAGCGCGTGAACTTGAACCCTTCCTTGCGGAAGAAGGGCTCGACGAGGTCCAGCATCGAGGTGAACTGAGAGAAGACGATAAACTTGTGCTCGTGGACCTCCTTGTGCAGGATCTCTACGAGCTGGCGGATCTTGGCAGACTGCATGGTGTGCTTTGATGCCGAGGAGCCTCCCTTGACGCGCGATGTCAGGCGGCCTGGCTTATTATGGAGGAATCGGCCGGTGTCATCGGAATCGATATCCGATTCCGATACGCCCGTGTCCTCGTCTGCTGACTCGTACTCCGTCTCCGAGCCCGTGTCAGATGCAGAGGCCTGCGAGCGCTTCTTCTCTTCGACAACTTGAGAGTGAACCTTTGCGATGGAAAGGAACGTATCGTCATCAGCAGTGGCATCGGCCTTGCTCTTATCTGCGCCACCCTCGTCATCCACGACGAAGCTGGACAGGCGGCTACCATCGTCTTCGTCCTCGGAACGATGTATCGAGTCGTCCGAGTTGATCCAGTCGCCCCCACCTTCCGCATTCTCGTCCTCCTCGCCACCAGCCTTGCCTAGGTGGAGAGATCCTTGCTCATCCTCCGGGACCAGCCAGCTCCCAGCTTCCTCTTCATCGTCGCTGTCAATAATGGCACGCCGGTTCCTCGGTTTCCTCTTCTTGACCTCCACCTTGACTTCCTCTTGCACGACCTTCTTGACCTTCTTCTTCTTTGACCGCTTCCGCTCAGGACTATCCTGGTCGAATTGGGCGCGGTCCTCAGCACACGCATCACAGATGGCCCTGCCGTCGGCGGCAGCGTCCTTGGAGAGCTCGCTCATGCACACATCGCATTGCTTCGTCTGGATCCCCATGCCGCCAAAAGCATCGGCAAGCGCGTCGAGGTCGTCATCTGCAGCCTTGGGCTGCACAGTCGTAGTAGTGTCGGTGGAAAGCGCATCCTTGTCCTTCTCCAGCTTGCCATCCACCAGTCTTGGGTGGTTGCATGCCTGCCGTAGTCGAAGCAGCAAGACTAAAGCATTAGCATAGTTGACTTTGCCCTTCATCATCTTCTCGAGACTCTTGTCGGCACGCTCCGCGAGCCGGTCATAGAACTGGCGCTCAGCAGGCGAGAACTCGGCAGACATGGTAATGACCTTGCGCTCCGTCACCTTGAACGCAGGAGCTGGAGCAGCAGGGCCTCCACTCTTGGCAGCGGCTTCGAGGGCCTTCTTGCCGCCTGGATTGAGGGCGCCCTCCTCCTTGAGGATTTCTTTCGTACGCCGCTTCATGAAGCAGCGCAAGAGACTATGCAGTCTCCGGATTGCGATGTGGCCCTTGCCGCTCTTCATGGGCGCATCGATATGGGCTCTCCATTCCGACAGGTTATCATAGGGCGTAATTCTCAGGAAATTGACCAGGCTCTGTAGCTCATCGAGGTTGTTCTGCATCGGCGTACCGGTCAAGCACCAGCGGTATTCTGACCGCAGCGCGCAGCACGCCTTCGTAGCTTTGGCGTTGCGATTCTTGATGCTATGAGCCTCATCCAGAATCACTCGGTACCAGTGCAAACCGAAGCAACCAGCCATCACTGAGTCCTTGCACTGGCCATGCTCGGATACCAGAATCTGGTATGTGGTGATGACAACGTCATATCGCGCAAGGTCTTGGAACCTCTTGGTTCGGTTCGGGCCATGATGCACACAGACCGTGAGTCGATGGCTGTTAGACACCTTCTCCTTAATCTCGGTCTCCCACTGCCGAATCAGCGCAAGGGGCGCAACCACAAGGGTAGCTCGCTCGACCTGGTCGAAATGCTTCTTCCAGCCTTTCTCGTCGTGCTTTGGCTTCGGGTTGCTAATGATCAGAGAGATTGACTGCAAAGTCTTGCCCAGACCCATATCATCGGCTAGAATGCCGCCTTTTGGCAGTTTTCCCCTCTTGATAGGACCAAGCTCACGACCTTTCATCCACTCTACGCCCTCGACTTGATGTGGCAAGAGTTTGACCTTGACACCCTCAAGCACGCCATCTTCCAGTCCTTCGTGGGCTACCTTGTCTTCATCCTCCTCTTCCATGCCGCCTTCAAGCAGAGCCTTGAGATCCGCAGACGCCTTTGCGGGGTCTGTATAGAAGTGCACGTCGTTGTAGGCTGACGGGGTGTATGTCGGGGCAGCGTCGAGCGAAGGTAGGGAGCTATACAGCTGAGGCGGGGTAGGCTTCTTGTCCTCGTACTTGGGTGCCAGTGGACCTGCCACCCTGTGTACCGCTCTATGGTGCTCAGGCCTGTTCTTCGGCTGGTAAAACATGCTGCTCTCCTTCTTCTTCTGCTGCTTGATCTGCGAGTGCATCAGAGTGGGGTGGCCAAATGTCGGAGCCTTGGTCGCAGGGCTGTGCGTCAGGTCGATGGCGGCGCTGTTGAGGCCCAATGGTCGGGCGGGGGACTGGCTGGGAGTCTGATTGAGACTCATGTCCGCGAGCTGGGAGCTTATCGCTTGCGAACCGATTATCTTAAGGTCGTCCTCCGAAAAGGAGGAGCTCCGGGAGCGCGCCATCTTGGTAGTGGATAGAGACTGTTGAGATGCCTTGTTGGCAGAGGTAGACTCGAGTGGACGACGGTGATCGCTGCCGGCAATGGGCTTCTTGCTGGGTGAAAGAGGCAAGTCTGGTTTCGTTGCTGCCCCAAGATCGTCTCTTGGCTGGAAACCAAATCCAGCGCCTGGTTTCCTGCAGAAGGGAAGGCAGGATTAGTTGCGTTGCTTGTCCAGCGGTAGGCTTTTATTATGCAACTGTTTGCATCGGTATGACTGGGGGGTTCCGTAATGGAAAGGGGAGACGTACCGCATTTATACAAACAAAGTGGTCGCAGCAACACGGACTTATTACGCGACTGGGATGTTCGTAGTTAATTGACGAGAAGCGAAAACCGCGTTGGCGCCTGTTGAAGACCCCTGGAATTTGGGTCGCTTTCTCTGCTGCCTGCCTCTGCTGGTGTGTTGTTTGCTCTTACTCTATTCGGCCTCACCAAATTTATTATGTCATTGTCAACATGGATGGCGGGGTGGCGCGGCAACGGCAGGTGCGACAGGGTGCCTACTGTCCCCGCTGTGAACTGGTACACTTGCTGCTAACACTCAACACTAGCCTTGCGGAGATAGGAGGTTTTATGCCCGTTGTGCAACTTTTATGCGACATCTCCCACTAACAAGAGCTCATGCACACCTGCACAACATGATGAAATTCAACAGATGCCTCTCGTCAAGCAAGTGATGCTCAGATTAACTGACGGGCTGCGAATAGAAGTACTTGACTATCAATCAAGCCCATCTGTCTTGGGTAGTGGGATACTACCTCAAGATACCAGAGCAAGAAAATGCATTGTTAATATTGAGGTAGCTCTTGATGAACTTCTGTCAATTATTCTGACATTCACTTGGTCAAGGTGTCGTAACAATGCTAGGAAGCATGAGAATTTTAATTTTATCAAGACGACCGAACCAGGAGAGTGGCCAACAAATTACAAAGGAAGAAAACGATGGATAATCCAAGACGAAATAACACACAAACTTAATCACTCCACCAGAAACCTGCGATATCTTACATCGTTGAATTTAATCAATGTTTCTTGACTATGTAATTCACACTAGACAGACAACTAACTCGTTCTATGGACGACAGCCCAAGTGCCGTCTATTTGGAAGGGGTATCAGTGAAAGGATCAAAGCCAACCTTTTTCTTCGTCTCGTTGCGAACCTTCCACCTCTCCTCCCCCCTCAGGCCAGTAGTCGAAGTCTCCTCGAGGAAGAAGTTGATAATGTGATCTGGCAAGGAAAGGTACGACGCCTGTTGACACTCCTGCAGACTGGCAAGGCGTATCAACATTTCCATGAGCGAGAGCGATGTCGTGATGGCTCCGAATGGAGACCGTGATATGAATGAGTCGTGGTTGACAACCTCTTCCTCCTGGCTGTCGCCTCCAACAACCCCATCCTCAACGTGCAATGCCTTGGGAGGCCTTTTTCCAGCCGATGATCCAAGGGAGACATTGCGAATCTGAGTGATCAGCCTCGAGTCCACAGAGGACCGTGGGCGCGATCGTGTCTTTGGCATTTTCAGGGCTTCGTCGTCGTTATTATCTTCCAGAAGAAGACCCGCTTCCAAGTCACTGTCATCGTCGCCAGAAGGATCATCGTCTTCCTCAAAGACTTCAAATGCCAGCCACTCAGGGTCGAGGTGTGCCGGGAACTTCCAGGACGACTTCTCTGGCTCCTGCTGCTCTGTGTCGACAAACACGCCGCTCTCGTCCGCTAGCTGCTTGTCGATATCCTGCTGTTCGATGCTGTCAGCGGTGCAGCCTTGACGATTCTCGGCTAAGTCCTTCAGCATCTCGGTGGAGGTTGGGGCGAGTGCATCCCGCTTGAAGAGCAAGATTGGGTTGCTCTCAAGACCACCGTCGCCACTCAAGTTGAGGATCCTCCCAGTGTCCGCATAGAATATTTTGGAGATCTGATGGAGAGGTATTGACTCTCGAATACCCGCATTTCGGATGTCGTCAAAATGAGCTGGGAAGTCACCCTCATCCTCGTGAACCCGGCCATCTTCGAGATCCTCAATAATCTCAAGATGGTATGCAAACTCATCCGAGTTGCCAACGCCGCGATGCGCCAACGGGAATGGCTCAAGTCCGGCCTCCCTATGCTGGTCTTGTGGTGGGACATATCCGGCTTCTCGGTCAAAAGTCCAACCCAGAGGAGTCCTGCACAAGCGAACACGAGCCTTGTGGAGTACTTCCTGCCATACTGGTGCCCTATCATGCTCGGGCAGCCGAGTGCCAGAGGGAGTCGTCGAGCTTGCGACGCTATTGGACGGCCCTTGGTGAACACTGCCATGGGCTTGAAACAACATGTACAGTGACAGTGAAAAGGACGGCCCAACCTGGACGGCACGGGTTGGGTTGCTTGCGAATTGGGTATCTCCGAAGATGAGGAATGTATTGGCTTGCAGCAGCCTCGACGGCGACACCCCAGACGGTATCGATGCAGAGAGACTGACGCCAGATGTTGAGATGGCAAGCTGCAAGGCTGGAATATCTTGGTCTATACGCCGCAGCAGATCTCTCATGTCTTTGACAATGAGCATCAATTCCGCGAGCTGAGCCTCTGTCGTGCAACCTTGGGCACTGGCAGTACCTAGGCATTCTTCTGCTACCGCAGCAGCTTCCAAGCGCTTCCCCAGAGATAGGATGTCTCGCCGTACCGACTTGGCGACATCAACGGCTCCTTCCATGAAGACATTTCCTCGCCCTGATCTACCAGGCCATCAATCATTAGCACAAGTGTGAACTTGAAAATAGGTTCTCGCCGATACTAACGCAAACTCGATCAAGTCGATGGCCGGGGAAATAATCTAAGCAGAAGGGTCAGGTTAGCAACCAGCTTTCCAGACCTGACATGTCTCCAGAGTTGTGACATCATTACCTTGATCTTGTTGTTCAACGACTGTTGTAGGTCTTTGAGTTCTTGACGGATACCTCGATCATCCACCGTCCTCAGAAGTCGCGAGCATTGGTTGAATGCAAAATTCGAAGTGAAAGCAATGCCACAACGGAACGTCATGTTCAAGGCCTGGCTGCCCAGTCGGGCAAGGAGGGCGTCCATGGTATCTGGACTTGGGCGCTTGCCATGGCACAGCACAATGCAGTGTACTACAGGTGGAAGCTGGCTTGGGGGACTGGAGAGGGAGAGAAAGATGGTGGTGATTTTTTTTTTTTTTTTCATCTGAACTGTTTGCTCTACATGGACCACTTTCATTCACGCGACGTGCAGACGCGATGTTGGTGAGCTCAAGGTCACCCTGGTGACTGAAAGAAAGCAGTGACTCTGTGCGTGTCGTGTTCGTTCATTCTGTGTTAGTGCTCCTGTGGATGTTGAAGTCGACTTCCAAGCCCCTTTAAGTACAACCCAGTCGAGAGGTTACAGGGGCCTGCTTTACGGCTCCTCTGGGCACTGTGTATCGAGACCAGGACAAGGTGGGGCAAATACAGTGCACAACAGGCTGCCGACTGTACAAGTGGGACCAGTTGACACTGCTGGCTGGTCTCCCCCTCTGGTCTTGGTGGCATGGTGGGGGGGGGGGCTGATAATGAATTTGATCTTTCCCTCCCGCCTCATCGCCTCGACGTCGCCGAAATTACAAGGCCTCGATAAACAGCCTGGCATCAACGTCCTGACCCTTGGTTGTAGACATAGCTGCCTGCTTGTTTGCATGCTGGTGACTCAGAACAGCCTGACGACCCTGCCATCTTCAGCCCAATCAACCATCGGCACCTGAAGAAGCTTTCGCGGGGGAAGTCTTGCCGCCAAAAAGTGGGTAGGACGACGATTTTGCGACCCGAGCCTTCGACACCTCCTACGCCTTTTAACAACCTCCCACCTCCTCTCTTGCCCGGACGAGCAATTCCCTCTCGGTTGTTTCACTGCCATCAATTCTCGTCCCCCTAATTCAACCAGACGACATGTCGAACCTCAACTCGTGGGAGGACGACCCCGCTGCTCAGGATGACAACCTGGCGCAGCAGGCAGGACAAATGAACCTGGGCAACAACCAGCAGGCCGGACGTGGTGGCTTCCGACCGGGCGTCTCCAGCTTCCAGCCCGGAGCACAGTCTTTCCAGCCCGGAGCGCAATCATTCCAGCCAGGACAGCCCTACGGCGGAGGCTTTCAGCAATACCAGCAACCGCAGCAATACTATAACCAGGGCTACGGCCAGGTCTATGGCCAGGGCGGCTACGGTCAGCAGGGCTATAATCAGGGCTACGGCCAAGTCTACGGTCAAGGCAGTTACAACCAGGGTTACGGTAGGCGACTGTCGGTCTCTTCTCACTCTACGACCTCTCACTGACATGTTTCACCACAGGCCAGTACCCTGGTTACCAGCAGCAGCAGCAGCAGCAGCAACAGCAACAGCAACAGCAGGCTCCAGCTTCCCAGCAGCAGCCCGCTCCCACTCAGCCCAAGGCCACCCCTACGATCGCCAAGAGGCCGGCTGACGGAGCCTCCTCGGCCGATGCGCCTAAGCCCGTCGCAACCAAGGAGGGCGGGGCCAAGGTTCTGAGCATTGGAGCGGAGACGGCGAAGCCCAAGGCCAAGGTTCTTTCGATCGGCGGCACGGCAGCTCCCAAGGCGGAGCCCAAGAAACAGGAGGCCAAGGAGGCGGAGAAGGCTGAGCCCAAGGCGGCAGCGGCAGCGGCAGCGGCTGGAGCCGAGGCTGGAGCCAAGGTCACCGCGGCCAAGGCGATCGAAAAGACGACGGGGACCGACAAGACCACATCGAGCGGGAAGACCTCGCCGACCCCGTCCTCAGGGCGCTCTAGCCCGTCCCGCGGAGCCAAGTGCCCTGCTCGTGATGTCGACGCCGTCCAGAAGGAGCAAGCTGCTGATGTCGACGAGGACACCCTCAAGGAGATTTACGGCAAGGAGCACGTCAACATTATCTTCATCGGCCACGTCGATGCCGGAAAGTCAACTCTCGGTGGCTCCATCCTCTACGCCACCGGTATGGTGGACCAACGCACACTCGACAAGTACAAGAGGGAAGCCAAGGACATGGGACGTGAGACCTGGTATCTGTCTTGGGCTCTGGATTTGACCAACGAAGAGCGTTCCAAGGGCAAGACCGTCGAGGTTGGCCGTGGCTACTTCGAGACCGACAAGCGGCGGTACAGTATCCTCGATGCCCCCGGTCACAAGACGTACGTCCCCAACATGATTGGCGGTGCCTCACAAGCGGATGTCGGTATTCTGGTCATCAGTGCCCGCAAGGGCGAGTACGAGACAGGTTTCGAGAAGGGTGGACAGACCCGTGAGCACGCTATGCTTGCCAAGACCCAGGGTGTCAACAAGCTCATCGTCGCCATCAACAAGATGGACGACCCTACGGTCAACTGGTCGCAGGAGCGCTACAAGGAGTGCACCACCAAACTATCTCAGTTTCTCAAGGGTACTGGTTACAACCTGAAGACGGACGTCTTCTTCATGCCCATCGCTGCCCAGCAGCTCATGGGCATCAAGGACAGGGTCCCCAAGGGCGTCGCCGACTGGTACGACGGCCCCTCCCTGCTCGAGTACCTCGACAACATGCAGACCCTGGAGCGGAAGCTCAACGCCCCCTTCATGATGGCCATCAACGGCAAGTACCGCGACATGGGCACCATGGTGGAGGGCAAGATCGAGGCCGGCGTGGTCAAGAAGGGCATGAGCCTCGTCATGATGCCCAACAAGCAGTCGGTCGAGCCGGCGGCCGTGTACGGCGAGACCGAGGACGAGATCCCCATCGGCCAGTGCGGCGACCAGGTGCGCATCCGCCTACGCGGCATCGAGGAGGAGGACATCCTGCCGGGCTTCGTGCTCTGCTCGCCCAAGCGCCTGGTGCACTGCGTCAAGGCCTTCGAGGCGCAGATCCGCATCCTCGAGCTCAAGAGCATCCTGACGGCCGGCTACAACTGCGTGCTGCACGTGCACTCGGCCATCGAGGAGGTCACGTTCGGCGCGCTGCTGCACAAGCTGCAGAAGGGCACCAACCGCAAGAGCAAGCTGCCGCCCTCCCACGCCAAGCGCGGCGACAGCATCATCGCGCGCATGGAGGTCACCGGCGGCGCCGGCGCGGTGTGCGTCGAGCGCTTCGAGGACTACCCCCAGATGGGTCGCTTCACGCTCCGTGATCAGGTAAGCAGACTTTTCCTTCCCGACGATATGCACATGATATCAAAGTGTGCGTCTGTATTTTTCGGAGTCAATTATGTACTAATGCCGTTCTTTCTAATAGGGTCAAACCATTGCCATTGGCAAGATCACCAAGCTCATCCTTGAGGAGTAAATGCTTGGAAAGGGGAGGGGGGCTTTCACTGAGCTTAGCAACCCCCATTGAGGCATTTAGTAGAGATGATCGAGAGTAAAAGGGAGTCTGGGATGCATCTTCATCAAAGCAATCTGGGATAGAGCGGAGGGGGAGGGCCGAGTGGTTTTGTTCTCTTGACCCTGTGATGCCAATTTGCCGAGCAAAGCATGCATGGCCTCGATTTGTCTCCATCCATAGATACAAGGCGCAATTCAAAAGTACAAAATTATGGGCAATGCCAAAGTCGGTCTCCTTTGAATGTAGGTACTCCCAAGAAGAGTAGATCTTCGAGCCGATACCTCGAGAGAACATCTTGTTCAATCTTTGAAGAACTTTTTCTCATCACTCCTTGTTCTATCCCTTAGAAGCCCTTCTAAGTCATGCATTCCTTCTCCCCCCCCCCTTTCCCAGTTAATCGCCTACAAGGTTTCTTTTTTCCCTTCTTCTACAAGCATAATCTCCCCAGTGGCTATGGATCTACGTACGTACGGAGTAGACGCCCGCCCACCCTTGGAGCAAATCCTCCCTTGGCTGTTCCCGTCGGCGGCGGGGGCATGATGATGACCGTTTCATCTGCACGTTTGATCCACGCATTCCCGGCGCAACGTGCCTCAATGCCTAGACACATCACATCACATCTGCGCAAGTTAAACAAGAAAAAAGAAATCCTGGTCGACCTTCGGGGCATTTGGCCGTGAACAGTCGGTTCAGGTCATCTTGGCGGCAAGTCGAGGCGAAGGCAAGCCCTCCCCTCCCTGGCTGTGGTGATCATTCATCGACGCACGGAGAAAGGTCACAACGATTCTTTCAGATCTTGAAGCCAAGGGACAGAATGGTGAGAACAGTGGTCTGGTGCATGCCTATAGTACAATTGTATTGATGCGCTTCATTTTAACTACATGGCTCTGACGGACCTCCAAAAGTCAGCCAGGCACGTAGCAGAACCGGGTAACCCATAATTCTTGGTCCAGCCTTGTGACTGCCGTGAAATGAAGCGGCATATTTTCTTTCTATATCGTGGCAATCGTTCCCGCAATGAGCTCTGCTCACCGGAGCAATGCCCCCTTTCTGTTCTACACAATAAAAAAAAAACCGAAATAGTGTGGGTTGCTCACAGTGTCAAGTACTTCCTCCACCAGTCGATATAGTAAAAAAAGGTCTCCAAGCCCATCATGTCTCACAAAACGCCTTGTCTTGAAAAAAGACGCCTTTTATTCGTCGTCAAGGTCCAGAGCATCGTCGACGCGGGCAGCGGCGTCGAGGTCGCGACCGAGGAGCCTCAGCAGGTTTGCGATGTCCACGTTGCCGGCGGCGCCTCCTGCTCCAGCATTGTTCTTGCCGTTGTTCTTGCCGATAATACCGGCTCCGGCACCGGCACCGCCGCCGAGGATCTGGGTGAGCTGGTTCTGGAGCTAATAGATGGATACAGGTCAGCACTGTGCTGTTCCAATGCACTTTTTGAGATCGAAGAGAGCCTCACGTTCTGGATGATGCCGTCAATGCCGTTCTGCTGGCCTGCGGCCTTGCCCTTGTTCTTCTTGCCGTTGTCCTTTCCGTTGTTCTTCTTCCCATTGTTCTTCTTTCCGTTGTTCTTCTTGCCCCTGTTCTTGCCGTTGTTGTTCTTCTTGCCGTTGTTGTTCTTCTTGCCAGCGCCGGCAGTGCCGTTCGTGGCAGCGCCATTCGTCGGGTTGACGAGGGTAGAGCTATCACCCCGAGTTAGACCACATTGCATCCTTGGTCGAGGGGCTGTGTAGTAGAGGCGAGCTGTCGACTTACTTTCCAGCAGCCGCACCCTTGCCCTTGCCTGCAAGGTCGGCCTTGCCCTTGCCACGGTCCTTGCCCTTACCCTTCTTGCCCTTGCCACGGTCCTTGCCCTTGCCCTTCTTGCCCTTACCGGCTGGGTCAGCGACAGTGGAGCTGCCATCGAGTCAGTTACGCTGCTTCTCGAGAAGTTATGTGGGCAACAGATCGAGAACTCACTTTCCAGCAGCGCCGTTTACCTTGCCCTTGCCCTTGGCCTCCAGGTCGGCCTTGCCCTTTCCCTTGGCTTCAAGGTCGGCCTTGCCCTTTCCCTTGCCCTTGCCGTCGGGGTCGACGGGAGGAGGGGGAGGAGGGGCCACGCCAGTCCCGGCAGGAGGCGGAGGCGGGGGAGGCAGAGTAGCGGCGGTGGCCGGGTCGGCCGCGGCCGCGGCAGCAGTCCTCTCGTCCTCGGCGAGGTCGAGAACATCGACGCCGGCATCAGCCGCGTTTCCGTTGGCGCCCCGAGCATAGATCTCGAGGGCATCGTCGTAGGCAGCGGCCCGGGCGGCCATGTCTCCGGCGGGCATCGCGGCCACGTACGAGGCCGATGCTGCCAGCAGCACAAGAACAGATCCGAGATTCTTCATGTTGGGCAGGTGTATTGGGGATTCTGGATCCGGCCAAAGAAATGGGGTGAAAGATGAAAAAAAGTTGTTGAAGTTGACAGTAAAGGAGCTCAGCTGTTGAACGGATTAGTCTTGTGTGTCTCCCAGCATCCTATGTCCTTGAATACAAACCTCTGTGTGTGTTGACAAAAGGAGTCGTCAAGGCACGAGAATTGGAGAATGAAAGAAGCGAACAGCTAGTGTTCGAGAAGAAAAGGAATGATCTGAATCAGAAAGAGAAATGAAGGCGAAGTGCGTGAAGAGGAAATCATGATGAGATAGGATTGGAGAAGGGAAGCAGACTTATATACTACGTCGACTTACTACGTCGACTTACAGAGCAAGTCAACAATCCATCTCTTCCCCTTCTGGAACTTCGAGACGGGATGGGGCTGATACATCACACGCAAGAGAGCCAACAACCTACATCCTTGACAGTTGACGGCGTGCGAGCCAGGATCCCTGGCTGCTCACCTTACCTTATTCCCTTAGGCGAGGGTCTCCTACCTTGTAAACGGCGACTACTGCCAAAGACGTTTTCGGGGCCGTTGTAACAGCTATTGCGCAAGCTTCTGCCAGGGATATGATGGGCTGTGCAGCCGCCCTGGGCGTTGATCACAGCGATCTGAGGGCACAATCTGGAACCGTGGGTGTAGCTTGTTGTCCAAGGTTCTCGAGGCGTCTGGACTCGTCTCGCGAGGGAGGGAGTTGAAAGAGAGTCTTGGCGCCAATGTTGGGCCAGCCAAGGTGTCGGGTGCCCCCCTACCACGCGTGCCATCCAAAGAGCCTCGAGTGCAAGGAACGTGTTTCTCCCCAACTTCTCCTGCACAGAGCGTGGCCTAGCTAGTTAGGAGGCGGCTCTGCGGGTCGCATCGATCACACAGATTTTGCCTGGGTTGGACCCCGGTAGTTGAGGCAGTGTTCAGTGCTCCTGGTGGTGTGGGGCAATCTGATGCTCGGATCGGAGTCGCTCAAACGGCAGATCAAACAGCCGTGAGCTCCAGGCGCATCAATATGCTAAAGTTAGGTTGCACCAGTAAAAAACTCCTGATCTGATGTCAGTTAGCCCGCACAGCGTGTGTTGCAGCTGTGTGACAGCGAGCAAGGATCTTGTCCCGTTTCAAAACCCGGCCTTCTACTTGTAGCTCTGCTGGATGAGAGCATTGTCCCCCAGGCCCCCCAGCCCCCTCGATGGCTGGCAAAACAAGGTTGAACTGGGATGCGAGATTAGGTTTTGGAGTTGGATGGAGCTTGTGTGTTTCTGGCCCCTGCAACCGACCTTCCGCGGCCCTGTATGTCGAGCTGGTGGGAGAAGAAATGCCTCGCTACACTCTGTTGCTCCTGAATAACCCCAGCCAGGTCTAGGTAATCCGTCCGTGCTGACCAGTCCTGACTTGGCTCTGTTGCTGGGTCGCTGGTGCGAAGGCTGGGGAAGCCCTGGTACAGTTTCAATGCTCTCGGTGTTTCATCCCCCACAAGGTCTGGCCCACGAGGTCTAGACTCTGACATTCTCCGCTGACTGACAGGCTTTAGCTTGGCGAGGAACTTCAGGTGAAGGATCCGAAGTAGTTCAGTCCAATTGCTTTGGGATGTCCAGTTGGAATTCTCTCGGGGTTGGTCGCAGGCCGAATGTTGAGATGGTGTTGTTGCCGCCGCATGAATTACAAGGAAGGAGCAACACAGATGCATCAAAACCAAGGGCAAAGCTCTTGGGGGAAGGCAGGCACGACGCATTCACGAGTCATGACCGAGCCCCAACTTCAGGAGAGTCGAAAGTACCTATCTCGTAAGCACTTGACATGCCTGATCAACCGCACATCAAAGATTTTCTGTGATGTACATAACAGGGGCAATCATAAACCAAATGATCCTGGGTACGGTACTTACGGAGCCGGACGGCTGAGCAGAGGTGGAGCTCCAGACAACAACAGTGCGGGCTGTCTCCTTTCGCTTACAGCTGCCAGAGCCTGTGTGTTGATCTGCTTCAGGAAGAGCGCCGCCTAAGCTCTGCTGTAGCTCTGATCTACGGGGATTTGCACCAAGAAAATGGTCCTACCGAGATGTGCACCCAAGGGTCATTCTTTGTCTTTGAAGCTTGGCATCCCCGAGACATTCAACGATTCGAAACGGGTATTTTGAGAGATATACGATCGAACCAATCACCTATTAAGCAGAGGTTACATTCCTGATGGGAACACGAAAAAGTCATAACCAAGACAAGAGAGAAGAACAAGATAAAACAGAATAGGATATCAACAAAGGAAAAACCCATGGATTCCTCAGTTATTTCACCACCTACCTACCTACTGTATTAAAAGTTATCATATCCGATTCTCCTAAACGAAGTGACTCTCGATGGCAGGAGGTGTCCTCGATGACATCAAGTCACAAAAAGATGCTTGGAGATGTGCAACCGTCAAAAGCTAACTATATTTCGTGTGCTGGACAGCCAGCTGCGGTATCGTATCTGGACACCATCAAACTCTGTCCAATCAAGAAATGCAAGACGAGTCCGTAGCGAAATACGCAGCATGTATATTTTCACTTGCACCACTGCACTGACTTCCCTTTTAATGAGTACAAGTTGAGGACCTCTGCTGATTTGCAATAAACATCCTTCGACGCTTTGCTCTGCCTCTCCCTTTTACATCCCTCTCTCTCGCGCAGAATGAGGGCCTCTCCGGTCGGCTTAAGCTCTGAAGAGCACGGACCAACCCCGGCGGCTTGTCTCGGTAAAAGGTACCCTGTGATAGGTCGATTCAGTTCAAGCTCGGCTCAAGCCGCCTCTGACGGCTTTTTTTCTGGAGAACGTCATGTCCGCCTCGGCAACCCCCGACCGAGTCATAATCCTCTTCCCTCTCTTAACTACCACGGAGTCGTCGAATACTGCGTCTGCACGCGTATTTAACGGAGTGCTGCGCCACAAGTAATACAGGGACAACAGTGGGAGAGGCCAATTGCTCCTATCCGTGGCAGAGCGACAGCGGGAAAGAAGTAGAAAACAGTGTGCTCTTGGCCCTGGGCTATGTCGTTCTGACATCACACCTCCCACCAAGCTCCCCCGTATCATCAAACCCCCCGCACGCACGCACAACATGTCCGCACCTTCGCGGGCGGCGACACGCGCCTGTCGCAGGACAGTATCGTCCTTCCCCAAGTGTCAGAACGCCTCGAGGCACAGCTCGACCGCCGCCTTCGCCAGCCAGTTCCCCGCACGACGATCCACGACGACGCCGAGGCGGCAAAGACTGCAGACGCCGCTCCCCGCGAGACTGCAGAGCAGGTTCTTCTCCGCCACGAGGGGATGCCGAGACGACGAGGCGGCGGCGGCGGCGGAGGAGGAGACCTTCGACCCCAAGGAGATTGAGCGCGAGAGCGACGAGGTAGACGTGTGCATCGTGGGCGGCGGGCCCGCCGGCCTCAGCGCGGCGATCCGCCTCAAGCAGCTGGCCGCCGAGGCCGGCAACGACGACTTCCGCGTCCTGCTGCTCGAGAAGGCCGGCGAGCTCGGCGCCCACATCCTGTCGGGCGCCGTCATCCAGCCGACCTCGATCAACGAGCTCATCCCCGACTGGCTCGACGAGGACAACCCGGACCGCTTCGAGCACGCGACGCCCGCCGGCGCCGACAAGATGCGCTTCCTGACCAAGACCTCGGCCGTGCCGCTGCCGGCCCCGCCCCAGATGCACAACAAGGGCAACTACATCGTCAGCCTGAACCAGTTCACGGCCTGGCTCGGCGCGCGGGCCGAGGAGCTCGGCGTCGAGGTGTACCCGGGCTTCGCCGCCTCCGAGGTGCTCTACAAGCCCGACGGCTCCGTCCGGGGCGTCGCCACCAACGACCTCGGCATCTCGCGCAGCGGCCGGCCCAAGGACTCGTTCGAGCGCGGCATGGAGTTCCACGCCCGCGTCACCCTCTTCGCCGAGGGCTGCCACGGCAGCCTGACCAAGCAGGTCATCAACAAGTTCGACCTGCGCCGCGACAGCCAGCCCCAGACCTACGGCCTCGGCGTCAAGGAGGTCTGGGAGGTCGACCCGGACAAGTTCCGCAGCGGCGAGATCGTCCACTCGATGGGCTACCCCCTGCCCTACGACACCTACGGCGGCGCCTGGATGTACCACTTTGGCGAGAACCTCGTCTCCGTCGGCCTCGTCACCGCCCTCGACTACCCGAACCCGTGGCTGTCCCCGTACCAGGAGTTCCAGAAGCTCAAGCAGCACCCGCTGTACCGCTCCGTCCTCGAGGGCGGCAAGTGCATCTCGTACGGCGCCCGCGCCCTCGTCGAGGGCGGCTTCCAGTCCATCCCGAAAGTCGCCTTCCCCGGCGGCGCCCTGATCGGCGACTCGGCCGGCTTCGTTAACGTGCCCAAGATCAAGGGCACCCACAACGCCATGAAGTCGGGCATGCTGGCCGCCGAGTCGGCCTGGACGGCCCTGACCGAGGGCGACGCCGACGGCTCCGTCTTCCTCTTCGGCTACGAGGACGCGCTGCGCAAGTCGCCCATCTGGAAGGAGCTCAAGGAGGTGCGCAACCTGCGGCCCTCCTTCCAGACGCCGCTCGGCCTGCTCGGCGGGCTCGCCTGGTCCGGCCTCGACACCTTCCTGCTCAAGGGCCGCGTGCCCTTCACCTTCAAGCACCACCCGGACTACGCCGCCACCAAGCCCGCCGACCAGTGCAAGAAGATCGAGTACGAGAAGCCCGACGGCAAGATCTCGTTCGACATCCTCACGAGCGTCTCGCGCACCGGCACCAACCACGAGGAGGACCAGCCCGTGCACCTGCAGGTCAAGGACTGGGACCAGCACGCCGTCGAGACGTGGCCCAAGTTCAAGGGCATCGAGAACCGCTTCTGCCCGGCGGGCGTGTACGAGTACGTCGAGGATGCGTCCAAGCCCAACGGCGTGAGGTTCCAGATCAACGCACAAAAGTAAGTTTTCGTCTTCTTTCAATTCTATTCGTATCTTGCCTATCTGCTCCAAATGCTGTGCGCGCACACTCCACGCACGCAAACTAGAACACTTGCTGACTTTCTTGACCCTTTTCCAGCTGTATTCACTGCAAGACCTGTGATATCAAGGCTCCTAACCAAGATATAAACTGGCAAGTGCCTCAGGGCGGGGAGGGACCAAAATACTACATGACATAGATCAAAGGCAACATTTGGCTTCAATATACTGTAAATACCCCCATACCTATATCTGTGCTGCAAGTCAAGCGTACGGAGTAGTTGAACAGGCGCTGCGCAATGTGCAAGTGCGGGACTGCCCGTCGGCGTCGGGAATGTCCCAGAAAAACATCATGACAATGATATGCGACAGCTTACGTATACCTATCGGAAGGGAAATAGGTCCTACTTGGTGGATTATCGATTTTCTTTGGCGTAAATGGTTCCCGGTGCTTCCGCCAATACGAAGATCATGCCTTCTGCAGGCTGCCAGGAGAGAAAGAAACATATATAGGAATGCACGTCTGGAGCAAACATATTCTCCGCATTCCAGATGTAGCTTTCAGCTCTGAAACAAGGGGCTGGAGACGGCCAAGTACTTCGCTCAACGCATGCAGTCGCACGAAAACGACGCGCGCGTGTGGAGGGCGCGTGGTGTGTGAGCATGCATGGTCTAGAGTGCCGTTTGCATATGGCTGACCCCCAACCAACCAAACAGGAGGCATCCAGTATCGTTCTTAATTTGGTTGCATGGGTTCTTTGATTAAATAGAGCTGACATGCAGCCTTTGCCCAACTGCCATAGGGCCTAAGCGCTTTTTGTCCCCGGCCTAGCCAATGGCATCCCCCCGTTTGCCTCCTGTCGTCATCTGCTGTCAATTACCGTACCGACAAATGCAGGACTGCAGCAAGTGGGCACCCGTCGACGGCAAACAGCAAAAGTCCGACGCCTGGGTCAGAGCGAGGGAGCGAGGCGTATGGAGTACGGTGCAAAATCCACTGAATGGAAGCGAAGCTCTCGCTAACCCGCGATCACGGAAGGACTGGCTCGCGCTCAAAAGTCTCAGTCGAGCATATTTCAATGTCGCAAGCCACAAGCCACACGGACACATATGCAGTGCGAATGCGCCTGTTATGCGATGGATCAAGGCAGCCATGGTTCAGCCAAAGGTTGTGCAATCTGATTTGTGCACAACCAGAGACACGAATGAGTCATAGTGCAAGAAAGGGGGGGGCAAGGCTGGGACCGACACAATGCACAAACGAAGGCGAGCAGGAGCGGGTCAAGCACCGACAGGGATGCTTGCTGTTGGCGGCCTGAGCTAAGGCGTGATGCGGGTTGTACCTCTACATCTGGACATCCGAGGGGAAGGCATGCTCAGTGCGGCCTGGGCTTTAGGGCCTGCCGCCGAGGTTGGGAGGGGCCTCCAGGGGGTTTAGGAACGGGCCAGAACCTCCACCCCCTCTGTAATTTGCTCTCTGAACTGATAAGCCAGGGGGGTCCAACCCCCCCTGTGGAGGACAGGGAGGGGAAAGAGTTGGAAAGCATGAGAATCTTTTCCCACCTCCTGAGACGGGGTCTCGAGCGGCGTGTGTAAAGCAGATCTCCAAAGCGTGTGATGTCGGCGGCATCAAGCAGGTCTGCTCTGTCTCCTGTACGACCCAGGAGGCGGTCAAGAGACAGATCACAGGGATCACAGGGAGCAGGAACGGCTCGTAGCACGAACAGCTTGCTGTTGGGTGCAGAAAGAAAAGAAAGGTTGAGAGGAAAAGAGACTGCGATGCTCCAAAGATGACGGGTGGGATGGGAGAAGGAGGAGAACGAGGAGCGAGGAGGGGCGCAGGACGAATGGAAAGAAAATGAAATGAACAGGTCCTACCAGGCCCTAGGGTTGACAGGGATGCCTGAGGCTGGGGGCCAAGCTGAGTGGATCGCACTTAGCGGCCTGGTTATCTCCGAAAAAGCATGTTACACGAATCCGAATCCGCGCCGGCCACGGTCATGGGCTGGCTTGCTCGTCATGGTGGAGATTCGCCCGAGCCCAAGGGAGATGTGATAATCCTGAATCGCGTCGGGGTGGTGGGGAGGGTTCCGATAGAAACCGAAAAGCAATGCGCTTTCGGGGTTCGCGATAGCTTCGCCGTGCAAACAAGCACTCGACTCTTTTCCTGGCTTGTTGAGTGCGGCCTGTGCCGGGCAAAGATTCAGTGCGAGATCCGACGGGAATAAGTAGACAGAGTACAGAGCAGGCAGAAATGATGACGGCTTGCAGCCTGGTGCGGAAGCGGAGGTAGCAGAAGCTGCCCATCTCGTCGCCACATTTCTACCACGGCTCAGAACCCGTCCGCCATCGCGTCCAGACGCTTGTCTTCGCAATCGTGCAGCTGCAGGAGAAAACAAAAGAAAAGAAAGAAAGAAGTGATGCGCAGCATGAACGCTTGGGGCATTCCGTGATCGCATCGTAGGGAGAGCGTGTTTGATCGAACACGACTCGGTATGCGAAAAGAAGCGAAAGAAGATGCCTCTTGATCGCTCCCATCCAAAACACGAAAAAGGATGTGTGTAAGAAGAGACGAGTAGAAAATGAAAACGGAATCCAGCGACAGTTGACCAGCTTTGGCTTCGGCTGCTTGAGATAAGGAGGTGCAAAGTGTTTCAGAGGGAGGGTGTGGTGGTGTTGCATGTGCGCCCGAGTGTCGCCAGTCCAGGGTTGGATTACGAAAATCGGTGGGCTGGCTGTGGATTTCGCAGGAAAAGCAGCGGCATCAGTGGCTGCCAAGGACCGGCATGGCCAGCGCTCGACATGCGCAAGTACCGGTACTTCGAGCCATGGCATGCATCGTCTCCTGAGCGACAGCCAGAGAAGTGCGGTTTGTGGATCCCAAAAACAGAAAAGGGGAGGGATTAGAGCCGTTTGCGCCCGGTCATTGGCCCAAACTTTGCTAGTGGCCCCCCTGAACGACTGGCCAGGAAAGCTTCCCAGCAGCGGACCCGCCGCCACAGCCAGATCTTCTTGCCTGAGGTTGCCACAGCGTGCTGCAGGCGAAAATTATAAGAAGGCACTGCTCCCCTCGCCCGCCTGTTTTGAAAATTCTTGCGCGGAAGTCCCGACCGGCCCTACGTATTTGCTACATCTACGTTTGGCCTCATTTTTTTTTAATACCCACCCACACACACACCCCTCCCCCTCACCTTACCACACCGAACCCCAACGTCACCACGACGATTGCGATTCTCTTGGCAATAATCCCATTGCTATTTCCTCTCTCCGCGTTGTGTGTGCGCAAAACCCATATTTAGATTTTTAATCTCGTCGACGAGTCCTCAGGAAGACATCGCGACAAAGCCCACAGGCGTTCGGACAGACTGCGCTCGCGCTCTATCGACTCGGACCCTCAACCCTTTGTCGACGACGTCAACTTGCTCTCGACCGACGATCACCTAAGGCAAAACCCATTTGCACCACCCACGTAGTGCATCGCCGAAATCAAGAATAGAGTGTGCGGCCGTCGCCATACCTTCATTGAGTCTGATTTGGAGAGAAAGTGAGAGGATTGTTTGAGAATCCTTCACCAGTGTTTTGAGCATTCCACCCTCATCGCACAGCACAAGAGCCATCACCGCGGCTTGTGTTCCTGTCTGCAGAGTGCCCAAGATTGAAAAGTCTGGTCCTTTGCCCGTCCATCTCTAGAGCAGCGTCTAGTTGGGGAGGCATTCACTTGTTCATCTCCTGCTTCTGGTAAGTCGAGACTTTATGCTGCCATTCAGCAGCGCCTCAGAGCCAGCTTCACCTACCCGTTCACCCTGCCGTTCACCTTGGCCTCGTTTGAATCTCTGAGCGCGCCACCGCTGTCTGATTCACTGTGCCCCTCCGCTTCAAGTTTCGCCTCCCCCCAAAAAAGTATTTAAGGCACACCACTTCCCCCGCCCCACTGAAACTGAACCGCTCTACCACATTTTACATTCTGGGGATCTGGCTGCTAATCAGATCCGTTTCAGATCTGCTCTCATTGGTTTTTCACCATCAGAACGGATTCCCTGACCCTCTATTTCAATATGGAGGCGATTCAAACCCATCCCGCGAACGCGGCCCAGGCCAAGGCCTTTACCGCTCCGGGCTCCCTGTCCTTCCCCACCGGTCACAGCGAGTTGACACCTCCAAACGACGCGGTCAATGGCCAGCGCCCCGTCATGAACGGTGGCCAGCAGCCAGCCCAAGCCGTCAACGGTACCGGGGTGACTCCCGCGACTCCTGCTGCGACCCCTGCTGCGATCCAGGGAGGTAGTGGTTTGACACCGACTTTGCAGTATGTATTGCCCCCGCCTTGCATGCGTGGGTGTATCTGAAGGCTTATCACGCCTGTAAAGGAACATTGTTGCAACGGTCAATCTCGACTGCCGTCTGGACCTCAAGACCATTGCGCTGCACGCTCGCAACGCCGAGTACAACCCAAAGGTACTACTGATCCGTCATAGGAGACTTTGTTCTTTTTGACACAGTTGGCTAACACGCAAGAAAAGCGTTTCGCGGCCGTCATCATGCGTATCCGCGAGCCCAAGACCACTGCGCTGATCTTTGCCTCTGGCAAGATGGTCGTCACTGGTGCCAAGTCTGAGGATGACTCGAAGCTTGCCTCGCGCAAGTATGCGCGCATCATCCAGAAGCTGGGCTTCAACGCCAAGTTCACGGATTTCAAGATCCAGAACATCGTCGGTTCTTGCGATATCAAGTTCCCTATTCGTCTCGAGGGTCTGGCTTCGCGCCATCACAACTTCAGTTCCTACGAACCCGAGTTGTTCCCTGGTCTGATCTACCGCATGATCAAGCCGAAGATTGTCCTGCTCATCTTCGTGAGCGGCAAGATCGTCCTCACTGGCGCCAAAGTCCGTGAGGAGATCTATCAGGCCTTCGAGATGATCTACCCTGTGCTTCAAGGTTTGTTGACACTGATCTCAACTCATGCGCACACATGTAATTTGCTAACTGGATGGTCAGATTTCCGCAAGGTCTAATATCGACCTGTCGGTATCGTGTTGCACAGCTTCACAAACCCTCTACATCCTCTTCACTGTACGATACGACTTATCTCTCACCTGAAGAGATACCACAACCTCTTCTGCGTTCTTGGCATGTGGGGCATGTAGTACATCACCAGTACTACTCCCACCCCTGCCTGTAAAACTTTGTCGATTTTTTCCAACTTGCATTGCATTGGCGTTCAGAAGGACCGGCCTACAAAGGGAAGGGCCATACATCACGGTTGTTTTTATGGGCGGGAAGAAAAAGCCTCGTCACGATCCGTTTTTCTCTACGACAAACATCACGCACTTTTAGATTGCACCTGGCATATCACTCTGGCCTCCCCACTTGCGCAACAAGGCGGGTTGCGCTCTGGGACTTGGCCTTGCCGTCTTAATACGCGCTGCTTTCCCGGTAGAAGGGAGCAGGCGGTGGATGGGATGGAGTAGATTTTTTTTATGACGATGTTTGGATTGGCTGTGACTGACCTCACTGTCTCGCGACCCGACTGGCAATACTCCTTTCGCGGGCAGTGGTTCAGACCCTCACAGTGTGGTCAACACTTGCATTTATCCGTTAAGACAAAAACACAAACCATGCGCCTTGCCTTGCCTGTTTTACCAGATGAGGCTGATGGATTCTTTTTTGAGTCGCAGATTTTTTGTCCTGCGCCCTGTGCTCACAGCATTGCTACTCAGCAATTGCCTCAGCAGGGACTGGTCCTCAAAGTAGACAAATTCCATCTCATTTTTGCGCAGAAACCTTTTGTCATCGCTTCCACTGCATTGTGATCGTGTCTGCTGCCCCTTGGATCAATTGCTGGTGAGATTTGTAGATCGTAACTGTTGTGCAGTGTGGGTGGTTCTACAGCTTGGACCTCTTCTGCTCGGATGCCTTGAGTTCTCTCTCAAGTATCAGGCCCGGGATGCCACCTCGGCTGCCGTCCTCTGTGACGACAGAGTCCCAGGCGGAGAAGGTCCTGCTGTCTTTCAGCGACCACTTGCCCTTGAAGGCAGGAGGGCAGTTGCCAGACAGGGTGTCGACGATCTTGTCGCCGATGACGGGCAGGAACTTGAAGCCATGGCCGCTGCCGCCCGTCGCCAGGAACAGGCCCTTCCACGAAGGGTGGTAGTCGATGATGAAGTCGCCGTCGGGCGTGTCCGTATACCAGCACAGCCTGGTGTACTTGAACGGGCGGTCGTGTATGGCCGGCAGCGGCACCATCTCCCGCAGGCCTTCTCGGAGGTCGCGCACGCCCTCGTCGGGGATGACCAGGTCGGGGTTGGTGAGGTGTGTCATGGGCAGCGAGACCGTGGGCTTCGAGGGCGCGGACGCCGGCGAGGGCGGGAGCGGGGACAGGCGCGAGGACGGGTTGAGGTAGCCGTAGGCGTGGCGGGCGACCTTGAGGAGGCGGTTCGCGGGCGGGATGACGAAGACGCCCGTAGTCAGGTTGAGCAGGACGGGCATCTTTGACAGAGCGGCTTGCTCTTCCTCCGTGATGTCGATGTAGCCCAGTACCTGGCCTGTAGCCGAGGCGTGGCCGGTCAGGTCCAGGAGGGCGCCGGTCCAAGCTCCCGTCGCGAGGACGACCAGGTCGGCGGCGAGGACGGCCCCGTCCGAGAGCTTCACGCCGCTGACCCTATCGCCGTCACGCTCGAGGGCAGCGACTGTGCCGCTGATGAACTCGACACGTCCTGTGCTCTTGACGCGGTCGTAGAGCCACTTCATGCTGGCCTCGGCATCGGCCCACCCGCTGGCCGAGTTGAGGTAGCCTGAGCTCCCCGATGTGCCACCAGTGCGGACAGCATCGCGGATGGCCTCCTTGGTAGGCAGGAAGCGTATCCTTTCTTGGAGGGCGGGGTCCTTCTGGGCCATGGCCGAGATGTTATCCCAGCTGGCACGGACATAGCCTACGCCGTCCTTCTTGGCAGAGTCCTGGCCCTGAGAAGGAACGGAAGCGATGTCGCCGTCTGCCACGAGGGCGAGGCCGCTCTCCGTGTAGCGTCCCTGCCCGCCTAGCTCGTCAGGGCCTTGCCGGCGCCAGTGAACCTGGGCCTCGGCGGCGAGGTCGGCGTAGGCAGGGTCAGCATAGTCGGGCCGGATGATGCGCGACGTGTCGATGCTCGAGGCGTCTCGCGAGGGAAAGACGGCCTGATCGGGCGTCCGGTCTACGACACGGATGGCCGTGCCCGCGAAGGCAGGGCGCTGGGACAGAGCATAGGCTGTGCTGAGCCCGAAGACGCCGGAGCCAACGATGAGGATGGACGAGGGAGGAGAGAAAGAGGAGGGGGAGGAGGAGGAAGCAGGTGGCATTGTGTAAGAAAGGGAAGGAAAAGAGCAGGAATTAAATGTGGTCGGGTTGAGACAGGTAAAATTACCAAGCTTTCGTGCCTTCCGCTCCAACAATGCGTCCCGGGCCAATCAGGGGCCTGGCTATTGGCCCTGGAAGCCTGTAAACTCTGGGCAGAGTGGATGCGAGACTGGCAGTAGCGCGGGACTCGGAGCCAGAAGACGGACGCGGTGAGCCTGGTCCCAAGTCGAGACAGACACCTGATGCTGCTTTGGGGTGATCGATCGGTGAGCGGGATCAAGGCCTGGCTGGTATGCGTGAGGTATGTGGCTTCCGTGAGGTCTGGTTGGGCGACACGCCTCTGACTCTCTGGCGTGTTTGGCCACGCCAAGGTAAGGGAGGAATGGGCAGATTAAATGGGCAGCGATGGACCTCACGAAGCGGCTCCTCTATCGGAGCCAGCTACGGTGAGCTACCGCAGTCTAGTCCATGTGGGGAGGCTCGCCCCCTTAGACCGCACTTTGCCGGAGCCCATGATAGAGAAGGGCGTCCGAGAGGAGACCTGGGTCGAGTGGAAACGGAGCGAAGACACCGCGATCCGATCGATGTCGATTTCCCTTGGAAGTAGGATGCTCGTACAGAAGATCGAGGGATTCATGCAAGAGGCAAAGTCTTGAAGCGCAGGAAGGACACAGAAAAAGGAACACTTAATAAAGGATTGAATTGAGCCAGTATCTGAGTTACCTCCCAAGCGGAGTCGGGTACATATCTAGGTGGACTTGCGGTGAGCGCGCTCTCCGTTCAACGCATTACCGATTGGCGAGGTCATCATGTCAACGAAGACTTGTACTGCCTTCTCGACAAGCAAAATCCAGAGAGTAAAACGATAAAACGCTGATTAGGGTGCAATATCTGTGCTGTCTGTCTGACTTGCCAAGGACGTGAAGTGCGGTGGGGCAGCCTCGCCCAAAAATGGTGTCCTGTCCCCACTTGAGCTTGGACCTGCCTAATGAAGTTGCGTGGATCGCCTCAGCTGCATCGCGACGAGGCTCACGTCCAACGTCGGATCATTCTGTCAGCCAAGCCAGATAACTCGTTCTGCGCCTCCGCAGGCCAACAGAAACGCCTCAAAGTCCCTCAATCCACGTGTTCTACGACCAGATAGGTTCTCAGTAATCGAGGCTGCGGTCGAGCGCTCGGCTTGCAGGCGCCGATCCCTCCGTGCGCGTGCCGGCATGCACCTTGCCCACCATGTCGGCCTCGAAGAAGCTAGCAGAGTTCCCTGATGTCGAAGCGAAGCTCCAGAAACCAACCAAGAAGTCCGCATTCGAGCGGCAGAGAGCCGAAGCCGAAGAAAAGAGGAGGAGGGAAGCCGCCGAGACAGCAGCCGTCTACGAGGACTTTGTCAAAAGCTTTGACCGCGACGACGATGGGCCCAATTACAATTCGCCTCGAGGTGGCGGGCGCCCTCCGCATCCGAGCCGATTCGAACGGCCTGTAGGTCCGCCGACTCTTGGAGGCGCAGGAGGCAAGAGGCACTTTGGGATACCATCAACACCGTCGGGTCTAAAGAGCGGACCGGGTAGTCTGGGCCCTGCCCCGACCAGCTTTGCGAAGAAGAGGAACTTTGACGGCTTCAAGGACCGCTCCGAGAGCAGAGGGCGCCCCGGCAATGACGACCATGAGCCGCTGTCTGTTTCAAAGGCGTTCAATACTAGCGATGACGAGGGCGAAGCTACTGTGGCGGAGCGCGCTGAGGAGAAGGCTTTGGCGAGACCGACGCTGCGGATGGCGAATCTGCCGCCCGGGACGTCTCCATCGTTTGTCAAGACTCTTGTGGCAGCCAGCCTCACGGTAGAAGACGTCAAGATGCTCCCGCCTAGTGGGTCGGTCAGCCAGGCCCGGAAGTCCCTTACCGCCATCATCACTCTCTCCGCCGAGACAGCGGCGACAGACATAGACGCTACTGTCAGCGCCCTGCAACACCGCTATTTGGGCTACGGCTATTATCTTTCTCTTCATAGACATCTGTCATCGGCCGCCATCACTGGTGGCCTTGCCGATATCAACAGCCACTCGTCTACGTCCCAGCCTTTTGGCGCGAAGCGTGTGGATCCAGGAGCAAAGGTGCACAGCTCAGTTCCCCATGGCCATGGCAGGGCTTTTGCACCTCCCACTTCGTTCGATCCAATGATGGGGGCCGGCTTCAACCGGGCAGACATCTTCCATGTGCCTGTGCAGCCCCCCAGAGACGTCAAGCAGTTGAGAATGATACACAAAACAATCGAGGGTGTTCTGGAACATGGCCCCGAGTTTGAGGCGCTTCTCATGTCACGGCCCGATGTACAGAAAGACGAGAAGTGGGCTTGGATATGGGACGCTCGCAGCAAAGGCGGTGTCTGGTATCGATATCGTCTCTGGGAGATCATCACCGGGTGGAAGCGGACTCGGGGTCAGAAGCGGTTCGTGCCGCTATTTGAGGGCAGCCATGCCTGGAAGGTCCCCGAACAACCCCTTTCCTTTGAGTTCACTACCGTGGTCGACGAGTTTGTCTCTGATTCGGAGTACAACTCCTCAGACGAGGAAGATTACGAAGACGAGATCAAGAAGCAGCAGGAGCCCGGTAGCACCGACCAGGAAGAGAAACTCCTCAATCCGATCGAGAAGTCGAAGCTCACGCACCTCCTCGCTAAGCTACCGACCAGCCTTTCAAAGCTCAGAAAAGGAGACATCGCACGGGTGACTGCATTCGCCCTTACCCATACCAGCAGGGGGTCAGACGAGGTTGCGGAGTTGATCGTATCGAACCTGGAGCGGCCCTTTTCTCACACCTTGGCCAACCCGGACTACAAGCCAAATGACAAGGACAAACCTGCGGACGGTTCGCGGACCTCCACGCCCCCCGCCGCTGAAGAGAAAGCTGCCAACGAGCGCGACACGAGTGCCTCTATGCTCGTCGCATTGTACGTCATCAGTGATATCTTGGCTTCCTCGTCGACCAGTGGCATCCGGCACGCATGGCGGTACCGGCAGCTGTTCGAGGCAGTCCTGAAGGACCGCAAAGTATTCGAGGGGCTGGGCGTCATGCCCGAGAAGATGGGGTGGGGTCGACTACGGGCTGAGAAGTGGAAGAGAAGCATCGGGCTGGTCTTGAGCTTGTGGGAGGGCTGGTCAGTGTTCCCGGTCGAGTCGCAACACTCCTTCGTCAGCAGCTTCGAGAACCCGCCCTCGCTCAAGAAGGAAGAGGAAGTGGAGAAGCCCGAGGAGGAAGCCAAACAGGGCGGCAAGTGGAAGACCGTCGAAGCTCTGCCAACCAGCAAAGCCGGCGAGTCTGGCTTTAGACCCGCCCAGACAGACAAGGCGGCGGGCAGAACTGCCGATGGCGAGGAATCTATCGCTACGCCTGATGCTACGGACGACGACGAGGCGTATTCCGAGTACACGGATGACGAGGAGCTGGACCTGGCGTGCCTCGAGGAAGAGGACATTGATGGAGAGCCGTTTCTAGCCGGAGATCTCGAAGGCTTGTCCATTGACCCCGACGTAGAGATGGGTAGCGACGGGGCAGGTGGCGGGCCAGAAGTGAAGTCGGTTGGCGGCATACAGCTGTCCTCTGCCACCCTGGCGCCCACCAGGAGGCGGCCGCGCGCTGTGGACATGTTTGCAGACTCTGGCTCCGAGGACGGGAAATGAACGCGCGCTCACATGATCAAAAGATGGTGCTTGCGGGATTAGGAGTGTGTAGCCAAACAAAAAATGATTGATACCCCTTACCCCTGAAAGTGGCCTGGCGCACGTGCGTGAACTTTGTTTCGACTACACATTTAGTGTGGTTTGATGTTTTGTTTCACGCCTCTCTAGACCAACCCCGCCCTCGGCTTCGTACACTCAGGTCGCGAGAATGATTCATCGAGGTGGCAAGATGTTTCCTGCTATCGATGACACATGTTGTATCCGAGTACAATGTGTGGATGGAACAATGGGACGTCTGTGCATCAAGGCCCAGCAGGGCCAAGAAGTGAGGCTCTTTCCCCGCGGAAGTCGGAGCAATTGAGAGAACAAGAGATGAAGTTGACGAGAAAAATAAACAGAAAAACGCTTGAACTGGAGTCATGGCATGCGTCTTATCTGCTCGCTTTCCGGAAGGGCCAAGCAAGTTAGTCACCGAGCAAGTAGTTCGGTAGGAGAGCCAGCAACTACTCCGTACATCGGAACGGACCTGCGTGTCACGCTACCAGGTACCGAGCTAAAAACTTTGACAGGCTGCGCGAAGGGACAGCCTTTGGTCCTGAATAGGTAGAAACTAGCTCTGTCAACCAAGATTGAAGCTTGGCCCAGACGATCAAGTGTGAGTGTTCCAAGCTTTGACAGGTCCGTCGTTCAGATGGAGGAGAGTTGGCATTACATCACGCCTCGGGGCACTGGCGCACGTCAGAACATGGGACGGACATTGGGTCCCGGCAAAGGCGCTTGCTGCATGTCGAGAGGTGAGATGGGAAGCCGGAGTTGGCCCGCAAGCCGTGGTCCTGGACTCCTGGCGCGTGGCCCCCATGCCCGTAGCCGGTGCTAGGTAATGCCATGCAGTTGCCAGTGCGTGGGAGGGCCAGCCTCCCCCTTCCCAGCTTGTGTTATCGAGGCCATCTCGAATAGGGCAGGTCTGGCCGCCGAGCTGTCAGTCCGGTAGCGTCCGTGTGCCAGGCCCAAGTGAAGAATAAGACAAAGAACAGGCACAGGCTGACCCCTTTGCCCGCCCTGGTTGGTGTGAACCCCCCGCCGCAGCGCCCATCCGGCGTGGTGGTTTCCACAATACGGGTCCGCCCGGCCAATGGAAACTTGCTCAACCGAACCTCCAACTACAAGTACCACCCGGCGCCCCACCGAGGATTCCGCCCATTGAGGTGTTCCATCTTACATCTGACTTAGGTACTGACCCTGCCGACACAAGAGTCTGGTCTTGCAGGAAGTTACATACAATTCAGTCGCTTCTTGGGGAAGGCACTTCTGCTTCTGCTGCTGCTTCTGCTTCTGTGCTCTTGGCCTGGGCCTAGCTCTGCTCTCGCTTTCTTCCGTTTCATACATCGCCTCTCACTCTCTGCCTCAACTCGCCTGTGCTCTTCCACGGCCGACCGGAAAATCTTGTGAAAGAGCCGCCGCGCCGGTCCCGTCACCAATCTCAACTCTGGGAGGCGACGAGTCGCTTGACATCTTGCACGCCACTGCCAGAACCCCGCGCAATGTTTCGTCCGGGCCCGAAAGTCTAGGCTTTGCGTCATCCACGGAACCGCGCCTGCGTCTCCTCAGGATCCGAGACTTGTTCAGTCCGGTGCGGGCAGGGGCTGGGGCTGTGGTTTCCGTGAACCAGACTTTCTCCATCACATCCTGTTCCGCGTCCCTGGATCGGTCTCGACGAGACCAGACGACACTGACGAGGAAAGGGCTGTGGTTCGCGTTGCTGGCCTACCCGCTGTGACTGCTCGTTTTCATGCTCTGCGCGCATACCGCTCGAAGCTCGTCAGAGGCGGCCGACCCAACCACGCGGAGAGTACTTTTGCGCAGTATCGCCACCGGAGCCTGGACCGGACTTGGGGCTTTGCTGGACTCCTCTGTCGAGAATACGCTCACCTGCTGCGAGTCCGCATGATTGCGCTGGTGTCCGTCGTTCAACAATTGGCTCTCTGACTATCACTGGTGCTCAGTGTTTTTGTGTACGTCCAGGCCGCATGGAGCGAATCACTCCCACGAGCGCATATTGCTTATCGATAGACTTCTGATTTACCTTGGTCCTTGTGCCCAGCTGTCTATAAATCCGGACGGAGTCCAACCTCTTCTGTTTCACCTCGATCACTCTCACCTTAACTCAATCTGCGATTAACGCGAGCAGGGAAGCCATAACTTATGCTTTCCTGCTCTGGAATATCGCCGCCACCATCCTCCAGTACCACAATCTCCCCATATATTCATCATCCCCAACGCTCGACTTCCTGGCACGGCACAAAGCATCGCGACGATAGCGTCGCTCTTGCAGGCCCGGGCCCAACCAGCTCGTCCAAAAGAGCCCTCTGATATCTTCACTCTCAGGTCAGTGTTCTCGTCTTTTCTTGCTCTCGACGCCATCGAGACCATGCTGGTGGTGGAGGACAATTGAGCAAGATAGGTTTACTCTGCTTTGGCTCTCATGCTGACTCTTTCGATACTAGATACAGCTTGCTCACCAAGCCCAGTTGACCTTCTGTCGACTTCTGCTCGCCGCCCTGTCGATCCTCGGGCTGGTACGAACTGAGCAAGATGCCCATAATCAATGGACAAAAGATGGCCTGGTAAGTGGTTATGCCCTCTTGACGACCCCGGTCTGCATGCTTTTTGCGCCGCCTCTTTTCATCGTCCAAGGTACGCCCTTGGTTGGGATGGATGACTGGGGCCTGTTGTCGTGATCGTTCCATTGCAACAAGTATTGCGTCGAGGATCCGGTTATGCTAACGTCGTCATGTTCACAACAGCGAGCCATGCATTCGCGGCCATCGATCGACGAAATGCAGCCACGGGTCCGAGAGGCTCATGGTCCCGGTGAGGAAACCGGGCCGGCCCCTGAGCAGCTGCCCCCATCCGGCCAGCGGCAAGTCGTGTACGTGTGCCGGCGTCACTGCGGCCATCCCGAAATCGCAGAAATGCTGCTGCGGAGCCAAAGGCTCTGCAGGAATCAAGTCGGAAAACTCGACCCCGCCCGCTCATCACCGTAACTACTCGATAACAAAGAAAGGCGCCGAACGACCGGCCCTTAGACTCGACGCAGAGACCTTGGCAAGAATGCACCCTAGCCTGCTGAATGTGCACTTGCCCCAGGGTGTTACTGGAATCGCAAACCCGCAAGCGACGCTCAACGCGATGATTCATCGTGACTTTGTAGCCCGGCTGGGACTGGACCCCGCCGCGATGACGTCTTATTCTACGACGGACATGTTTAACGGACAGTTCATGGGCTCCCCCGCGCCACAAGCCGTACAGCCCGGCTTCCCTATGAACGGTGTTGGCAACATGAGTATGAATGGCGTTGCTCACACGAATGGGAACCTGGACGGGAACCTGGACGGGAATCTGGACGGAAACCTGGACGGGAGCCTGGATAGTCTACCCGGACAGGTAGCGCCTTGGGAAACGTACCAATCGCCCCCGCTGCAACCGGAGCAGTGGGGCCAGACGACAACGACTGGGCTGACGATGGGTGATATCAACCCAGCGCCGCCGGCCGTGCCCATGCCCATGCCCATGCCCATGGGCATGACGCACGACTGCACCTGCGGTGACGGCTGCCAGTGCGTGGGATGCCAATTGCATCCCTACAACGCTGCATCGTATGCCTACGTCCGCTCAGCGATGACCCTGCAGATGCAGGACCCGCACCACGCCTCTTCCTCGACATCGTCTTCGACGTCCTCCGCCGCCGCCCCCGGCGCACCTGCCCTGCAGAACGGTAACGGGCCGATGTCTGCCCAGAGCGGACTTTCGAACACCACCATTAACGTGACTACCGCTAACAATGTGGAGGATTCTCAGGTGTGGTCGTCGATGACGGCGCCAAGTCCGGCGGTCGACGAAACGGCGTCGCCAACGCTGGCGCAAACGCCGTCGGACGCATCAGACGACCAGGCGTCTCTGCCGCAGATGTCCGTGGAGGACTACCTATTCGTAACGTACGATCTGAGTGCGGTGGGGTGCGACGGAGGCGAGTGGACGTGCCCGTGCGGGGAGGACTGCGCATGTCTAGGCTGCCTCCGACACCCGAAGAAGAGCACGACGACGACGACGACGACGACGACGTCAACGTCAACGACGACGTCGTCAACGAGGTGATGAACCAGGGGGACGCCTCAACGAAAGACGCCCCCCCGCCACCCTACCCTACCCACGTCGCCCACGATACCGACGAACGAAAGATTTGAAAGATGGAAGAGAGTTTACGGAAAGGGCTCAGGGGGTTCCTGGAATCCTGCTGGCAGTTTACTGTTGGTGGAGAATCCGGTGAAGTAGACACATCAGATGTGGTGTCGACCTTGGCCCTGCTTTGGCTTTTACCCCCTCAGTTCATTTAGATTGGGAACGAGGGGGCACGACGACGACCCCCCCACGAACGAAAGATTGGAAAGATACGACAGACTATACGAAAAGGGCCCGACAAAGACCCCCGCGAACGAAAGATTCGAAAAGCTATGACAGAGTATACGGAAAGGGCGCAAGCGATCCCCTGCTGGCAGTTGCTGTCGGCGGGATACCGGTGAAGATCACCGGGATGTGTCGACTTGGCCCTAGGATTTTCTTGGCATTTGCCCTCTCCGCTCATTGAGATTGGGAGCGAAGGGGTTGGCTAGGGGGGATTGTATGATTCATGGGACGATGCGATGAGTCCGGATTCAAAACGTGTTTTTTTTTCCTTCTTTTTTTTCCTTCTTCTTTTCTTAAATATTGTTTATTGGCTCTTGGGCCATTCTGGATCGATATCGTTGATCCTGCACTTGGGAGTTGTATGGTTCGGTATGGTTTTGATGGCTTTTTTTCTGGATGGATCGATAACCTCGATCCTGCGCTTGGGGGCGTTCTATGGTTCTATATGTTTTATGGCTTTGCTGGATCGACACCCTGATCCTGCACTTGGAGGCTCTCTGGTTCTACATGTTTTATGGCTCTGCTGGATCGATAAAGTCGATCCTACGGTCTTGCCTAGGAGTTTTATGGGTTTGCTGCGTTGATTTATCTATATCCCCGAAACGGTTGTTATACTGTAACACACAATGGGGCGGTCAGAATAGTTTTAGGCTCTGTTAATGGACAGAATTGTTGTCTACTTCTACTTGCAGAATGCTGTGCATTGTGAACATTGATCAATGACAGTTCGGTCGTCTATCTCTCTCCTGATGAGCATCTGCCAATGAATGCACCCTTCCAACTGAGTGAGACCTAATAACAGGGACCAGGCCCCGGCTCGGCAGGGCCCACTACAGGCATGTTCCCTCCACTGGGGACTATTCTTTTCTTATCTTAGCGCTGTTTTTCTTTTGTTTGAATTCCGTCATGCTACGAATAACTCCAGAGTGCAAGGTGTGCTGTTGTCATCGAGGACTTGCACCTTGTCTTCATTATAATATCTGCCAACCTTTGCAAAGAGCTCTCTCAGCCACCAAATCCACACTCATTTGTTTGGTGTGGAAATCAAAGATCCGCCCCAGTGCTACCTAATATACAAGACACTGGGATGTCAGGTTCAAGGGACCGGTCCATGCCGCAGGACCTCAGACACTCGGAGGACAGACGACGACACAGGACGAGCTCAAGATCGCCTGATCGCTCACATCACCCCAAGAGCTCACGCGACGATGAGAGACACAGCAAGCATAGGGACTACCGAGAGCGGGAGGATCGCCATGAGAGGAGCCACCACCACGGGGCCTCAGAGAGGTCCAAGCACGGCTCGGAGCGCAAGCACAGGCACAGCGAAGACCCGGACGCCTCATCCAAGTCCCACCACAAGCGCCGCCGGAGACGCTCTCGCTCCCCGCCCGGCTCGCGCGCCCTAGAGAAGCCTTCTTCTTCTTCTTCAGCAGCAGCAGCAGTAGCGACCATGGCGGCGGCGCCGGCGCCGCTGCCCTTCGACGCGCGGGCCCTCTCGCGCGGGGACTACGCCGCCTTCGAGCCGCTGTTTGCGCACTACCTCGGCCTCCAGAAGCAGCTGTACCTGCCGGACCTGGACGGCCGCGAGGCGAGGGGCCGGTGGAAGAGCTTCGTGGGCAGGTGGAACCGCGGGGAGCTGGCCGAGGGCTGGTACGACCCGGAGATGTTTGCGCGGGCGCGCGAGCTGGCCGAGGAGAACGGGGTCGGGGCGGCGCCGGGGAGGAAGATCGCTGGAGGTCGTCAAGGCGGTGATGACGATGATGATGATGGTGGTGGTGGCGACGGCAAGCATGCGGAGAGCAGGAGAGATGGCGACGCCCGGCGGGAAAAAGACGACGGCGACGAAGAAGAAGAAGAAGAAGAAGACGAGTGGGGCCCGACGTTACCCGGGGCAGCAGCAGCAACGTCCACCAGCAGCAGCAGTAGACGCGGGCCCGCCATCCCCAGCATGCAGGACCTGCAGGACCGGCGCGAGCAGGACGGGGAGGACCGCCTCGCGCGCGCCGACGCCCTGCGCCTGGCCCGGAGGGCCGACCGCGCCGAGCAGAAGGAGCGGCTGGACGAGCTGGTCCCGCGCGCCGAGCCGGGCACCCGCGAGCGGCGGCTCGAGAAGCGCGCGGCCGTCAACGACAAGATGCGCGCGTTCCGGGACGCCTCGCCGGGCGGCAATGCCGTCGACGACGCGGAGCTCATGGGCGAGGGGGGCGACGGGGGCGGCGGGATCGAAGAGCACAGGAGGGCCGTGGCCGCGGCGGCGCGGCGGCGCACGGAGCGCGAGATACGGCGCGAGGAGGCGGACAGGGCGAGGGCGGAGGAGCGGGAGGAGAGGATGCGGGAGTACCGCGAGCGCGAGGAGGCGACGGTCAGCAAGCTGAGGGAGCTGGCGAGGGCGAGGTTCGGGTGATAATCTCTGGGTGTCGTGGCCGTGTTGGAGAAATGGATGACTTGAGTTCGTGAAGTGGAAACTCTAGGAGGTATTTCATGACGATGAATACAAATCCATTAGGGACTTGTTGGGCTACATCATTGTGTAGTAGGGTTGAGGTTGTTCTGGAGAAGTGCACTCTTGGTGTAAATATGGTCTCAAGGAAAAGACTAAGATTAGGTAGGGTTGGTTATATGACAGAGAACTAATACTACACATTATCATCATATACCTGACACTACACTTATTGACTCTGTTTCTTTCAAGCGTTGATCTAATACGAGTTATCGACGCAGGACTTGAGATGTCGATCTGGGCATGGTGTTTGGTGCTCGAGGTTATCCTGAAGCCCATCACATGATCCACTTTTCACGATTCAAACAGAAATTTCCTCTCCGGACCACCAAGCCGGCCTGTCGGAACCACTTGGGCAAATAACTGTTCGCATCTTGATCAAATTTTATTCATTTTTGTTTCCAGAGAGGATTTAGCCGTTCAAGCCGCACCCACGGGCTACAAGGGACAAAAGGGCTCACTTCCGTTCAACCGCCGGCCCAGTCACCATGCCCGCCGAGCAGGACCCGGCCCGCGACCCCGCCACGGCGGCGGCGGCGGCGGAGGACGTCGTGGTGGTGGAAGAGGACCCCTCCACGGGCGACCTCTTCGCCGACCCGGAGGACTACTACCCGCCCACGCCGCCGCCCAAGCAGGAGTCGTACACGCTGCGCTCGGGGGAGCGCGTCACGCTGCACCTCGTCGGCAGCAGCCCGCTCGAGGCGCACCACCTGTGGAACGGCAGCCGCGTGCTGGCCGACTACTTCGAGGCCGACCCGGCGGGCACGGTCCGGGGCCGGACGGTGCTCGAGCTCGGCGCCGGCGCGGGCCTGCCGAGCCTCGTGGCGGCCGTGCTGGGCGCGCGCAAGGTCGTCGTCACCGACTTCCCGGACCCGGAGCTCGTGGCCACGATGTGGAAGAACGTCGACGGCGTGGAGGACCTGGTCCTCGCGGGCCAGAAGCAGAAGCAGCAGCAGCAGCAGCAGCAGGGGACGGGGGGCGGCGACGGCGACAGGCGGCAGACCGCCCTCGTGGCGGACGGGCACGTCTGGGGCGCCGACCCGGCGCCGCTGCTGGCGCACCTCGACGACGACGACGACGACGGCCTGTCCCCGGCGCCGCTGCCGGTCCGCAAGTTCGACGTGCTGATCCTCGCGGACCTGCTGTTCCGGCACTCGGAGCACGGCAACATGCTGCGCTCGGTGCGGACGACGATGCGCCGCCGCGCCGAGTCGGCGGCCTACGTCTTCTTCACGAGCTACCGCCCCTGGCTGCGGGAGAAGGACCTGCGCTTCTTCGAGCTGGCGCGGGAGCAAGGGTTCCTCGTGGACCAGGTGCTCGAGCGGAGGATGGACAGGCCGCTGTTCGAGAACGACCCGGGCGACGAGGAGGTGCTCAAGACGGTGACGGGGTGGAGGTTGCGGTGGCCCGAGGGAGAGTGGGATGAGAGTTGAGGACAGGACGAAGGGTGGGAAAGGGGGGGCATTTGCATCGGGGTCATGGAAAAGCATGATGGGGTTTTTTTTTGGAAGGCATTACCGGCTTTGCATCGATCGGAGGGGTTGGCGTCAATAAAAAGGATACCATACCAAGACAGGAATGATCAGTCACTTCAAAGTGCGTTCAACGTGCTCAGTATTATTTATATTGTATTATGATTATGGCGATGCGAAGTATTTCGCTCTGGCCAAGTCTCCGGGCCCGGCTCTCCGAGGTTTCGAAGCCCTCCCCATCTGCTGCATTCGTTCCCATCGCTCAGACGCGCTCCAGGCCTGTTCGTTGCTATACGGGGGTGCAAGTTGGAACTCTTCATCTACTGAAGGTCTTGTTGACGAGCCAAAATGGACTCAGGTCTGTTCTCTGTGCTGGCCCCTTTCCCGGCGAGATTACGGTATGAACTCGCGAATCGATCTTCCGCGCGGGCCATCGGCGAGCCGAGTCCACCTTCAGATCGAGGCTCTCTACGCATTGAAGCGGAGGCTTGGCTTTCCCCGAGCCCGATGTCTCCGGGAGGCTTGTGCCTGAGGTGGCATTATTAATGGGTCGTGAGCGACCCAAATATCGGTAGCTGTGTGAGTCTTCTCCCAAAGCACCCCTCTTTCAAGTCCCGGGATAGCGAACTGGACTCGCAGGCCTGCTAGAATACTCGGGCAGTTGTTCACTCTGGCCAAAGCCATCGCTCACGAGACACCTGTTGACAGCAACAGAGTAGGTCGTCTCCATGGACACGCGCGGCGCGGAAGGTGGCTCGCCGGCTGAGAAGCCGTCGGACACGGTAGCCAGGTTGGCGTGGTAGGACCACGTCGTCTCCTGCGACAGCCGGGAGCGGTAGGACGGCGGCGGGGTGTTGTTTGGGTGCGACTTGTCCTTCTTGGTGCTGCTGGCGTTCGACCCTACGCTGCTTGCGCGGCTCCGCGACAAGTGGCGGGAGACGCGGCCGACACCGGGTGCCGAGGTCGTCTCCATGGCCATTTCGGTGTCTCTGCCAGACCCGTCCGCTTCCACAGGAGAGTTGAGGGCCTTTCGATATTTATGAAGCCTTACGATCGTCAGGATGATCGATAGAATATAGGTAATGCTGAAAAGGGATGGGTTAGTTTGGGAGGTGTGCTTCATAAGGTCTTGCAACGATAATACGAACATGGTGAGCGCAGACAACCAAAAGACCACAAAAGAGGTATAACACTGCTGGTCGACTTCGTCCCTGCCCATGAACGAGCCGATCCGGAAGATGGACTTGGCCAACTCTCTGAAGGGGTGGTGGTCTCGAAGTTCGTTCTGGAAGTCTATAACAGCGCCGGGAGTCAGCTCAGCCGGCCGGGACAAGACCAGATCGAGATGGATGCTTACACTTCTCCCTGATCACATCGTGGCACTTCTCGGGCAGCTTGGAGGAGCCGATGATGATGATCTTGGCGAGGAGGAGGCCGATCATGTGAAAGTCTCCAGAGACGGAGACGACGCCCCAGGCGAACCAGGCCTTTCCGAGCCTGCGGGCGAGGGAGCAGTAGAGCACATAGCCGAGGAGGAACAGCGAGTAGAAGAGGAGCGCGGAATCCTGCGCGTCAAGGTCAGCCTTGCCTGTTGCTGCTTGACCAAAGTGTATCATTGCATTCGAGAGCATACCAGGTACGGAATAACATCAATCTTCCGGCCCTTGGTTCCGGGAACAACATCGCCATGCAGCTTGACGAGGCCGAAAGAGGCGAGCAGGGCAGAGAACCATTGCAGATGACGCAGGATGGCAAGACCGTAGCCCAGACGCCTGGAGGGCTTCTTGTCGTCCGACATGGTGGCTGTCGTCTGCTTTCTACCGGAGCATTCGTACACCGGAGAGGAGAGAGAGGTGGTGAGCGAGGAAGGAAACAGCCCTTCGATAGATAGATAGACTACTCCGTAGAAACAAGAAAGTGGTCAAGGCCCAGGGCGGAATGCCAAGAGCTGATGAGGTGTGTTAAAAGCCGGGGCACAGGGAGAGGTCCACAGGGCTGGCGGACAACGTGAAAATGCGTCAAAATGCGTCAGGATCCGGAGACGAGCGCGGCAAAGCAAACGACTCAATGTGGGAGATGTGGTGGATCCCGTGGGATGGGACCAGAGTAAGAAAGGTGCTGGAGTGGCTGACAGCTTTTCTGGCTTCCTCTTTTGGACTGAGCAACAGGGAATGTGTGTGCTTCGTCTCTTTGTCTGTCTACGAAGTACCTAGCAGTTGCACATATATGGCGCCTTAGTAGAGTGCTGCCTAGAAGCTGGGTTGCATATGTCAGATGACTAACGGCCTCCGCGCTGCTGACGGGCCTGGCGAGTTGGCTGCATCAATGTGTCGAATCAGAGCCGACGAGGCGGTGCCCTCCTCATCCCGCAGCCATTGGGCTCCCGTCTCCATCTGAATGGTGTTCTTGACAATATTCCCACAAATTGTCTCTTTCGAGAACCCTGTCAAGCACAAGCTGGACCCGCCCTTCCCGAGCTTGTCTGATGGGCGGCGGCCCAACGCCAGGCGCAAAGGAGACAAGCGTATCGCTGCGATTACGCGTCTCCAAGCAGACCACATCCCACAACCACACCTTACGGCGTACCTGACTTTTCTCCAAATCGCCTGCTTTTACGTTGTCACCAGTCATCTCAGCCTGTGCCAGCGACTGGGGAGAAAGGGGCGCGGGTCGACTGCAACCCCCTCCTCGCGCCAGGGCCATCAAGAAAGAGAAGCATCAGCAGCTCGCGTCTCAGCCTTCCCTCCCCCCCGTGGACAATGGGATGGGCATGGATGGACATGGGCCGCGATAAGGCTCAGCTGCTCGCAGGCCTCCAACAGCTTGGACGCAGTGCTCGCCTGTCTATTCTGTGCCTAGACTCTGTGGATTACATCAGGTCCATCGCTGATACCAGCATCTTCTTCAACTCCACGGTCCAGGGAAATACGAGTCTCCAATGAATACGCATCGAGTAACTACAAACAAGTAACTACAAGCGCCAGCACTAACTACAAGTAGTGATCTCCAACTACTCGGAATTCGCCGGCGTCGCCGTTTCCACTGCTGTACCTCGTCACCGTGCCTCGATCAGGGTTTGATGCCAATCAGGACTCATCCACAGCCGTCAAGACGGCACCCACGGCACCCAGGCTCTGTATCGGCAACTGGGGCGTTGGTGCGTGCCACCACTCTTACTTGTGCATACCTGGCATCCTGGCACCATCGACAGAAGGCCGGGTCCATCATCCGGGGTCTGGAAAGCCAATGTAGTCCCACCACGGCATAGGCTCAGCCCCTATGCTCCGCTCCCTCAGGAGACCATCCCCCAACCGGTCACTAGTATGGCTTGCAAGTCTTGGGGCCCTTTGCTTGGCTGATGTCTTTATTGCTCAAATGGCAGATCCTGGCCTCTGCCCTGCCCATCTCGCTTTATCTACCTGCACTTGCCTCCTCCAGTACAAGTAGTCTCTCGCGCAAAGATTGGCACAGATGCGTTGCAACGGCACGGCCTTCTTGTCGTTCCCTTGCGTCTGCGTCCGGTGAACCTTGGCAGCCCGGCCTGCAACACCCACACACGCTGCACCAAGGGCTTCGGCACTTGGCTTGCTCCTCTCCCTGCAACACATCTCGCCGTTGCTGACCCATTCCGTGCATGCTTGCAGCTGCACAGCCTCTCGCTCTGCTAGACGCCATCCCGCTTTCCTCTCCAGTGCGCATCGCGTGCTGTTATCTCCTCTCTCTCTCTCTCCCTATTCTGACGGGACTCAGCGCGACTTGTCGTCTTTTGTTTCGTTTCGTTTCTGGTCTCGTTTCCTCACTCACTAAGAGAGATTGGCTCCGTACCGCCCGTGTGTGTGTGCGTGTGTGTTCCTCTCTGCTCTGCATGACCAGACCTGACGGCATCCTCGAGGAAAATAGTCTTCTGCAAGACTTGAGAGATGGCCTGGGACATAGCGTCATGGCTCATCCTCATTCGTTCCGGCCAGATGCTGGCGGCGTTTGTCTGTGCCGCCGTCAATGGATATCTCTTGGGGCTCATCTACCTTAAGCACCTCGGCTTTACAAGCACTCTGGTTGCCCTGGAAGCTACGGTGCGTATACTTCAATGCTGCTGTCTCGATGTCTCGATCTGACATCGAAGCATCGGGCTCGTTCTTCCATTGGATCGCCAGCTGACAGCGCCCAGATATGCCTGCTACTGTTCTTCACGGCTCTTGCAGCCATCGTCCTACACACGGGGCCCAGGATGCAGAAGACGTCGTGGCTCGTGGCATCCATCGTCACGGACGTGATCATGAGCGGCCTGCTTGTGGGGATCATCACCATCGCCGCCCGTGCCGGCATCCCGTCCAACTGCGGTGGACTGACAAAGAACCCTCGTGAGTATATCCGAGTGTAGGAGAGAGAGGCCGGTTCAACAAGACGACGAGACTGACTCCTCGCAACCAGCGCTCGACGTCAAGGAGCCACCCAAGGAGCCTTACACAACGCATGGCTTCAGCAACCAGTCTGACGGCAAGAAGGGCAAGCTCGATAATCTCTGTGCTCTCGAGCGCGGGTACTACTTCATCGCCGTGGCCATCATGTAATGCTCCCTCGCTCAAATCATGTCCTCCTGCCTGTGCCTCCTGGTATCTGACACACTTTTCTTCCTTTGCGCCCACAAAAACAGGTTCAGCTACATCCTCACCATCGTCCTCACCGTCCTGGCCATCGCCAGGGACGCCTACGCCCGCCGCTTCAAGGCCGACTACCGCCTGCTCTACCGCGGCGGCGGCACCGCCGCCGAGCGCGCCCTCTTCTTCGGCAACTCGACCTACGAGCTCGACGAGTCCGACAAGCCCTCTGACGACCCGCGCCTGCAGACGCCCCGCTCCTCCCCGACCGCGGCCGGCGCGCTGCAGGGCCAGCCGCCCCAGGCGCCGCCCAGCGAGGGCGTCATGTCGGCCCGGCAGTCCCTGCGCGTCGCGCCCGCGCCGGGACCCCCCATGCACCACCAGCAGCAGCTCGCGGCGGGCGGCGGCCTGCACATCCAGGCGCCGCCACCGCCGCAGCAGCAGCAGCGTCACCAGCAGGCCTTTGCGCAGTCGCCGCAGGCTACATCCCCCGCCACGATGCACTTCATCCCCTCGCCGACGAGCCCCATCCGCCACCACCACAACCACCACCACCACCAGCAAGGCCCGCCGCCGCCCATCCCGCCGAGGATACCCACGCCGCCCTCCGGGTCCATGTCCCCCCCGCCCTCGAAGCCTCTCGTCCTCGTCCCGGGCCTCGCGTCCGACGAGTCGCAGTCCGACGCCGCGGCAGCGGCCATGATCACCGACGGCGCGCGGTATCGCGACCACCACCAGCACCACCACCACGCCGGGGGCAGCTCGTCCTCGTCATCGTCGGCGTACGGTCCTCATCACCAGGCGGGGCTGCTCCCGCCGGCGTACACGCCCTCGACGCAGGCCGACATGCCGGGCCACGGCGCCGGCGAGAGCAACGAGATGCGGCTGAGCGGGTACGTCAAGGGCGAGACGCGGGCGCAGGCCATGAAGGATTCTTCTGGGCGGGGGCCGGGGCTGTAGAACCGTACCAGCCAACCAACCTGGTTTTTTCGAATGGGCTCTCAAGAAAGAGGGGGGGGGGAGGGATGAGAGGGCAAAAAGATGCTGCCACTTTTGTGTGGTGAGGGGGTCATGATGATGATGATGGGAAGGTATAATGCTGGAAAGGGGCTGGAAGTCTTGCATACATCCACGGCGTATTCTGGGGGCACGGGGATAACAAAGCAGAGGCAAAGATTGGATTTCTTCTGGCTCATCTATGGGGGGATATTCTTTTTTTATGGAGTTGGGGCCAAAGAGCCATGGATGCTTTTCGTTTTTGGGAGGAAATTGGACCGTTAATGATACCACGACGCAGCTATCACAACAATGTATAATGTTCCCCGGGTCGGGGTTTCCGATATGCAAATATCCGGTGGGATTCTCGAGACCTAATGGCCCTTTGGTGATGAAATGCATCCGAGAAATCATGTTATCAATCCTCATGAGGTAACACAAGGCCAGCAGCATATATGCACAATAAAACCCTAACCGTGACATACTAAACGATCAACCTGGCGCAGTGTCAAATCCCAAAGATTCGCGAGGAATCAAGAAATGCAACTTGTACTCATATTCGAATCGATATCAATCAAACGCTTCCCTCCCATGTCTTGCGCCCCAGAAACTCTCAAAACTCAACCCCGGACGAAAAGAGACGAGATACGTACGTGCTAGCACACATAACAAGTCTCTCAACGAAGGGGGATGGGTATATGCTGAAATCACAGACTTTCCTATGCTCCCATTCCTCTCGCTCCCAAATCTGAAACAGGACAAACACACACACACACACACACACCTACCACATGCCACAAGCCCGCATCCCCTTGAAAACCCCCACGGGTATCATCAGCCAAGACTCGACCCGGACCCCAGCCGGCCCGCCGCACCCACGCCGCCGCCGCCGCCGCTGCCGCCACCGCCCACCACGACGAGCCCGCCCGGCGCCCGGTCCTGCTTGGTCAGCAGGTCGGCGTACCCCTCGAGCCCGACGCTCATGACCCGCACCATCTCAAAGATGTGCGTGCCCTTGAACGTCTCGGCCCAGAGCCGCACCACGGCGCCCGCCAGCTGCCGCAGCTTCTCCGGGTCGCTACTGCTACTACTATTACCAGCTGTAGTAGTCCCGCCGCCGCCCGGCGACGACGCCAGCGACGGGTCGATGGGCACGGCGAACTCGGTCTCGTCGAGCATGCGCCGGACCATCTCGAGCAGGGTCTTCTCCTCCGGGCTGACGGCCGGGTCGGCCACCGTGACGGCCGCGAGGGTCATGAGCCACTTCGAGAGGAGGATGGCGCACTCGAGGTTGCAGACTGGGTCCCGGGGAGATTGGTTAGTATGATCAAAGCCTTCTGAAAATACACATTTTGCTGAATGAAAAAACAAAAACAAAAAACAATAGATGGCATTGACCAGGAAAGAGAAGGAAAAGACAAGCAAAACTTACGGGTGTGTTGCATGCTCCACTCCAAGCTCTTGGTCCGCGCGACATAGTTGACGCCGACCTTGACCAGCAGCGACAGCGCGTGGATCGCCTGCCAGATGGCCCTCGTCAGGCGCTGGCTGCGCACCAGCAGCGGCGCCTCCTGGAACCCGTTGGCGATGAGCACGTAGTCCCGGCTCTCGAGCGTCCGGCTCGGGCTCAGGTCCGTGTACAGCCGGATGTACGCCAGCCGCAGCAGCGCCGTCGAGTTGAACGCGACGGGGCCGTCCCCTCCCCCTGCCCCTCCTGCCCCTCCTGCCCCGTGCGCGTCTCCGCCGCCGCTGCCGTGCTGCTGGCGGTGCTGCTCGAAGCCGACCTGCCACACGCGGAGCGCCTGCGTCACGTCCTCGACGTCGTCCATCTTGAGGCCGCGGTGGGTATCGAACGGCGACGCCGTGGCAAACGACGTCTGCTTGAGGAGGTAGATGTGCTGGATGAAGGCGTGGATGAGGACGTAGTTGCCCAGGCACGACATGTGCTCGAGCGGGCCCTGGGAGGGCCGGTTCAGGTACCTCGAGAACCCGTCCTGGAGGGAGATGTCGAGCGCCGGGCAGGCCTGCCGCGCCTCTTGCCACTGCCACGACGACTCGGCTCTCCAGAGCCGCGAGGGGTGCGGCAGGTGCAGGTATATCTCGGACGTGAGCAGCATCGGCGGCGTGTTGTACGCTATGCTGCAGAGGTTGAAGAAGCAGAACGCGATGAGCTTGGTCCGCTTGCTCCCTTCCAGCCTGATCCACGACTCCCAGTCCACCGGGGGTGCGGCCTCGGTAGTGAGACCTTCCTCCCGGATGAGAAGCGCCAGTTGGCTCTGAAGGGACAGCGCCTCGTGCAGGATCGCCTTGGCCCCCCACAGACCAACGGCAAACAACAAGAGCAGCGCCTGGATAGTCTCAAGACGAGACTGCGGTGTGTTGGGAGAACTATGGATGATGGTTAGTCAACCTACCAGCCGGTCATATCAGCTCGCTAGGACACTTACAATGGCTCGCGGTGAGTATCCTGCGTGATGGGGCGTTCCTGGTGGACCGAACTGAAAGAATGCCGATAGGTGTTGCTCGGCGAAGGACGAGTCGAGTGCGGACTGTAGGCCGCCTGCGTCGGAAGCAAGCCGTGCACCTCGTGGCTATGCCGCCGCCTGATCTGTTCCAGAGCAACAGCCTTGGCAGCATACCACAACGCATGCGCGCGGTGACTCTCGAAACGATATTGTGCACCCACGGCTAATATGGCAAGCAGCAACTCTGGAGACAGTTCGGCAGGCGACAAGGTGGGGATGTGCAGGAACGGAAGATGCTCGTGGAAGCCGGTGATGTAGCCCTCCAGGAATCGAGTCAGGGTATGCCGCGAGGGGAAGACGAAGTCGGCCGGCAGCACAGGCGAAAACTCGTCAAGTCTGTTCTTGATCACGGTGTGGTCGCCGGCGGATATCCTCCACATGGGCGCCCTCATGGCGTCGTCCTGCATGCTCTCGGCCGGATTCCGCATGTCTGGCTGCAGCGATGAGAACCTCGTCGATGGGAAGGATGACATGCCCTTGAGGGCTCCGCCACGACCTTGCATATCTACACCTTGCTTCGGCCAGAGGCCTGACGACGGATCTGAGTCCAGGGGTGGAGGGAGGAAGTGAGGCGATGAGGCAAACTCGTCAAGGAACAGATGGTAGTCGTCAAAGGAAGCCGTCGCGGGCTGTGCTGGGAACTGCCCGGGCATGGCAGCAGGCTCGTTCTCCCGTCCACGGTCTCCGTACTGCATCCCCTCGTCGTACTTGACCCTCCCCAAGCCCCCCGATGCCTGCGCTACGTCCGACATCAACGGTGCGATGGAGTGCACGCCGCCAGCGCTGGCGAGATGGGTCGCGGCATCGGACAGAAGATCAAGGTTGCAGGCAGGCGCCGTCCTCTGTGACAGTTGTGCGTCCGACGACAAGGACGAAGGCGCGGGCGTCATCATGGGGTCGGCATTGTAATGCGGCGGTGCCGCGCGATGCGGTTGTATGCCGAGCATCTGGCCATCGGTCCTGCTGTCGGGCGGCGGGCCCGTCTGGACGTTGACCGTCGAGGTTTTCCTCGGACGGGAGCCATCCTTGTTGTTCTCGTTGAGGTGAACAAGCTTTTCATGGCGAACAAGGAGGTCACTGATGTCCATATAAGCATGCCTTCACCGGAGAGGTACAAATTCATAGCATATGTTTTGGCCGCAAGCATGAGAACGGAGGAGGATGAAAGAGGAAAGAGGAGGAGGGGGTGTTTATCGGTGCGGCACAGGAGTGAATCGCCCGCAAGAGCAGGATTTGGCGCATGTCAACCGCTAGTGGGTTCACAGCATTGTGCAAGAGGGGTAGGGGCAGAGCGTGACAGTTGTACGAATAAGAGACTTGTGTGTGTGTGTGTGTGAAGAAGAGACTCGAGACTCACCGGCGCCCGAATGTCTTTCCGCAGCGAGCCCACGCGCAAGAGAACGGCTTCTCTTTGGTATGCGTTCTCTCGTGCCTCTGGACGTGCTCCACCCGCCTAAAGATGAAAGACAATGTAAGCTAATATGCGATAGAGAGAGCGCGGAGAGAGGGTTTCCAGCTCACCGAAAGCGTTTACTGCAGTACTTGCAGGGCAAGGTCTTTGGCTTCTGCTGTCTGGGCTCTCCATTCTCGCCAGCGAGGCCGGCGCGCGCCGGGCCGTCGACTGACTGTATTGGATGCATCCTGAGAGACCTGGTCTCCAACATGAGGGGCGTTGGGAGTCGGACGAGCGAGTTGTGTTAAAGGGAATGAGATGGTTCCAAACACACACTGCAGTGCAACCGGTGAGGGGTCCCAAAGGTCAAACACGGACGCACGCGGAGGCTGGCGGTTGATTGAAATTGTTTTGCGGGGTGAGACGCGTATGTGGATGGCTGAATTAGACAAACAGAACCATTCGTGCTGCTCGACTTGTGTGACGGAGAGAATGGGGAAATCGTGTGTGCGTCTCTCTCTCTCCGCTGGTTGTACCTACCCCTCGTCCGGCCTCTTCACTCCGCTGGTCGACAGGTCCGGTGCTGGTTGGCCCTGGCAACTGCCTGGTACCAAAGCTCTCCCTGGAGATTAACGCGGGTGGCAGAATGCCCTGTACGCTCGAGATGCAATGGACCGAGGATTAGGGCAGCAGGGCAGCGGGACCCAGGAGATCAACCACGCAGATGCGAGCTGGGAGGAGCCGAGAGCCAGGTGCAGATGCTTCTGTCTCAGCAGCACGGTGGCTCGGAGAGGTTGGTACGGCTCCGAAGAGGACAGGACCAGGACCCAGGGTTGTAGGGGGGCGGCGCAGATAGGATGTGCAGTTCGAGGGTGGTATAGGCCACTGCCGTGAGGCCTCTATGGGTGCTTTCCTTGACACGAAAGGGAACCGTCGCCAGCTTGGGGCAACTCGCTGCTACTGCCGTGGGTGGGTGAACGTGGCATGCAGTGGGTAGTGCCAAGAAATGGGGAGAACCCAACAAATCAAGGATGGATAAATGGCTCTGCCTGGGGGTCAAGACTGGAGGGACAGGCGGATGGCTCGAGAAGAAACGGGAAATAGACTCGAAAAGCGGAGAAGTGATGTTGAGAAAAGCAAGAGAGGAGGCCACAGTACCCCGTGGGGATGGAGTGCAATTCAAGTAGGTAAGGCGGAGCAGAGCGGGGAAGGCAGATGAGGGAGGAGAAGGTTGGGCGAACGACAGATGGGTGTGGTATTTTGGTTCCCGGGGTTCGGAAGCCAGAGCAGGGCCGCCGATGGACCAGAATATACTTTGCAGGACGCTCAGCTTGGATGAGGGGGTGACCGGAGGACGGCAAGGGCCAGAGAAGAGAGACAAATGGAGTCTGTGCAAGCGGCAAGAAGGCAGCAGGATAGCTGGGTGGTGATGTGCTCGATCCAGTCTCCCGAGAAGGACAACGGGAAAGTCGTTGGCCAGCTCGCTCGATCTGGGGTAGAAGAAACCGGGGAATCCTGGGGCTCGAGCCGTGCCTTTGCTGTTGCAGGAAAATGCCAATGCGTGGGAGCCCGGGCGTACTATGCGTGCCCGCCCGTTCCTGTTGCACAAGCACGAGCACAGGCACAAGGGAAGATGAGGCAGACAGCCTGGAAGAAAGGCGAGAGACGGAGGGACAAAAACCAGAATGACGAGGTTCCTGTCGCGCTGAGATCGTACATGAACAAGGTGAAGCTGCGGCTAGGTGAGGCGAGGCTAGACAAGCCTCCGGAGAGCGAGAGTTTTACTGGGGGATCAAGGTCAAGATCACCATGGATAACTGGATAACAGGATCTTGGGCCCTTCGAGTCTAGGAACCGAAAACTGTGTTCCGGGAGCAATGGAGCGATGGTGGCTAGTGGGTGGTGTGGGTGGTGAGCTCTCCGCAGTAACGCGAGGCGTTTGCCCGAGTCTATCCCTATCTGACGAGAGAGGCGGGTTGGGGACCAGGTCCAGAGGGCGTGTTAGTGGTGAACCAGCTTCCCCGCTCTCCTCCTTCTCGGTCTCTCTCCCTGGCATCTCCGCATTGGGGAAGAGCTGGAACGGAGAACGGGGAGGAAAAACAGTCGAAAGAGGGGCTGCGTGCCGCCCTGTTTGCGGTTGCGAGGTACCATCTGGGATCAGGGCCGTCACAATGCACAACCTTGTCACCTCCTCCCCTCCCACCTCTCGCGCGCACTAAAACTTCAATTTGTTGTCTTTTCCCTCTCCATGATCCAATATTCCCCCTCCTCAACTCTCTCTCCGTGAGTGAGACAACAAGTCAATCTGACGATGTGGAGACCCCATAAGGCCAATGAGACCGGCGATCACAACAGGCGGTGTCCATCAGGACCACTACTCAGCCTACCGAGTACTGAGGGTGACGCGCTTCCCCTCTTTTGATACGTGGCTCATCCTGTGCTCGAGAATTCAGAATTTGCACAACTGAGCAATGCCAGCGTGGAGCAGAAGCATGCGAGGTTGAACGCAGGCTGCATAAAAACTCTAGCCTGGACGAGTAAAGGGGCCTCGCTTGGCTAGCAAAGTCTGTAGGGGAGCCAGACGAAGGAGTACGCAGAGAGAGGAAGAGAGGGAAAATATGAAAAGAAAAGGGAAACCCCCACGTTGCCATCATGAATCCGACTAGGATTCGGCAGGATTGGGCGAACACCTGTCGCAAGTGTGTCATCAGCAAAGTCCCCGGTATGGCACACTAGACAGAGGCGTACACCATAGTTAATGTGTACATCAGTCTCGACTCGGCTCAACAGACGTGCTTCGCAACCATATCGCCATATCAAACTAAGGAAGTGAGCGAGTGCGTTCCGGCACTTAAGAGCACTACTGGTAGCGCGGCGTAGGAGATGATAGAGGGGAAGGCTGCGCTAGGTAGGCATTCATGCTTTTCAAGATGACGGATCTTGGGCAGGGTTGCCGGCCCTTGTCTCGCGCGTCGTGGGACGGAAACGCTTAAGCGCTCAGACGCTTCAGATTGGCAAGCAAGCTGTTACGTAGCCAAAATAGGAATGTCGAAGAGTGTGACGGTAGAAAGTCAAGGCCATCTCATTCGACCGACTACCATTGGAGGGAAGGGGAGCAAAGGGTGGGCACAAATTTCCCGACTGGTGACCTGCCTGTCGTGCCTGTGGAGGAGGAGGTGGAGCTGAGAAGGTTGGAGAACTGGAGAAGTCTGACAAGCAAAACCTGGTGAAGCTCCGAACGAAAGAGGGGGAATGGCAGACGGACCGGGCGGGGGGGCTGGTCGGCTGTCGGGCTTTGCTTCTTAGTTTTTCTGAGGTAATCTGGGGATGCGGAGAACGGGGTAAGGAGACGAGACGGCGCCCAGACAGGGATGGTGCACCTAAAAAGCCCTCAGACAAGCCGTGCCCTCTGAAGTCTGGAGGCCAAGACTGGAACAGAGATGATGAGGACGGATTGGCGTACCTCGTGAAGGAGGATCTGCCTGGCCTGCCTGGCCTGCCTGGTCACTACTTTGCGCCTCCTTCGGAGCATCAACGACCGTATCTTGTGCTCCTGGGACGCTTTCGTGATTTGGAAATGATGGATCTCGCGGCTATATATCCGGACACCGTTTCGAGCGCGCCTCAGGGCCCACAGCTGTAGCTTGTTAGCACTGTAACTACTGTAACTTGTTGGTACTTTTTGCTTTTGCTTTCCTTTCCTCCTTTCCCCTCTCTCGCGTTGGAACTAGTCCATCGATAACCAAACACTGCCAATCAAGAGCTGTCCGAGGCATCTTGGATTGCTTTGCATGCTCGCTTATCTGCCTCGCAAGAGAAATCGTCGGGTTCTCACCGCAATGACGCACTTGTGAATATCACCGGCTCCACAATGGTTTAGTGACCTTCCAGATAGCAGCAAGTGCGGTTCAAGGTTGTCTGATACAACTCACCTCATCTCGTCTCGTCTGTCCATTGCCGTTCGTCTTGGGACAGCTCTGGTTCGATGGCCGGTGCATGATCGACCTTGCGTGGTACGTTGGAGGGAATGCTGAGAGGGGGCCTGCAAGCGTTCAATCGCCTCCTTAGGGTTGTGCCTGTCCAGTTGGTGTATGGGCGATTCATGTTTGATGGCACGGCAGGAGTGAGTGCGAAGCGCCTTCCTGCCCACAGACTCAATGATCATCTATCGACTGTGACTTCGTTCCGATTCCGCACGGGATATTGTGGGCCCTTAGGATACAACTCAAGACACAAACACACGACAACCATCACGGAACCTCTTGTAATCCCAAGTCTCCTCCCCTCTTCGCCATTTCTTTCACGACACCCTCGCGCCTCCGGCAGGAGCCTGTTGCTGGGAGACAAGACACTGCCCGAGTCTGCGGGCAAGAAAGAGCCTAGATCGGCCCTAGAAGCATATGCCGAGGTGCAGCACGGGCGAACCTCCACACTGGTGGATGCACTCGATATGAGCAATATCGAGATATGCTGGATCATGTTCGCCTGCAACACTGATGACAGTCGACCGTGACCTACACGTGAGACTGGGACCAGCGGCCAGCAAGCCTCCCCCCGCTATTTTGCCATCCCAGAGGGTTGTTGGGTGCTGGCGGCAGAAGTGAGAAAGCGGGGAAGCCCTCGCGGGGACGCACGGCACATCGTGCATCTTTCGGCGGTGTAACCAGCCCGATCTTGCCATGCGACATGTTTTCCTTTTTGCTGTTTATGCTGCTGGAGAGGCTTCGATATTTCTCGAGAGATGCAGGTAACGTAATCACGCTTCCCAGGGCCACTCGACCGTGCATGACATGACGAAAGGCGGATGGCTCACATGTCGTTGTCACTCTCCCCAGCGCCTGGTTCGTCTGGCGGTCCTGACTGGTTGCTCGGGGTGGTGTGTAGAAATGGAGGGACACTTCACTCTAGTCACATTCACGCTAGCAGCTCCAGCACATGCAAGATCTCAACATATTCTGAGCCTGACCTGGACAGCAATGCAGACATTCGGCCTTCCATTGGGCACTGGGCCCTTCTTGTCCTCCTCCCCCCTCGCCTCCTCAGGCGACGATGAGTGCATCTTCCTGCACCAGAAGCCAGCCATCTTGGCCATCTTAGACATGATGCTGTGGGGAGCGCGAAGAGACGGCTCAAGCCGTGCTCCTGACCTCTTTGGACCAGCAAGCGGCTTCATCTCGATCCGCTAAGGGCGGCAGAATGTCACGAACTCCCGGTATGTTGGCTCGAAGCGGTAATGCCACTCGAGCGCCCGTCTGCACGCACGCACACCGCCATGTCCCTGACAAGGAGCATCCATCCCGCTGTGGTTGATGACTAGTAGCGTCCCTTTCGTTGTCTTCTCCATCAGCCCTGTCCATCAGTTCTGTCCATCAACATCACCCGCACTACTTCCCCTCAAAGGTCGCATGTCTACATAATTATTCCTGCCGGCGCGCCGAGGTCCGTCCGACCTGAGCCTGGACGTTTTTGCTCCCCTCGAGACGACGTCTAGTCCTCCCAGCTTCGGCGTTGCTGGCAAGCGCTAGCCATAGGTGCCGGAGAGCCCACTGAGCAGGAGACTGACAAGGGACTCTCGGCCAATCACTGTTCGCCATGGGCCTAAACCTTTGTTTCATACGCAATGTTCAATCTTACTCGACTTGATCTTAATGATACCACCCTCCTGCACCTATTGTCTTAATCTCCCCATCACCTCGCGGCTACCCGTCTTCTGACTGAGGCAATCCTGTCACGTTCCTGTCCGGGCGTTTGGGTAGATGATGTCAAACTGTTGATCTTTGACGCCGTGCCTAGAGTCTTGTGATTGAACTGTGAGAACGGCGGCCAGTTCTGGAGTTTCCCGGAAACAAGGCTGTTCCACAACCGGCCGTGTGCGAGAGAAGGTCAAGTGGCCTGGTTAGTCGCCCTGAACCGTTACATTCAGTCTTGGTGGTTGCTCTGGGGTTGAGAGATGCGCCCGAATCGGCCCTACGGCGGAGACCTGGGGTCGACGGCACCATTCTACCCTGTTCATTGATCTCACTTAGCTTCGGAGAAGTTATGCTTCAGTTGCGATCTCAATGAGAGTGGTCAAGTGGTGGTCCTGGTCTCGTGGACGGCCAGTGATTCAAGCTTTCAGGCCTGTGTATATAAATGAAGCTACTCAGACGCGGGAAACTCGAATAGATGAATGAATATCAACGTCTGGGGGAACTTGCAGACCTTCATCAGCTTCTTTCTACTGCGGTTTCAAAGATGCGTTTCTCTGCTGTCACGATCTTCACGGCTGTAGCCAGCCTCGTGGCTACTGCCAATGCCTACTGGATGGGAGATATTGCCCGTGAGACAACGCAATCATCGTCTTCAAGTCACTTGGTGCTAACCCCGAGTTTCAGACCAAGGTGTTGCTCCTTTTGCCGGGTCAGGGTATCGTGTTTTTCGCAATGTCAAGGACTACGGTGCCAAAGGTAGGGCGTTAACATCTATATCATATGACTGGAACGTTGTTTGACCTCAAGCTAGGTGATGGTGTCACCGATGATACCGCCGCCATCAATGCGGCTATCAATGATGGGAACCGATGTGGAAAGGGCTGCGTAAGCCGACATTTCTTTCTGCTATCTCCTGAGAGAGACTCGACCTGACTGTAACCAGGCTTCGTCCACCACCACTCCAGCTGTCGTCTACCTCCCGGCCGGGACATATGTGATCTCGTCTTCCATCCTGCCCGCCTACTTCACCCAGATCATCGGCGATGCAAACAACCCTCCCACCTTGAAGGCCACAGCTGGCTTCTCAGGGTTCGGCCTCATCGACGGAAACCCATACTACACATCTGATTTGAACTGGATCTCGACCAATGTCTTCTATCGACAAGTCCGGAACCTGATCTTGGACACGACCAACATTGCGCCCGCTACTGCAGCTACGGGCATGCATTGGCCGACATCCCAAGCCACCAGTCTGCAGAACATCGTGTTCAACATGCCAACTTCCTCGGACGTTGTTCACGTCGGCTTGTTCATTGAAAGTGGTATGGCTGCTGGCTGACCCTACAAAACTGTGATGTCACGACTAACACCGCACTTCAGAGTACTCGAGCGCATTTTACTAGAATTGTACTGCGATGACTGACCTTTGCTAGGTGGAAGTGGTGGCTTTTTGTCTGACCTGACCTTCATCGGAGGTGCCACGGGTGCCTCCATGGGCAACCAGCAATACACGATGAGAAACCTGACGTTCAGAAACTGCAAGACCGGTACGTCGTTCCAGTGCCAGCTGAAACGAGAAAAGTTACTCACCTACCTGCCTTACAAAAGCCATCATCCAACTATGGGACTGGGGCTGGACATACATGGGCCTCAGCATTACGGACTGCGGCGTCGGCATCGACATCTCGGCCGGCGGATCCTCGGACCAGAAGACCGGCTCACTGACTCTGATCGACAGCACCCTCACCAACGTCCCCGTCGGCGTGCTCACGGCCTGGACCCCGTCTGCCAGCCCGGCTACCGCAGGAAGCGTCATCCTCGAGAACCTGTCCCTCAACAACGTGCCCGTCATGGTCAAGGGCCCCAGCGGAACGGCTCTCGCGGGCAGCTCCGGCAGCACGACCATCAACGCCTGGGGCGAAGGGCACCAGTACATCCCCAGCGGGCCCCAGACCTTCCAGGGCAACATCGCCGGCAACTCGAGGCCGGCCGCGCTGCTCAGCGGGAACAGGTACTACACGCGGTCCAAGCCGCAGTACGAATCGCTCCCGGCCTCCTCCTTCGTGAGCGCCCGCTCGTCCGGCGCCCGCGGCGACGGCAGCACGGACGACACCGCCGCCCTGCAGTCCGCCATCAACGCGGCCGCCTCGGCCGGCCAGGTGCTCTACCTCGACTACGGCATCTACCGGGTGACATCGACCATCACGGTCCCGCCGGGGGCCAGGATCGTCGGCGAGACGTACCCGGTCATCATGTCGAGCGGCGGCGCCTTCGCCGACATGAACAGCCCGCGGGCCGTCGTCCGCGTCGGCAGCTCCTCGGGCCAGGCGGGCTACGTCGAGCTGTCGGACTTTGTCGTCGGCACGCAGGGCGCGCAGGCCGGCGCCACGCTCATCGAGTGGAACCTGGCTACGACGGGCGGCGCGCCGAGCGGCATGTGGGATGTGCACACGCGGGTCGGCGGGTTCCGGGGCAGCGACCTGCAGGTGGCGCAGTGCCTCAAGCAGCCGGGCAGCAGCGCCGTCAACGGCAACTGCATCGGCGCGTACATGCTCATGCACGTCACCGGCGCGGCGACGGGCCTGTACATGGAGAACAACTGGCTGTGGACGGCGGACCACGACATGGAGGACCAGTCCAACACGCAGATCACCATCTTCTCGGGCCGCGGGCTGTGTGAGTGTTCCCCCCCACCCGGCGATAGGCGATATAGGGCAGGGTCCCCTTTTGCATAACGAGCGGGCATAACTAATCACTTGTGTCTTTTAGATATCGAGTCCACGGTCGGCACCTTCTGGCTGGTGGGTACGGCGGCGGAGCATAATGTGCTCTACCAGTACCAGTTCTCCGGCACCAAGAACATTTTTGCTTCCCAGCTGCAGACTGAGACGCCGTAGGTTTATGGCTCGTGAGGAAGTTGGTATACAGCAAGAAGCTAACAGCATGACCAGATACTACCAACCCAGCCCCTTGGCCACAACCCCGTTCCCCGTCAACTCTGCCTTGAACGACCCCGACTTCAGCGCCTCTTGTGCTGGTGTCTCGGGCACCTGCGCCATGGCTTGGGGTCTGCGGATCATCAACTCGCAGAACATCCTTGCGTACGGTGCAGGACATTACTCATTCTTTAACAACTATAGTACGAGTACGTTGTAACCGCCGGAAGTGACATTTTCGAGCACAGGGCGCTGACGCAATATAGACTGCTCTACGGTGAAAGCTGGCGAGAACTGCCAAGCTCGCATCATCTCCCTCGAGGGCTCTCTGAGCAATGTCAACATCTACAACCTCAACACGATCGGCTCCCTGAGCATGATCAACAGGGACGGAAGGCAGCTTGCCTACTGGCAGGACAACATCAACGTCTACCCGGACACCATTGCGCTGTTCCTCAGCGGATAAGCAGGTCGGCACGCTGCTATGAATTCAGCCGGTCCGGAGGAGCTATCGTCACTTGAAAGATCACTTCCGGTATCGTAGGACAGATTGAAAAATGTATAAATGTATATACAAATATAAATCGCCTAGAACAAAGCTAAAGCTGCCTGCAGTCTTTCTGCAACTTTGTTCGAGCCATCCACGTCAGTCAGTCCTTCAGAGAATAGCCAACATCCCCGCTCTCCCTCCCCAGCTTGATCAGCCTCTGCCTCATGCCCTCGGCCCTCGCCCTCTGCGCCCCGTCCTCCAGCACCGAAAAGTCGCACCGCTCGACCCACTCCCCGACGCCGTGCTGCAGCACGTTGCGCGCCCGCAGCTTGCTGCCCCCGGCGTGGCCCACGGACCCGTGCAGCGTCATGCGCTCCCTGGCCGAGTCGTACACGCCCCGGTGCAGGATGTTGTTGTTGTAGAAGGCCACGTCGCCGGGCCGCAGCCTGACGACGAGCTGGCCGGGGAGCTCCCTGGCGAAGGGGTCGGCGGCGCGCTCGGCGTCGGTGCGGGCCCGCAGGTGCGAGCCGGGAACGACGACGAGGGACTCGTCGTCCCACAGGGCCAGGTTCCACTGCGCGTGCCAGGCGGGCCGGCCGAGGCGGCTCATCTCCTGCTCGGCCGTGGCCTCGGGCGGGACGTCGTCGCGGTGCCAGCGCAGCTCGTAGTCGGCGTCCGGGCGGACGAGCATGTTGTACAGCTCCATGACCAGCTGGTCGCCTCCTCCGCCTCCTTCTCCTCCTTCCTCGCCGCCGCCGTCACCGCCGCCGTCGATGAGCAGGGCCGCCGTGTCGAGGATGCGCGGGTGGAAGTAGCTGCGCGTGAAGACGGCCGCGTCGTCGGGCGGCAGGTCCGGGTGCAGCAGGTGCTGCACGCCCCATATGCCCTTGTGGATGTCGGCGGCGGACCAGGGCGGGAACTGCTTGCCCAGGGTGCGGATGTGGGGCCAGGCGCCGGAGCGGGCGCGGGCGGTGGTCCGGGTGGCGGCGGCGCGGAGGGCCGAGAGCTCCGACTCGGAGAGGACGGAGGGGATGACGACGAAGCCGTCCCTGTGGAGGGAGGATTTGATTTCTTGCGGGGTGGGCATTGTTTCTGTTTGTTTTTGCTATGGAAGGGTATAGATGATGGAATGAAGGCCTATTGGGAATTGAAAGAGCAGGTCTTGATTTATGAGGTCGAGTACGAGATCGGCCGGGGTGAGGGCAATTGCGGGGTTCGTCCACCCGGCTGTCATCGCGTGGAAGAGCTGAAGCCGTTAGGATGGATGGGGAACTGTAACGTGTGATGGGGCCTCACCATCTCAGAAAGGAGCACGAAAGCGAGCCTCGAGCCGCTTTTCCTACTATTCATTGGAGAAACTTTGAAGTGTAACGTGGGCGATTCTCTTAGTTGAAAGGCTAAAATATCGCAAAACTAGCATTCCCAACTCGGACTTAGATCTGGTTGATTATTCGTATTTGACGTTGCAGTTCAACTCTGGCTACCTATGTAGGTATCTACCTGTCAACTTCTTAGCTCCAGGATATCTGTATGGTGGACAGGACTCGCGAACAGGTTGAAACGTTTCGATAGCTGCGTCACGAGGCTTCCGTAGAGCTGAGAAATAACGACACATTCCATTGATCCGATATACAATTATCGCATCGACGGCGGGAGCTTCCGAGAAGCAAACATCTCGAGCTTCAGGAAGCAACCCGGCCTCGAGACGCCCGGGAGGGATGGCTGTTTCCAAGCGCAGTTCCACCACCCCGCCCTTACAGCTTTCCAACCCCTCTGTTCTCTACTCTTATGTCATGAGGGTCTAATCCGAGGATGCCGATGCAGCAATAGCTTTAGGCAGAACAATTTTGTCTTGAAGCGTGGTCGACCAGGCCCGTTCCCAACTCCAGCAGTCGTACAACGACTCTGGACTTGAGGGCTCGGAGGAATGCCTGTCCACTTCCAGTTATGCAGGTTGAATGATGGCAGAGGTGCCACTGAGGAGTGCCTCGTAGCCCTTGCCGGGGACGTTACTGATAAGGCTCTAAACGTTGTTCTTCTAGCTGACAGCTAATAACATTGAAAGATTGAAATGTCGGCTCTAGGATGCTGTCAGCGCGGGCTAATTTCGCCGCCGGCAGGGGGCTTTTGATGGATGTCCCGTGACCGCGCGTCGTGGATGGAAGATCCCATCGCGTCAAGACCGTCCATTGCGTCACTCTCATTCCGCGACTTGTCTTTGTTCAGCTCCCAGAAGGCGAGCCATCAAAGCGCACTGTCCGGTACAATTGGATATATCTCGAGTTAAAAACAAATTGTTCGTGGTTGCAATTACTATCTCTTCTGCTCGTTCCATTTAGTCGTCGCAAGCCTTGACTTGACCATGCCTCCAAAGAAGCGTCAGGCTCCCGCGACACCCGAAACCTCGGGCCGCAGGCGGTCCGGGCGAATTAGCTCTTCGGGCAAGAAGAGCGTATACTTTGAGGCCGATTCGGATGATGAGCTTGGCGATGACCAGACCTACCACACACCGAAGCGCATCAAGTCAGGCGGCAGCCGCCGCACATCTGCCGTCAAACGTGCCAAGGTCGAGGAGTCTGAAGAGGACGCCTATCAAGACGAAGAGTCAGATGACAATGGAGGAGAAGAATCAGAATCGGATGAGTACCACAGTGCACAGGAGGAACAAGAAGTGAAGATCAAGAAGAAGAGAAAATCCCAAGTCAGTAATGGTGACGTTGAGGACGAGGACGAGGACGAGGACGGCGATGATGATGGTCCTCAGGTGACCTTCATACCGCATAAGCAGCTGAGAGACCTGGATGGTGTCGACTACGAGGATGGGAGGATACACAAGAACACGCTGCTCTTTCTCAGAGACCTGAGAGCTAACAATCTGAGATCTTGGCTCAAGTGTATGGACTTCTTGGATCATTGAACTTGCGATATAAGCACGCAGCTGACAGACCTTAGCCAACGATAAAGAATACCGACGATCCTTGACCGACTGGAACTCATATGTCGAGGCTCTGACAGAAAAGATCATCGAGGCTGATGAGACCGTCCCCGAACTTCCAGTCAAAGACGTCATCTTCCGGATCTACAGAGACATTCGGTTCAGCAAGGATCCCACCCCATACAAGGTCTGTGAGAACCCCCCCCCCGCCATTCATATCAGGGGTGGTTTGGCTGACTCTATGCAGGCGCACTATTCGGCAGCCTGGTCTCGGACAGGGCGGAAGGGGCCCTATGCATGCTACTACGTGCACTGCGAGCCTGGCAAGTCTTTTATCGGTGGGGGCCTCTGGCATCCAGATGCCGGCCAGCTGCACAAGCTGCGTGCGAGCATCGATGAACGACCGCAGAGATGGCGCCGTGCACTCATGGACGACAACTTCCGCCGCACGTTCTTGCCAAAGGCCAAGAACGACGAGAAGTCTGTGATCAAGGCGTTCACCGAGTCCAACAAGGAGTCGGCGCTCAAGACGAAACCCAAGGTTAGCATTCCTGTCTGCGTCTGGGTAAAACGCTCAAAAATGCCGTGCCTCGATTGCTAATGTGTGTACAGGGCTTCCCTGCCGAGCATCGGGATATCGAGCTGCTCAAGCTGAGAAACTTTACTTTTGGCAAAAAGGTGCCCGATTCCATCTTTACCGATGAGGATAGTTTGGACAAAGTCTCCGAGATCATCGGTGCCATGGTTGGTTTTGTAAGTTTGCTGCCAATTCTTGCACTCCCTGTCAATTCTCTCTAATGTTCCGCCAGGTCACACATTTGAACAAGGTTGTTATGCCCGACCCTGGTGACGATTCAGACTCGGACGAGGAGTGATTTCGAGGATGGCCTCCATGCTGAGCTAGATGTGACTAGTGGTAGTGAAGAAAATGCCTGGTCTCTCAGTGTTCATCAATTGTTTATCGAACAGCTTTGTTTTCTGAAAAATATGAATGATATATTTGCACTGGGCTCCCCTCTTCCATCTACTCATGTCGTCTGGCTTAGAAGCGGATAGAAACTAGGCGGCAAGTCTTCCTCCGCCGTCCCCCAGCTGCCCTCCTTGGTGCCGACCTTGAACTCCAGCACCCCGCCCCTCAGGAAGAAGTCGTGCCCGATCCAGCTCTTGGTGTAGGGCTTGCCGTTGAGCGTCGCGCTCTGGATGTACTTGGCCGCGTACGTGGGGTCAAAGTTGGCCACGCGGATCACGGCCCTGCCGCCGCCGAGCTTGGCCCGGATGCTCACCTCGCGGAAGAAGGGCGGCGTCAGCAGGTACACGTCCTGCCCGGCGACGGGGAAGAAGCCCATGAGCGCCATGGCCGAGAAGGCGCCCATGGCGCAGTCGTCGTTGCCCGGGATGCCGTTGACGCTCGCGTTGAACAGGCTCGGGATGTACTCGTGCGCCCAGTAGCTGCTCATGCCCGGGCGGCCGCCGTAGTGGAACTGGAAGACGGGCAGGAAGGTGGGCTCGTTGCCCATGTAGGCGATGCCGGACCGGTGGAAGAAGTCGAGGCGCCGGACGAAGGTGTCGGGCCCGCCCATGGCCGCCACGAGCCCGCGCATGTCCTGCGGCACGAAGAAGCTGTAGAGCCAGGGGCTGCCCTCGTACGTGTCGTGGCTCGTGTCGTAGTAGCACGAGTGGAAGTTGTTGACGGGCGAGCACAGCCGCGTGTTGTGGTACCGGAAGGACCCGTTGACCAGCCGCGGCTGCATGAAGCCCGTGAACTCGGTGCCCACGACGTCCTGCGTGTCGGCGTCGCGGTAGACGTCGCGCTGCGCCGGGTTCCAGACGTTGCGCCAGTTGGCGCCCCGCGCGCGGTACTTGTCGGCGTCGGCGGCGCGGCCCAGGCCCTCGGCCATGAGGCTGATGGCGAAGTCGTCGTAGGCGTACTCGACGAGGCGCGAGATGGTGCGGCTGTGCGGGCCCGTGCCGTTGGTGTCGACGTCGTCCCAGGGGATGTAGCCGAGGCTGTGGTAGCTGACCAGGTTGCCGCGCCCGGAGGTGCCCCAGTTGCCCGGCTCGACCTCTGCGTCCGACACGACGGCCTCGTACGCCGTCTTCCAGTCGATGCCCTCGGTCAAGTTCTTGACGAAGGCGTCTGCGAGGACGATGTCGGCGTTGGATCCGCCCTGGAGAGTTGTGTAAGTGGTCATGCGACAAGGTTTGGGAGAGGAAGAGGCGGTTTTGGGGATTGTTACCTGTGAATAGCCTTTGCAGAAGCTCATTCTGCAGTCCGGTAGCTTGCCTGTTTATTATATTCAGCACCAGTCATGGCATCCATGTCTGCCAAGTAGGGGCCATACCTTCATGCCGATAAATGTCAATCAACGCGCGGATCATGTCTGTCTGAGCGGCAGGGTCGATGATGGTGAGCAGGGGGTGCTGTGCTCTGAATGAATCCCAGATGCAGTAGAACCTGACCTGGCGATCAGCACACAACATTCAATATCGCCCAAGACCAACAAACTCACGAGTCAAAGTACGGCTCGTCGGACTTCCACAGCGGGTTCTCCCCCGTGTAGTTCTGAGGCGACAGCAGCGCACGGTACAGGCCGGACCAAAACGTCGTCTGCAACTCCTCACTGACCCCCTTGGCATCAACCTCGATGACAGATAGCTTCTCCCTCCACTGATCCTCCGCCTCTTTCACAAGCCGGTCGAACCCAAAATCGGGCACCTCCCGCTCCGCGTTGGCGCACGCCTGGTCGGTCGACATGAAGGACACGCCCACGCGCGCCAGCAGGTAGTCGGCGGGCCTCTGGAACTGGATCCAGGCGCCCGCCGACCCGGAGATGCCCCAGCCGGAGCCGACGCCGTTGAGCGCGAGCTCGTCCTCGGTCGCCTCGGTGCCCGAGTACGTGCCGCGGCGGCGGACGTCGGCGCCGCGGAAGTCGGCGCAAAAGTAGGCCTCGTAGTTGCCGACGCCAAAGGACGGCGTGAAGCGGCCGTCGCCGATGATGCGGCCCGACTCCGGGTAGACCTGGATGCCGCCCCAGCTGCGCGTCGAGCCGAGGTCGTTGAGGTCGACGAGCACCAGGGGGCTCAGCGGGACCTCGACGCCGTCGGCGTTGAGGGCCGTGTTGGCGCGGGGGAAGGAGAAGCGGTAGAGCGCCGTGTGCTCCGAGGCCGTCATCTCGGCGGCGACCGAGTTGTTGAGCCCGATGGCGAAATAGCCCGGCCGCGCGGTGGCGGAGCCGTTGACGCGCGCGACCAGGCGCGACATGGTCGTGTACTGGCACCGCGTCACGTTGTCGCTGGGGCAGCCCGGGTGCACAAAGAGCGGGAAGTTGCCCAGGGAAGGGTTGCCGCCCGTGCCCGAGTCGTGCATGTGCGAGAAGCCGATGACCCCGTTGTCGTCCGAGACGAAGCCCGCAGCGTTCTCTGCGTGGCTGTGGGTGTCCGCGACGGCCTTGGCCATGCCTGAGGAAGGGCTTGTGTGTCAGCGAGCCATGTGTTTCGAGGATGACCTCAATGGTAAGACATACCATATGGCAGTGTAGCACCCGGGAAGACATGGCCTGCGGATCTAGATTAGATTCGGTGCACACGAAAGGCTCATTAAGTTCGGTGTCACATACCTCCGTTAGTCGTCCCGATCAGAGGGTCAACGAATCTCAAAATGTCGCCTTGTCTGCCCCGTTGCGCGCCGGGACGGCCCGGAGAGAAGCGGCCGCCGAAGAAGCCACTGCCTCCGGGACGCGGAAGAAATGTGATTACACACACAAAGACCAAGATGATGAGGAGCACGCGACTGGGTCGGGGCATGCCGCCGTGTAAGTGGATAGGCGCTATCCTCGGCCTGTAGCCATAGGATTTTGCCTTTGCTGCCCAGCTCATAGTGTCTCGATATGTCTGCAACTCCTCAAAATGGCGAGATCGGAGTCGAATGCAGACTTGAACGTCTTTGTCACCGACCTTTATTAGGCCAGTCTCGTCGTCAAATGCTCAAGCCAGGGAGGTCGTTACAGATCTGCGAGTGGATCTGACCGAGCGCCTACACCAAAACGTGGAGGTGTGTCTATGGCATACTTCCCAAAGAACAAACTGTCGCTGCAACAAGACAAGACAATTTCATGCAGCGCCAAATCATGCAGATCGTCAAAACATTGAAGCAAAAACACAATTCAGATCAATGGCACGCAAAGAGACATAGTCAGCCTCGATCAGAAGCGAACACGTGTGTGGATAAGGTCCGGTGTGTCTGAGAAACGCCGATGCCAAGGCAATAACGGCAAGGATTCAGAACAGCGCTTGCAAGGGGGTCTCAGACCTGGCCATGCCACAGGCGGACATAAAGTGTCGCAGTTGCTACCCCACGAACGCGGAGAAATTCTTGCTGCACCTTGTCCTCCTGAGTCCCGTGCGATGAGGGTGGCTAACTCCCCATTCGTCGACTGTTCTTGATGAATGGAGATTTATCTTGTATCCTGCCTTTCGGCTGAATGCATCTTGAGCATCTGGTGCCCCGGTTTGCGGGGCATAAGAGGATATTCCACCCTTGCTTTTTCTTATTTTGTTGAATTATGACAGCTGAACCTCTTCCATGCTGTACCAGTGATCTGCTAACTACATTGGAGGATAGTGACGTGATGAATGCTTCTGTCTGTCTATTGGAAGCTTCTTACAAGCAGATGGGGTTTCCTCTCTTTGAGATCTAGCATCATCTGGCCAAAGAGGCCATTGGTCCACGCAAACCTGAAGAATTGTCAGTCTTTCGTCTCGAGAAGAATCTTGGGGACCACACACCATTGCCTGGTCCAGATCTTTTGGTTATGGGAACTGATGGACTCATGCATCAGGCCAAGCCCATCCGTCGAGGCTACCAGTTGGCCCAAGGCATCTATGATCTCAGCATCATCATCAGTGGTCATAATCTGCACAATCAGGGACATGGGCCAAGCCATGCCAGGTCCTATATGCGGTCCGCCAGTGCTATCACGGGATATCAGCATTTCCCGTTCCCGTGTGGCTCTTGTGTCACTTACGAGTTCATTACAGGCCCATGCATAAAGTAGGGATTGTCGTGGCTCAGAACAAACTTCCTTGTGTTCTGATATATCTCGTCCTTCTTGTCGAGATACCCCAGCATGGGTGCGCTGAGTAGGCTGGGAATGTTGGCGTCGTCCTGACGGTATTTTCTTATCAGCACTCACGCAGTCACCTTTGCCCGTTATTCGAGTCCACTGACCATCATACTATGCGACCCAAACCCATCGACTTCGTACGCGTATACGGTGCCGTAGTCAGGATGGACTGTCTTCCCATACTTTTCAATGCCTCTGCGCACATTGTCTGCGAAACCCGTCATGCGCCGACTGAGTTGCTGGTCAAAGGCCCGCATGATCTCAGCGCAGTCTCGCAGATAGCGAGCAAACTGCATGTTTGCGGGTATAAACAGCTGATAGATGCATGCGTCGTCTGACGGCCGGAATGCGCTCCTCACCAGACCGGTGCCGTTCTTGACAGGATTCCCCTCGCCAGCATTTGGCAACGTCTCGGAAGCAACTGAAGTCTGTCGCTGGAAACGATACGGAGCCTTGATAACCGTGCCGTCCGCTCCGTATGTACCAGTCTGCAGGTCGGTCGTTGTGTTGAGCAATGTCTCCACGGCGGCCACCCAGTCGTGTTTGCCAAAGAAGGCCTTATCACCTGTCGCGATGAAGTAGTCGTAAGAGAGTTGTAGGAATGCCGCAAGAGAGTCGAGCTCATATTTGCACTCGAACACCAGATTGACTGGGAAATAAGGGTCAATGAAGTCGCCGGAACTTGAAAGGTTGTTTTCGACGGTGAGGTTGGACTCGATTGGGGCTTGAAAGGCATTGCAGAAAGGTGCTCCTTTTACGTATCTAGCATGCAAGTTGATTGCTCCTCGAAATAGCGATGCCAGCGAGCTCCGAGACGAATTCGGCTTGAGGAGTGATTTGTAGCTTTGCAATTGATTTGCGCTGTCTCTGAGCCACATGGCATTGATGTCGCCAGTGGTGATGAAGGTGAGCTTGTCGGGCATGTTAGTCGTTTCTGCTGCCACGAAGACTATCCCCCCTGGGGCAGAAGCCAACTCACCTCCTCATCCTTCGAATCACTGGCCAATCCTTTCCAGGTGATGGCCGTGTCGAGTGTATTTGGGAAGCAGTTCTCGAAGAGCCGAAACAAATCTGGATCTTTCACGACATCCCTCATATCCTCGATCGTGGTTTCGACCTCGGTGAGGTTGAACTTGCGACATGCGGGAGCCGGCCTCTGGTATGGAAGTTTCAGCTTTCCCTTTGACACCGGCTCATGCGGCCTGCGAGCATACTGCGTGTAGTCCGGGCATTCGAAGAGCTGCGCCAGGGCAGTCGAGACGACGATGGTCATGCCCAGAACGATGAGCATGCGCGCCATTTTAGGAAACAGTCCACGGCCTCGTCTTAAGAAAGGTCTGGGCAGCGACATGGACAGCATGTCTTAGCACAACCTCTGCGAGCTACTCTATGCAGAAACATCACGATACTTGGGTCTATCGAGCTTCTTCCATGGCTCCAAAACGATGCCCGAAAGTCGTGAGAATAGAGTTGAGGTCGATGCCATCTCTACGAAAAAACCCAGGGAACCCAACCCATATTTGCGCTGCGAGTGATGGAAATGTTGAAAGGGCTCCATTGGTCCTTCCTTCCGGCTGTTTGTGGTTAATATCGAGGAATGGAGATGTGGGTGAAGTTTGCTGGGCGCCTTCGGTGCTGCTGCATGGGATGGTCTCGGCACATCCCATTCTGGACGGCGGCTGGTTGTATCCCGAATGACCAGAGCGCTTTGGTTGACAATACAGCTAATGATAAGGACCGCGTGCAGGCCATGTGTTCTTCCCGTCTTCCCCAGCCCTTTGCCGAGTACAGGTACCACAAGCTGTCAACACATCAGCCCCGTGCACAGTTAGACACCTGTGCAAGGGTGCGCGGATCATGAAGCTGGACGCCAGGAAGATGTTGAAAATCCTCAAGTAAGAGGGGACGAGTCTAGATCCACGTTGTGAACCTAGTTAGGCCAGGTGAGATCTCTTTTCACAAACATCGAAGAGCAGCATGGACGGTGTTGTTTGCCGACGTTGGCCTGTTCAACTATCCAGTCTTGTTCCCTGCGATCGTCGTCCCAGTGGCGTACGGGCCCAAGCAGTTTGCGCAACATAGCCCAACTTCCATGTCGCACAGGAACACTGCAGCGCGTCCAGGCATACAGCAATGATTCGACTATCGCAGAGACATCGTACGATTTGGAGCTCTTGATCTTTCTTTGGGTTCCAAGGTGAGAGGACATGATTGCTTGTAGACCGAGAAAAGTCGGCATGGCTGAGAGCGGCGGTTGCCTGGATCCCAAACGGCGTCGTTCTTGCCGTCCCTCGCTTGTAATCCAGCACTTACCACTTTCCGACAAAATTCGGGGTCGCGCTTAACCAATAATGAGCATAATCAGGCCATTTTCAATTGCGGCAGTCGAATAGCTAGGCGAGAAAGGGGCCAAGTCTTGGTCTTATGGAGCAGGTATATTAGACGTCGCTTCCCCTCTGAATAAGAGAGAGACTGAATGTTGTCAACTTTGGGTTGTTTTTGGAAATCCTGGGCACCGAAGAGTAGGTGTGGCATGCACTCACCACCACGCCCAAGGTGAGGCTCATTAAGTTACTCTAACCCCTCCAGAGTCTTATTCACGCCGTCCAAGACTGCCCTGGTGGAAAGTCCTGGACGGTCCAATGGGTGGGCGGCAGCGTTTGCTTGGTTTACATCAGCTACCTACCTCCGTTTCCACAGGACATCGGGTCCGACCTCTGCAGTTCGAGCGCTGTTCATCAAGTGTTCGTCCGTTGACGGACTGCATCCATGCAGACCGGTCATCGAAAGTTACCGAGCAACCTACCATGTGCCTAGTGGCTCCTGCACAGGTGCTTTTCGGACCTTTCGCAGTGGATTGGCGAGGAGATGCCGCCAATGACCGAAACGAGGCGTCACAAAGAGCGGAGCGAAGCTGGACACCTGAAAAGCACACCTGCGAGGCGCCATGCTTTCACACCTCGCCAAGGCGAAGTCAAGATCGACTGTTCTTCTTGCTTCTTACGTGGGAGAAGTGGAAACCGTCCTGAGAGCCAAGTGGCTGGTCTGTCTCTATGGGTGTGGCATGCTCATCTCGACACCAGACCGGGTTCCAAAACAACCAAGGGTTGAAGTCATTGTCATTCCCGATGAACTTGACCCGAGACAAAAGAGGCGGTCTGACAAGCCTCCGAGCATCTTGCACTGAGACAAGAATGGCAGGTCTCAACAGCCCACCATGGAACTATGGCAACAACCTGGACCGCCTGTGTTACCCAGCACCAGCTCAACAGTCCTCCGCAGCGGTCTGCCAATACCTCCGTGTATGCAGGGCTGTCCCGAGCTGCAGCTGCGATTCGCTGCGGAAGAGACATTGATGCTCCCCTAGAGCAACTCGCAGAGCAGCTGACCGAGGCGGTGTTGATATCCCTTGATCGACTCGATCCTGAAAGCCATGAACCCTTGCCTAGCGGGTAAGACGGCCAGGGCAAAACAGCAGGCTGGCTTCACACTCAGCAACGACCAACAGGGGTACTCTCACTGGTGGTCGAACCGTTCGAGAGCTGCATTTTAGGGGCAGGTCGCTATGCTTTCGGTCGTCCCAACCGGGCCTTGGCCAGCGCATTAGTGCTGGAATTAGTCACAGCATTTCTGGCGCTTCATTGGGATCTCGTATTGTGCGACCACATCCCATTTCGACGCCAACTGGATTCTTCTCGGGCTTCTCAGGCTGGCCAGATTCTGCTCTGGCTTTCATCTCTTCCCCAGCCTGTGATTCCAGGCCACAACAGCAGAACAATCTAGTATGGCTCCCGGAACAGACAAAGGCAAAGGCGGCGGCCGCTCCTTCACGGCCTGTCTTGAATGCCAGCGGCGAAAGCAAAAGGTACTGGCCATTTCCCGATCTCATTTTTTGTCTATTGACTCCTCTCCAGTGTAACCGCGAGTGGCCTTGCAACCACTGCCAGGCCAGAAAAGTACCGCAACTCTGTCAATTCGTTGCCAGAAAATCCAAATCAGACAGCGAATCGCCGTCCAGTGATCCATCTCTTCAGTAAGGGCACAACTCCATAATGATATCTGTCTTCTGATCGTTTCCTCCCTCAGGGAGTCTAGGAAGCGTCGAGGTGATGATAGTGAGGAGAACCTAGGGCCGATGCCTGAAGCCCGGGACATCGATGCCAGCGATGTAGTAAGAGTTATGGGGTTCGGAATCGATCATGAATATAACGACCCAAAGTTGGGCCCAGTCACTCGCGTATGCCTGCCCACCACTGCCATAGCCGGCAGCATTTGCTAACATGGAGCAAGGTCACACGAGCCAGTTCGGATGATTCCCAGGGACAATCGGAAGAGATTGATGAAGCCCTCAAGGTCATGCCCAACAGGTACTATACCGGTATGGATCAATACTCGAATGCAGCCGTACTGCTAGCCCTGCTAAGGCCATTCTAGATCTTCTTGTGCAGAACTTCCTCAGCAGAGCGAACTACTACTACTATATCCTGTACCCTCCTCAGTTCTCAAAACAGTATAGCGACTGGTGGAGTGACCGTGCGGCCAACAAGCCCCTGACACCCGAGCTCACTTCTTTGATCTTGCTCACTTGCGCTTGTTCCTGCCAGTTTCTCAAATCCGACCTGCGGGATAGGGTCGAGCCCGAGCTTGGGGTCAATGCCTCGGTCCTCAACCAGAGATTCGCAAAAGCTGCGAAAAGACTGAGTGCTACAATCTCACCGGGTCGGGGAGGCATGACTCTTGTTGTGCAGAAACTTCTGACAGCATTCTGGTGCAAGTCAGAAGCCCTCTTCATCGAGGCGTGGCATGTCCTGAGTGCTGCCATTCGTGAAGCACAGGAACTTGGTAAGTATATGTGCCGCTCCCCGATACCACGTCTTGGTAGACTTATGAGCTGACTGGGCTGGAGGTATTCACAAGAACTCGCACCCTCGCGGCTTGAGCGAATTTGATATCGACATGCGGAAGCGCCTCTGGAGCCTTTTGTACATGTGGGACTGGTAAGTGTTGACCAAGTTTATTCCTGGTCATATGAATGCTCATCATCGTGCAGGGAGATGTCGCTAGTTCTTTGCCGTCCATTGATTATCAATTTTGCCAACTGCACATTCGAGCTCCCCCGCCTGGACGCAGACGAACTAGAACCGCCTGCAGATGGCTCTCTCGCTGTAGCTAGGCCTTCGACTCCTTTCACTCATATCCTTCTCCAGTGTCAGTTAATCAAGCTGATCGACAAGAACTTTGGAGTTCTGAACTTGCCGCTCCCTGCAGATCTTGCTGCAACGTTGTCGAACACAATTCAGGAGTGGATAACCACATTCCCTCCATCCCTTCGCACCGAGAACCCCGACACGAGATGGGATGCATCTCACCCGTGGCTGCCCGTGGCACGACCGTATTTCCACGCCATCACCTTCACCATGATCGTTGTGCCACTCAAACCACATATCATCAAGTCTGTTCCCCGCAATGGCTCGAGCCTCGAGCGCAACATCCGGGCCAAGGGGGTCGATGCCGCCCTGAAGCTTGTTGCCGCTGCGCAGCAGCTCTTCACGGATATTTACCCCAATGATGCGAAGTTTCACTTCTCTTTCTTCTCTTTATTTGACACCGCAGCCTTGTTGTGCTCTGCCATCAAGCACGATCATAATGGGACGCTTCCTCGACGCGACGAGCTTGTGGAGCCGATTAAAATGGCACTGGATGCGCTCAATAAACTCAGCACTGTCACCGAGACTGCCGACACTGCCTATAAAGTGCTCAGAACTCTGGCAAACGACTTGCCGCTTAGCCAGAAGGAACGCGCGATCTTTGGTCGCCACCTGCCTGCGAAGCGGCTTCGGGCAACTGCCGGTCCTCAAGATGAGGGTGACCCGGTTCACCAACAGCCAGAGGTTCTCCGAGATCTGGCCACTACTGTTGATGCTGTGGAAACGAGTATTTTCCCACCGATGGTCCTGCCTGAGGTCGAACACGTTCCCATGCACCCTGGTACAGCCATGTTCGCGCCTGGTGTTCCAGATCTTCCGACAACACAAGACTTTTCGGCAAACCAAATGTTTGGTCTCAATGTGGTACCAGAAGTCACCGACTTGTCCAGCTTTGAGCTTGGAAATCTCGGCTATGTCTGGGATTGGCACAGTCTTGACCTCGGTCAGGAGTTTCCTCCGCCGCCTCAGTAGATGGCAAGGTTTTGGTTTCTATTCTACCTTTTCCATCATCGAAACACGACGTAAACAGCCAAAAAAAAAGCAAGTTAAGGACTGCGGTGCAAGAGTGTGTTCTACTATCTTTTTTTTCTTCACAACGACCAACCCATACCATTCATTCGGCATTTGGCAACCGACGGCAACACTTCTCACAGTTTGAAAACACACATACGAAGTATCTTCGAAGGAGTGGACCGAAGAATAGGATTGTGTTAACCCAAGCTGAGATGCGACATCCTCTATTGCTACTGCGATCAGCCACCTGAGGGGTAGGGGACACTCCCAAATGGGGAGCCTTTCGTGTCGCATAGGTTGACAGAACTACAACTGTCCAGATCGAAGGTACACACAGCAAGAGATCTGAGACTCGTACTTTCCAAAGGGGTCTGGAAGAACAAGCAACATGTCATTACTGGGTATGAGCATTAGATGGTTTTAGCTGTCTCACATTTCGTCATTTTGGGCGAAATACATGCGTGATACTCTGCGGATGCATCCAAGGATGATATTCAGGAAAGGCCTGGCAAGCTGGAATGGAATTTGGCAACTTGGCTAATCATCAGCTTGAGAATTGTCGTATGCAAATCCAAAATTTCCGTTTTCTTCCACACTTGGTCCTCCTTTGGACTATCACCAACACAGATGGAGTTCCTGAGAGTTGAAGTGAGCCTTCATGCGTCCTTCCGCAGCTTACTGCCCTCATCAACTCAGTCTCCACCAAGGCAATGCATGTATTGAAAGCGGCTGACCGGCTGGCAGCCTGATATTGCAGATCTACCTAGCTTGGAGGGTGGCTCAGATGACTCGGGCATGCCTGTCAGCAGAAGGGTGCGCCGGCGTCAATGTGACCTTCTCGAGTCTGCCTGTCGCTCCATCGAGCCCCTAGCGGAAGTCGGTAGCGCATCACCCGCCCTATGGGGCCAAATTTAGCTCTCGTAGGGGGATGGAGTCGTTCCAACGGCGGGTCATCCCGTCCCCAGCACCTTGGCTCCAGCTTCTCAGTCCGTTCCCATTCTTCTCTTCACACATAGTGCCGAGCCTACGTATCCCAACTTGGAGAGATGAGTAATTTCACCACCCATGTCCGTTCGCCTCGTACAGGCAGCCACCCAGAACACAACACCAGGGCTGGAAAAGACGAATCGGCGTGAGAAAAGATGGGGACTCTTTCGTTCAAGGTAATGATGGACCCTGGAAAATGAATATGTGCAGCGACTGTGCGGGATGCGGGTTGCCAGTGCCACCACACCACACCATCACTTGCACGAAACCACCACGCTCATCCATCCATCCCATGTCCGAGATGCGATGGCTTTGACGCGAGACAGAGGGTAAGCTGACCGGCGGGTCGCCGCGGCTCTTGCGCTTGGCTTTTATATTGTTCGGTTGAGTGCTTCAACTTTGTCCTGAAGCACGAGTTTCTTCACTTGGAACATATTTACGGGTTCTTTTCTTTTGTATGACCACGTCCAATTACAACGATCGTTTGCGTTGCATCTCTCATGTGGCTTTGTGAACACACATATGGCTTAAGTAGTACCCTTGAGGAGAGAGCCTTCCAAACATAGCACATCCAAGGGCACTTGCAATGGCGTCACACCAGCAAGGCCATGACGAAGGGCCGGCCGCCCGTCTCGGCGACACCAGAGCGCATTCCCTAGACCGGCCCCGTAGCAGCGGCGGCCGGCCCTCCCTCAGCGCGCACACTCACCCGGAGGCCGGGTCCAGGAACTCGGACGTCTCCGGCACCTCGGACTTTGTCCGCGCCACGGCCGAGCACCTGGCCGAGGTCGACGCGCGGCTCAAGCCCCCCCGGCACGGCAGCGCGGACCCGACCCCGGGCTTCGCGCACATCGACGGCGACGTCGCGGGCTCCGGGACCGGGTACAACGAGACGAAGGTCGATGTCGTCTGCGTGACCTGCCCCGGGGCGGACCCGGTCGAGACCTGGACGCGGGACCCCCTGCCGGACGGGTACTTTGACCGCGAGGAGGAGGAGGAGGACGGCGACGGCGGCGACGGCGACGACGGCCCTGCTGCTGCCGTGAAGATGCCGATGCACAACGGCGGCGCCATCAAAGAGCTCGCTGGCGAGGCGATACTGTCGCCGGCCATCAACCGGCACCTGCCGAGGGCGGGCCAGCTCTGGGTGCGGCAGGGCATACGCAAGTATGTCAGTACCGCGCGGGTGATGCTGTATCGGCATCGGGAGCTGCGTGACGGGATGGACATTGCGTCGCTGGCGGGTGACTTGCTGGACCAGGTGCTCAAGAGTCGGGAAGGATTGGTGAGCAAATCTGAACGAGTAGACTTGTTATCAAAGTGGTTGCTTATTGTGAGGTCAGAATGTCTCTCGGCCTCTGTTGTTCATTGCCCATAGTGTGGGTGGGCTCGTGGTCAAGCAGGCGCTTCTAAAATCGTCAAAGGACGATGCATACCGGAGCATCCTGTACAACTGCCACGGAGTCACCTTCTTCGCCACCCCCCACCGCGGCTCCAGCTACCTCTCCATGAAGATCCTGAGCCAGAGCATCCAGGAGATAATGCGCTTGCAGCACCCCCTGCCGCACTCACTCGCCCACGAGCTCAAGCTCGGCAATCTGCAGCTCCAGAAGCTGCACGACGAGTTCTGCGACATCGCCAGCGAGCTGCAGATCTGGACCTTCTACGAGACCATCGACTCGCAGCTGTCGGGGTCCGGGTCGGGCGCCTACGCCGCCGCCACCGCCGCCGCCGCCAGCGAGGTGCAGTTCAGCGCGCCGCTGTGCTCGATAAAGTCGGGCCTCGTCGGCGTGCGCCAGGAGCAGGTCTACTCGCTCGACAGCGACCACGCGCACTGCGCCTCGTTCGGCCCGGGCAACCCGCGCACCATGCGCTCGTACCTGCGCCGCCTGGCGGCCGCCGTGCGCAGGGCCGAGGAGCTGAGCGCCATGTACGTGCACACGCCGCTGCGGCTGCCCGAGCACGTCAAGGTCGAGCTCATCGGCTTCTACGACGACCCGGACGCCGACGACGCCGAGACGGCCGTGCGGCTGTACTTTGCGAAATACCACCTGGCCGACTTCATGCAGAAGGGGCCCGAGAGGTGTCTGGAGGAGCGGCTGGCCAAGGTCAAGCGGCGTGGGGCTCTTGCGTCCCTGTCTGCTGGCCGCACGAGAGCCGCGACGGAGGGTGCGGAAATCAGTGGGGGGAGTAGAGGTAACAGAGGGCTGGGGATATGGACGAATGTGCAGAGGATGTTCCAACCCAGCACCGCAGAGGACTCGGCACCACCGGAGGGGTCCGAGGCGCAGCCCTCGCCCGACATTGTGGTTACCAGGCCGTCCCCAGCTACGGCTTCGAGGTCCCTTCCGGCCGAGGCCATGCGCCGTGTTCAGTCGCTGACTGTACCACCGCTCTCCACACCCGGATTCGACAGGCCAGCCAGCCGGTCCAGCCAGGGTACGGCGAGTACCATGTCTGAGCCCATCTTGGAAGAAACATCGCCCAAGTCTGACCGCAAAGCAGCCGAGGCTGAGATGGAGTCGACCGGAGCATCTGGACCTGCCACCGAACCCAAGGAACCTGAGAGGAGCCAACAACAGGTCCGGGCCGAGAGGTTGAGTAAGGGTTCCGCGCTCAGGGACCTGACGGCCGGCTTTTCCAGGCCGGATCCGACACAGCGGAAGTTCATGTGGATACATTTGCCATTCACGAATCCGCTCTGGGTCAAGGTATAATGATCTCTCTAGGATCTCGGCCAGAGCAGATGACTGACAGGTTGGACAGGATATCTTCAACAAGATCGGGGAGAGCCAGGGGCACGACTTCTCCAAGCTCTTTAACACCGAGCACTGGGTATCCAAACACGTTCAAGGACGGCACTCGAGGTCTCAGCCATCCTTTGTAAAGCCAGCATGTAACGTGATTCCCAGCGATCCTCGTAAGTCTTCACACACGAACACCCTCATCGCCTTTACCTCCACAGAGGAAAAATATAACAACGAAACCCCTGATCAGTCCCCTCACCCAAACCATCAGCCGACGGTATCAGCACCACCGTCAGCAAACCACGCTCCCCACGCCTGCTCTATGTGTACCTGCCCTACCTCAACTTCGACACCTACCTCAACGTCCTGCGCCGGCGCTACATCGTGCAGAAGCGCATGAGCCATGGTCGCGCGCGGCCCGTGCCCAAGGAGATCGCCGAGCTCGAGTCCCTCGAGGCCCGCGTCATCTGGCAGTACCAGGGGTTCGACCCGCCGCTCAACGTGCGCCGGACGCTCGACCAGTTCGGCTACCCGTCGCTGCAGGACACGTACGCCCGCGACGACGACCAGATGCTGTACAAGCTGACCAAGGAGTCCGGGCCCGTGCCTCCCGTGCAGCGTCTGCAGCAGCAGCAGGCCAGCACTGGGTCGGGCCCGCCGCCGGACAAGCTTGGGTCGGTGAAGCGGCTGAGCTCGATCCCGCTGACGCCCGGGTCGAGTGAGCTGGGTGGGGAGAAGGCGGGCAAGAAGGCTCGGTTTGACGACTATGTTGAGAGCGATATTGACGCCGAGGCGGACGGCTACAAAGAGGGGAATGTATTGATGGTTGATCAGTTGTGGCTTTGGGCTATCGACACAAGTAAAACCTCCTCCTATTCGTGACGAAGATTGGGATATGTGTCTGACACTGACTTTTGTTCGTTTGTAGAAACTCTGGCCACCTTCTTCCCCAGGCGAGAGTCGCGCCCCAAGGAAGGGCCCCTTTTCCAGCAGGCGGACCTGCGCAACAGCGTCTACAACGAGCTCAACGGCGACCTCACGGGCCACACCGACAACGCCCTGGACCTGGCCGCCTTTATCGTCCTGCACGCCGTCACGGTGCTGCTCGACCGGACCTCCCACCCGGACCTCGAGATCTTCCGCATCTTTGAGGAGGCCATCGGCATGCTGGTATTGTGTCCCTCCCTCCCTCTCTCCCCCCTCCGAACCCATCCAATATCCTCTCCTCCTTAGCCCAGCAAAAGCTCCCCCTATCGAAAGCTAACGATTATTCCTCCTGCCAAAAAGACCGAGAGAATGACCTCGTCCCTCAAGTCCTTCCGCATGCAGACCTGGAAGCAGATCAACATCGACGACTCGGACGACCCGGACGACCCGGAGGGCTCCGCGTCGGCGGCCTCGATCAAGCGCCGCCACAAGCGCGAGCTCGAGCAGGCCGAGCGCGCGAACCGCGAGCACACGTCGGCCCTGCTCGAGCTGCGCGACCTCGAGGACGAGCTGACGACGCTGCACAAGCTCTTCGAGACGCAGACGGCCGTCGTCGAGGCCATGCGCGGCTACAACAGCGGCGGCGCCCCGCCCGGAGAAGAAGGCGGCGGCGGCGGCGAGGGGCTCACGGCGCACGGCCGGGCGTACCTCGCCGAGGCGCTGGCGAGCCTCGACGAGTACAGGGCGCAGACGGTCGAGATGCTGCGGCGGGTCGACACGACGCGCAAGGACGTAAGAACACCTCTCTCCCATCCTACCATACACACACACACACACACACTAACAACTCCCTTCCGGGGTGGGGATGGGGGCAGTACGAGAAGCTCCTCGAGATGGCCCAGCGCCAGGCCCAGGTCGACGACGTCCGCTGGTCCCGCATCCAGACGGAGCTGGCCTCGGCCCAGAACCGCTCCGTCATGGTCTTCACCACCTTCACCATCATCTTCCTCCCTTTGTCCTTCTTCACCTCCGTCTTCGGCATGAACACGCTCGAGTGGGGCGGCGACGGCAACCTGCCCCTGTCGACCATCGGCTCCATCTCGCTGCCCCTCTCGGCCGTGCTCATCGTCGGCAGCCTCGTCGCGGCCTTCAGCTTCCGCGTGCAGAGCGTCTTCACGCGCGTGTACCGGTACGGCAAGAGGGCCGTCGAGGGCGGCAAGGGGTACGCGCGGAGGCTCGAGCCGCAGGGGGCCAGGGACGCCAAGGCCAGGCGCAGGGTCGACCGCGAGCGGGCCGAGTACCTGGCTGCGCGGAGCAAGGACCGGAACTACGACTTTTGGGCCACGGTGCGGAGGCAGCGGACGTCCGAGTATCGGATCCCCGATGTCAATCGCAAGTTGGAGACGGGTAGAAGCACGTTGACACCGTCGACGTGGAGGTCCAAGTGGACGTAGGGGTTGTGTATGGTGTGTAGGTAGTCACCGAGGAGATATTGTACTCATATATTAGGAATCACATTTCAGGAGAGAGATCAAGGACACTCAGATGTGAGAAGTAGGACAAACACCAATATAATATTTTGTATAGCACACCAGAGCCGCTTTGGATCTTACCTCTTCCAGATGAAAAGGAAAATGAGGCGCTATCTTGTTTATCTCCTACTCTGAACTTGTACTTCTCCCATCTGATTTGAACCCCCC